TGCTGGCTTTCAAAGTGAGCTCATAGAAAGTTCCGACATGTTTTTTTCGTTGCCTCAACAGTGCGGGCTGACTGCCGCCGAAGCAGGGGGAACTGCTCAGCAGTGGAGCGCTGGATCTCTTCTACACCTGGGCTCCAGCAGGGGACACTGCTGCGTAGTTGAGAGCTGTGGCAATGGCCGTGAAATCCTGCACACGGGACCAGAGGCTTTATATACAAGATTCTGAAGCTCGAAAATCGATGCCTTTTCAAGTGTGGAGTTTAGAGTTTAGAGGTTCTGGAAAAGATTGAAGTCGATATATTAAAGATGTTCGACAGGCACCGATCGGAGCTAATTCCGTCAATGTGCGCAGCCCACCCGGCTTGAACTGGCCAGCGTTGAAAAGACACTGCTCCTTTGCTGCCCAATCTACCTACTCCCTCGTGTGGCGCTTTGCTGAGCGGACCTGTATGCTCGCAAATCTCTTGCGGCAGGTGAAGCTCGTCTGTCTATTACTGAAGCCGAGCCGAAGCCCACATCTGCGAATGAGTCCGCATGCAAATCCGCGACAATGCAGAGAAAGCTGAAGGTGGTCATGCAGAGACATTGCTGTAGCGTCAGATTTGAGTGTCGCGCGATCTCCAAAAAGGTGTGGCATCTCGCTGCGTATCAGTCTCTGGCTCGACATGCTACTGTTGTAGGCTATGACTCAAACCTTGATTTGGGTTGTGCAGGACGACGATGAGGAGAAGCTTTTCCTGTTTGTCCAGAATCAGAAGGCACCGAAGTGAAAAGTAGACGCGAAGACCACCATCTTTTGCCCTTCCGGATGCCAGGTCATGGGTGCGCAGGAGCTGGCTCTGGCCTCAAGGGCTCAAGAAGACCAGCTTTCACTCTCTCCACCCCTGGGCCCTCCGAGGCACGAGTGGAGATTTCCTCCACAGCCGTGAAGAAGCTGTTGAAGGCGTGGGACGGCGACTTCAGGGCTCATGGCCAGCTGAAACAATTGTGATGTGGAGCTTGAAATGACAGCTGGGCTCAAGACAGCAGCGGTTTCCCTTTGCAATTATGGTTATGATGGTGGATGCGGTGGCGGAAAGCGGAGACAGTGAGGTAACTGCGCTGGTTCCGGACTCGGTCGGCCTTAAGCATGAAATCATTGCAAGGGGTTTCAAGATGTGTGTGGAGGTTGCGTCGTGTCCTTGTGCTGTCTAGGTGCAGCAACTCAGCAGCTCCAAACCGCGTGACCGGTGGAAGGCTGCGGCTGCTCTAGGAAGGATGGGAAAGCAGGTTTCCGGTGTCGCTTCGCCGGAGTTGCTGCGATGTCTCGACGATGACGACCAAGATGTCCGCTGTGCTGCGGCACGAGCAGTCGGGCATGTGTGCGATGGCTCTGCGGTGGACCTCCTCGCAACGCTGCTCGCCTGCGTGTGCGCAGTGCTTTTCTTTTCTGCTCTCCTCCGTGTTTTCACCATAGGCGTAGAGAGCGAGCAGAAAGTTCACAGACGGTCTCTAATCTTTTAGTGACAGTTGTTTTTCCTCTCTCGCGGGATGGACGTGGGGATCCGATCGTTCCAGCCGAGGCTCCTCGAGGACGAGGACGGCTGCGTTCGTTGGGGTGCGGCGGAGGCTTTGGGCAACATCGGTGCAGCGTCGGCGTCTGCCATGGAGGCCCTGCTCCTAATTACGGAAGACGAGGAAGAAGACGCCCGCCAGGCAGCTGTGCAGACTTTGGGGAAGCTGGCCAAGTTGAACGTCATCCGCCGTGCAGAGCTGGTGGAGCCTCTGTGCCAGGCGTTGTCCGATGACGAGTGGAGCGTCCGCAGGGCAGCTGCTGAGGCTCTAGGAAGGTGTGGGGATGAAGCTTCCGGAGTGAGACTGCTCCTCCAGCGAGTGGCCAGGGCCGATCCTCACGCACGTGTGCAACAAGCTGCGGCATCGGCGTTAACGGCGATAGCGAACAGCCCACCTGCGGCTGAAACGAGCGAACCTGCGGGTGCTTGAAATGGGGCACAGAGTCTGAAGCCTTGAGGCCCCAGTGTGAATGACGAGCAGCCATGTTCTGCCCTGCACCGTGTTGTTGCCGCGGGTATCCTGCTATGCGTTTGTCCTGCTTCGAACTGAAATTCCAGTTAAGACTCCGGCAGAGAGACCACTTCCAAGTTGTGGGAGTCGGGAGTTCATGGGGTGATGCGCGCCCATCCCTGTGGGTGCTGTGCCAGGACAGTGAAAAGCTGAAAGGTCCTCAACAAGTTCTACAGTGGGATTCCAACTACTTCCCCACGAGCTTCCCGTCGATATCTCAGTTTCGGCCTTGCAAGCATGCGACACCCTTTCACAATACCATGTTATAATGAAAACATACCAGCGTGTCTGATACGATTGCAACTTCTTGTGATGCTGCTACTGCAACTCGTAATTTTGCCGCCGTTACTTGCTTTGTCCTTGACCGTTTGCCCCCTCAAGCTGTGGTGGACCCAGGCTCATCCCGAGAGGGCAGATCTGGATCACTGCTGCCGCAGCCTTATTTCGAGTGTGCTGGGTAGGCCTGCTTCGCCCTACCCCGCGGTTTTGTTTCACTCGCTCACTACTGTGTGTCGGCTTCTCATGACCAGGCGCATGCACTCGCAGCATGTCGCAGCCTTTTCTGTCCGACTTCCTTCGTGCTTGCTCATGATGCTCAAGCAAACACATAGGCTGCTTTCGGCACAGACTTTTGCCACAACATCAATAATGAAGTCAAGATTGACTCATGTTGGCGGAATGCCCCACCCATCGGCCCCCTTCAGCAAGACGAACACCTGGTTACCAGAGGGGGGGGGGGTAGCATAAATGTGTATATGTTTATGCACACATATGTACATACATACGTACATACATATATCTATATCTATATATATATATATATATGTATATGTACATACATATGAATACATATATAACTGATGTAAAGATCTGTATACATGTCTGATACGTACCAGTAAGTAGGCAAAGCCGATCACAAAATAATTGACGGAGTCAACGGGAATGCATACATGTGCATTTGTGTGTTTTAGATAAATGAGTTTTTATACACACATACGTATATATACATACATACACGCTGTGAAATGCACACACAATTACCTGGGACTGGCCTCATAGTTGGTCTCGATATCAATGTTGGTTGCCAGTCAGCACCCGTCGAAGGAGTCACAACGCTTCATTGCACGAACATGCGAGTTTTGATGTCAGCAATTGGTTCCTTTTTCAATTGCATATCATCTTGGTCACATGTGTCAGGTGCCGGTGGAGGACGAGTACCATGGATATGCCGTGCGGTTCCGAGATCTTATGTGACGAGCAGTGCAGTGCATCCTATCAGGGGTTGTTGGATATTCTGATGTGAGGTTCAGTAGAAGATGCAGGCATGACGTTATGTGTGAAGAAAGGGGAATGCTTTCATTTCTTGGTGTGTTTGTTTGCGTCTTCGCCCCGTCACTGCTTGTCTGTGAGCTCTTAGGAGCTGACTGGCTGCTAGCTCTTTCGCCAGACATCGTCAACATGGGGAGCCATAATGTTTGAAGACGTGCGAAAATCATGCACTGCCCTGGTTTAGATATGGCACCAACTAAGCGTAAGTCAGCCTGGCTCTTCCACTTTAAGTTTCGTGGCTTGTTCGAAACATGTTTCACCGCCGCAGGGGGTCGTGTCTATTCCTGTGCCTGTGGCCGAATTCAGTTGGGAATCGCCAGCTGGAGGACGGACCGCGACAGTGCGGGAAGCAAAGAATTCTGCGTGTGCTGGCCGAATCCTGGTGTAGCTGCTTCTCGGTCAGCGTGGAGCACCGGTGCTCTGTGTGCGGGCTCCTACTCGTATCATCTTTCAGCATTTGCATCAAGGCAGGGCTTCCTTGCGGCTGCGGGACGGTTTGCTGGAACTGAACGAGTTGTAAGGGTGCCTGGCCATGTGTCTTCTCATTTGAGATTGCAGTGGCCTGCAAGCAGCTTCCCTGGCCTTGTGTGGCCATGTTGTGCTGAGGCTGCTGTGCGAATTGCACTTGCCTGTTGATTGCGTGGCTGAGTGGATACTGGCAGACATATGGCAGCACGCAAAACCATCCTTTAAAGTGGTGGCGCGTACGGAGTGTTGTGGCCGTCGCAGCTGTCTGCTGCCATGCGAGTGCATGCGAGTCTGATGATATCTTCTAACGCTTCGCGATCGGTGCTTGCACGCACCGAAGCTGTGAACGGCAAATGATATCCGTCGACTGATCGCAGAGGCTCGCGAGAGGAACCTTCCCTCTGGTTGATCTTCTTGACGTGGTGCTGAAGCCAGGAAGCTCCCTCGCAAGCGATGCCAGTAGCATGAGCTGTGGCGATGTTGCAGAATCATCATCCCGCTGAAACTCTTATAAGGTCCATGGCCTGTTAAATTTCTTTCACAAGACATTCGTCATGCCTTCCGCGACCTCCAGTGGGGCTACCTGACATTTCCGTGTTAGATTTCTGCCTGCGTGAACAGATCCTGCGTGCTGCTGCTGGCCAGGCAGTGTTGTGAAGGGCTTAGATTGTCGAAAATCGTGGGGATCCTTGTTCATCCAAGGTGCGTCTGCGACAACGCCCCACCCACTCTACGGGGGTCTTCCAAGTACCTGCAGCCTTTGGAATCTTCCTCTCCTGCTCTCAGAATCCCTAGAATCTCAGAATACCTGGTTTCATTTGAGCGAAACTTTGTCGCCGCTGCCGCTGAACTGCTCAAATCCAGCTCAACCCCCTAGTTGCTTGTGCCACATGTAAGAGAATCAAAATGCAGGCCGGGGAAGACAGGCTGCAGGCAACATCACCAAGAATAGCAAGCACAAGCGACTCGGTACAAAGCGTGCCCACTGGTAGAACTAGCGAAATGATGATACACGTGTCTTTTTGTTTCGAGTTGAGCTCACCAAGCTACGCAGTCAAGGCCAAGCTGTAGTTGCAGCCCTCACTTAGATTCTGAGTACCGCAATCTGTCGCCACGGCGAATCCTTCAAATGTGTCCCCATGGCGAATATCCACCCCGCCTGCAAGCCCGTCTCAGGATATTGCCACCGAGCAAAGATCGGGGGATTAGATGTGTGCTCTGTGAAGTCCGAGTGATGCCTGGATGGATCAACCCTTGTAGGAGACTTCCATGTCCTGAACGTGATGATCAAGGAATGGCGGGGAATCACAGAACGTGGGAGCTTCATGCGTGGACTGCGAACACGTTACTTCAGATTCAGGTTGCCTTATGATTCAGCTCGCTGCAAGGAGCATGTCACGAAGTCCTTCAATGCTTTGCTGACATGCAACATCAAGGCAGGTCCTATACCATTTAGCAGAAAGCCCAGCGCACGAGCCTCGTAGGTTGGTCGCTCTGTGCACGCTGCAAACATTGCACAGCAGGTGCCTTACATGAAGGCGGTGAACTTGGAGGGGCCCCCACGGGCGAACCGAAAAGAAGCAGTCAAGGACGGCTGGGTCATGCCGAGAAAAGTATATGCGAACGTCGTGGCGGGGGGCCGACTGTCAGCCCGTTGAGTCGTGTCGGCGTCCAGAGGCATAACATGTATGAGGGGGTTGGACTGCAGCTTCACCCGCCTGTTGAAATTTTGCACTGTGCTTGGGCAAGTGTGTCCGTGGCTGCGGTCTGACCCATTGAGGATTCCGAAATTGAGGTTAGACCCGCATACTTTCCGAACAGACCTGCGATGCTCCGAAGAGAGGACGGAATGGAGCTTGGCAAGAAGTTCTTGGCAGAGGGCGAGGCCCGACAAAGGGCTTCTGGCAGTTGCCGCCAGTTGCCAAGACAGTCTTCGTCTTTCATCCCAGGCTGGGGCACGATCTGCCTCTTGGTCGCAGTTGCTCCAGGGGTGCGCCGAGCGCCTTCGCCTCATTTCCATAATATTGTGAGGTGTGCCTGAAGCTGAAGAAGACGCGCTGGACGCCTCAGCAGCCTCTGGGACGTGATAAGAAGAAGTTGCACACGTGTTAGGTGTGTCAGAGACATTGTCAGTTGAGGCTGTCAGCCGTCGACGAGAAAGACCTGTACACCAACCATCCTCTTCCGGGTCCGGGAGGGAGGACTTCTTTGCTGCGCGAGCCTGTTCGTGCCTGTACGAGGCTTCCGGGACAACCAGGAGCTTCTGAGCAAGGAGGCGGGCGCCCGGGCGATGCCTTCGAGAGCACACGACGACCTCGATGCTCTCGCCTTGCTCTTGTCTTGCTCTTGTCTTGCTCTTGTCTTGCTCTTGTCTTGCTCTTGCTTCCTCCACCAACCCGCTTTGTCGAGGAGGCGCTCGTGCCCCCTGGTGAAGGCTGGACACGGCACAGTCCGACCATGCCTCTCAGCAGCACTCAAGGTTCGTGATTGCCCGAAGCATGTTGGATCCCCACCAGCCAAGGCTGGTGCATCCCCAGAGCTGCAGCCTTGGAAATTCCTTCACCAAAGGGACGAAGAGACACATCCGCGCTTCTGCGCCATCTGCGTCGCGTGGTCTGGCGACTGGCGAGGCCAAGTGTTCTTCTTCCAGACGGGCGAGAAGGCAGCACGTGCTGACGCGTGGTACAGTGCCATATCTGCTCATGCAGGCTGGGAGCTACGTCCGTCGAGGTACAAGCGCAGAGTGGCAGGACATCGATCCTCCGCACACTCCGCAGGCCGCTCCATCTCCACTCTCTCGCTAGAGCTGGGAGTGCTGAGCCAATCTAACAGGAGTACGACCTCCTCGTGCGCGCCGGGAGTGCCTCAAGCTCCCGCCCCTCGAGCATAAGTTGAGCAAGGAATCCCACATGTCAAGACCATGCTTCAACCTCAACTTCAGGGAGAGAGGCAAAGACAGAGAGCTTGGTCCGAGGCCGAGGCACCAAGCTGGACCGTGCGGTGATCCTGAACGATGTCAGGGCCTCGAGCCGGTATTTGCAGAGAGGGAGTGGGGGGCAGTGTGTGGGGAGGGCAGATACCAGCGGGGGCTCGCCCTCAAGCCTGTGAAAGAAAAAGGCAAAGGCACTTTTAGAGTTGACTTCGGGAGAAAATTCATCGCAAGTGAGATGTCGAACCAAGTTGAAAGTGTGGGCGAAAGCTTGACCCAGCGTCTCTAACACTACTTGCGTAGAGGATTTCGCGGATATGGCTGCACTACGGCACAATCCGGCTTAGACAAAGCTTTGGGGGAATTAGGGTCTGGGTGGTCCGACCGGACCCTTCGAGGAGAAATCTGTTTGCTGGAAGTTTTCCGTTTTGTTCTCCGCATTGTTGTACATAGCATTCTGCAGACCGCGGCAGAAAGTTGAAGGGAACTCGGAGGAAGGGAAAGTAACGTTTCTGTTGTTTCGTTGTTTGGACAAGCGCAAAAGCAGAAGCCCCGAGCATCGCTTCTTGCGGTCTATTTAATTTTACAAATCAGAAATGGTCAAACGGTGCTCAAGCGTTCCGGCCAATGAGGAGTGTGGGTTTAGAGAATTGCAAGACATTACTACATAATCTAGTTCTATTCTCTCGAGGTGACGAAGATCGCACGGTTGGCTCTGAAGCTGCCCCTGAGCTTCGTGGACCGTCCTGCCAGCGCTTTCGCCACTCCGGCAAAATCAAGCCAAACTACGGAGGAGTGAATTGACAATTTTCCACCACACCCATGTGCCAGCACAAGGCCCTCTTTTACGGCGTGCGCAATGCTGATGCAGCACAGTGGTGTGCCGAGCTGCGCGGCTGCATTTTCCACCTTTGTTCGCCGTCGCTCCTCGCAACGGGGCAGGGCTGGGCACCCTTGCAAGCTGTTTGCAATGGTGTTGCTTGCCATTGCCTGTCGACAAGGAATTTTCACAAGAAGCTTCTGCCGCGACTCGCTGAGAAGATCCATGTCTTCACCACAGAGGTGGGCCCGGGTGTATCCGATCCGCGTTGTGAAACACAAGCTGCGCAAGGATCTGCAGGGAGTGCTGGAGGCTGGGGACGGCTACGGAGCCTAGGACAGTTATCGGCCGGTGACCGAGGCCACGCTGCGGGACCTGGATGGTGAGCTGCTGAGCGGCCCTGCACCCAGGAACAGGGGCGACCCTGGCCTGGTCGTGAGTCCCCCTTGCCCTTCTGCTGTCCAGGTCCTGGATCCGCATGCAGCCCATACAGTGGCTCTGGCAGCACTCGCACTTCATTTGCAGAGGTGAAGTCACTGCGGCACTGCGGTGCAGGTGGCTGCTCTGCGCTGCTGGCCTTGCTGCTGGGCCCCTCGAATCGAAATCTCGAAGCAGAGATGCGGGTCGACTCACATTGTGACGGGTTGGGCACGTCACCAACCCTTCATCAAATGTGCCCCCCTCCTTTCGATGCGACCACTGAAGATTAGACTGATTAGAGGTGTGAAAGGGGAATGTGTAGATTTTTCAGAAGGAAACCGCCTGGTCATGAGCGGTGTTGGCGACTGCCGCGTGGTGCTTCTGGAAGGGGAGGGCCAGGCCAGACGCCGGGTCGAGGCTTTTCTTATCATGATAGCTGTTGGTTGTGTGCATTCTGAGCCCTCGTGCTGCGGTGCTCAACTCAGCGCCCTTTCAAGATTGCAGGCGGCAAGCGCGACGCCGCTCTTGGAGAAGGCGGCTGGCCTCGAGGAGCCAGAGGAGCAGCAGCGTTTCTGGAAGGCTGGTGGAATGGCCGGATGCTAAGAAGTTGGGAGGAAGGGGGCACGGTGGCACTTGTGCCGGACAGTGCTGGATGAGGTTTCTAATGGCCTCCTGTACCATCAGCAGCCGGAACAACTGGACGATGTCCACCGCATACTCAGTGCACCGAACGTGCCGCCTGCCCGAAGCTGGTGTGCTCCTTCCATAGAAGTGTCATGAGTCCGTGATATCGATCGGTGCGCATCGTTGAAGCACCCACACGCTTTGCAACGGGGACCATAATGTCCAAGAGTCAACAAAGCAACGGTTAAATGCTGTTGCTACTTCGATTCAACACATCACGTCCTATCTGCACTTATTTCGGGATGCCCATTGCTGCAGAATCACTTGCTGCGTGGTTTCATAGCTCTACTTGATCGGTCCTTGAATGGCCGAGTCTGGGCAGAAAGCCCCATGCGTACTCGGAGAGGTGTAGTTGTGGTTTACGCCCGACCGTGCTTGCTTGCTTGCTTCAGCTTCGACGTGCTCCTCGCAGACAGCGAAGAGATCGATGAGAAGCAGGCACCGGGAAAAGCCACGAGCGCCTCTAGCTGCCGCCACTTCCTCACAAAGTCCAATTCAGGTAAAGGCTTCGTACCGACGCTGGGCACTGCGAGTTCACCCGGACAAGCAGACGGGTGCGGAGTGCGATGCTGACAGGAGAACTAACTCATGGCTGCCAGCGTTGATAGGTTGCAGGGGTCATACGAACGTTTTTTGTTTGTCAGAACTGTGGCAGGGGCACGAAACGTTCGCAGGCTTGTGAGTCCATACAACGACGGCATGCCCAACATGCCCAAAATAGGCATCGAAGCATTCAGGAGAGCTTTCGGCTTGGCCTTCGCGCGGTTGGAAGAGCTGCTGGGCCGGGAAACGTGCATTTCGGACGCTGCATTGGCAGATATTCGGTCTTTGGCCCTGCGGAGCTTTGCATGTTGTGGATGTTTCCGCACGCTTCATACTGGTATCGAATCTTGTTGGAACGTATTTCGTTACATGAACTTTGGCACACATGGAATCTTAAGTTGGGCTGCCAAGTCCTACTGCGTGCGAACCTCAGCACGAATAATTGCACACCCCCTTAACCTCGACTGAATGCTTAGTTTAGTGTTAATGTCTGGGGTTGAGGTACGGAGAATGATTTGGGATTTCGGGATGAAGTTCGACTTCAGAAACTTCCGGGGGCAGAGTGCGCCCTGTTGGAAAGTTGTTGCTGGTGAGGGCAGACCAGGCCTCCGCACGGAGCAAGCTAGGCCTCCAGTCCGGCCCTGAAGGGGCGGAGCGGAGCCTTGGTGTCGACTTTGCGAGGTCTCGCGAAAAGCTTGAGGCCATGATTGCCGAGGCCTGGGGACAACAATGTCCAAGCATCGTCAAATTGACACTGCTTTCTCCAGCATGCGGAATTTGGCAGGACATCGAGTCGTGCCGCGAGCTTCGCCGGGTTCTTCGTGCAGAGGCAGGGCTTTTCTTGTTGGCCTGGTGAGGGCAAGACAGACCTGACGGCACCCTCGCACGAAGATACCGACATGTACCGACAAACTCTTTGGGGTTGTGTTCGGGGAATGCGTGACGCGAGCCTGCAGCACCTGCGGTCGCAGGTCGCCACACGTGCCGGCGCAGCCGCCTTGCTGGGTGTGGACAAGGCCGCAGCCACTGAGACTCAGACGGCAGAAGGGGGTAAGTCGAAGCGTTCAGGGGCCCACACGACCTTTGGGAAGCGAGTGTAGAAAGTCTGCAATGACCATCGCAACTGGCACCACACACATCTGTGTTTCGAGGATTCTATCATCGAGGAGGTGGTGCCGTGGCAAAATGCAGGGTGGCACATCCATGGAAGTGTGGGAGCGGTGCCGTGTCTCCGCATGACGTAGAGATGCCGGAGCTTTGGACGTTCTGAGTTCTGAGGCAAAGGAAGCCGAGCGGGCCGCGAAAGAGCTAAAGCGGAAGATTTCGAAGATGGAGGCTCGGCGCCGGGTGCCGCGTGTTGCACCAATGTTGCCCAGAGTGCCTGGGGAACAGTAGAGAAGCAACACGCTCGTTGTATCCTCATTTCCACAAATCCTGTGAGTGGGAGCTCAGTGCTGAGAAGCGGCCTGTGTGGGTGGCCTGCAAGGTGGTGGCGCCAGATTTCCGGCAAGCCGAAGCCATCTGCAACTGGGCTGGAAGAGGGAATTACTCTTCCCCTCTTCTCCGCTTCTCTTCACTTCAGTCTCTGTGCCCGTGCTGCGCGTTGAGGTGACGAGGCTGTCCGCACCGTGTCGCGGCCCATGGCCGCAGAGGCGCTGCCGCGCAGCGAGGCCCTGCTCCGCGAGGGCGCCCAAAGCAGCCGGGCCCTGGGAGCCTTGGCCCGCGAAGAGCCAGAGCGCCAGAGCAGAAGAAGAGCTAAGAGCATGAGGAAGATTCGAAGAAAGCATAAGTAAAGAGGAGAGAGATTCAGAATCTGTAAAGATGCTCGCGCTCGCCGCTTTGCTCTGATCTTTGCGACGGGCGGCGCCCGGGCCTAGGCCTTCGGGATCTTCGCTTTCCGCGGCCGCTGGTGCTCATGGAGCCGACGTCTGTCAGCTTTGTGCTCTCGACCAACGCTTCTGTGCGCTTTGCACTTCTCTGTGCTGGCCCTGGCTTCTTAAATGAGCCTGAGGCAAGAGACTACAGGGCGCTGTCGCACTGTGATTTTTGTCAAAGGTGGTGCGACGGCTTCTCTCAGTGATGAGAGCTTGACTCGAGCAGCAGCCGCACATTCCAGAAGGCCGCAGGGCAAAGAGTTGGTTGGTTTGGGGCGTTTGGACTTGATTTCTTTGCCGCACACAACAGGGTGAGTCGAAGACAGTGCGCCAGTGCCATAGGAGTAGTTGCTGAAGAATGGGACACCCACCACACATTTTGTTCAGTGTTCGGATGGAGGCCCCTCGTATTGGTTAGTAGGCGATGAGGTGTGCACGTTTTGGCGTCTCTGAGGCCCAAGGCCTCCGTGTTGGTCTTCAACGCGCTGTCGGATACGAGCACTCCGTCCTCGCCGGTAGCAAACGCGTCCAGCGCTTCTGCGCCTGGGCAGGGTCGAGCGCACTTCCATGGTTCTTGTTCTTGTGATTTCTTGTGGCAAACATTGGCATCATGCCTTGCTACTGGTACGTTGCCAATAGCCCGAAAACACTGCTGTCGTCATAAATAGTAAATAGTCACAAATGATGCTTGCGGCGTTTCACAAAGTTACGATTCACGAGCGGAGAATGTTCTCCTCAACAACGAGGTATGCATCAGCGTGAGGCGGTCTGGAAAGGCAGGGCATGCTTGATTTCAACACGTTTGATAGTTTGATGGTTATCATTCTCTGGATCGAGCCAAAACCTTGTTGCTAATTGCGGAGCCGCTGGTTGCCACTTGTCACCAATCCGTAGTGGTTCAAAGAAGCATACTCTTGCTGCAGCGAGGTCGAAACTTCTGCTGCTAAGCGCCAGAAGACTGGCAGCTCCGACACTGTGCGAGTGCACGGCCCAATTTCGGTTGAGGACCAGACCCTAAAGTTGTAACGACATCCCAAGCGTTCATCTCTGCGACTGTCAGTATGCATTCGGTGGAGCGGCCTCAGCAAAAGCCACAGTAGGCCATGTGACTCAAACAGAACTATGGCATCCTATATTTCAGTTATTGCAATTATTGTTCGGTCTTGTATGGTCGTATAAGGTTGTGTGTTTGGTGCACCGTCAGCCCTGTTCAGAGAGTGGTCTCGTTTGCATGTTCTGGGACTTGAGGTTACAACTTATGACTCCTGGCCTCTTGCTCCCGTGTGCTTAGCTCCCTTTTGAGCTTATCTTCGGCACAGCAGGCCCCGATTACTCGCCAATTTCGATTTCGCTAAGGTGCGGCACATCCTGTTGCGCCATCAACAGGTCCGCCAGGTGCAGCAATACACATCGAGAAAACTCTACCATTGAAGTCGATGTTCACCCCAGGAATCGCTGCCCCTGTTTGTCGTGTGTATGAGGCAGACCCGATGCTGCGCCGGGACCCTGGCAGAGCGCTGCCAGACGCGGAAGAGCTCGCCCTCAAGACGCTGGAGACGCTCCTGAAGACCCCGTAGCTCAGCTGCAAATCGGGCGCCTCATGTCACTTTTCTTTCTTGTCGCGTTCCCACTGCGAGGAACCAGTTTCCCAAGCTTTGCAGGCCTGGGGCTTGGGGCCTGGGAATGCAAAGCATGAAAAGCGCTTGCTGTTTTGTTTGTGCCGTGGGCGCAGGGAGCTCTCGGACTGCCAAAGCGGGGATCAGCCCGGGCAGCTCTGCGGAGATCTGGGCTGGTTGGCCCAGAGCTCAGAGCGGCGCCACAGCTCGTCGAGGCCCCAGGCGACGTCTCTCGCAGGTCAAGGGGCAGACGGAGGCAGTGTTGGACGAGGCGGTCTTCGCGCTCAGTGAGCCCTGGCCGCACCAAATGGGCCCGGCCATTAGGTGTGGAGAGAAGTGCAGTGCGAGCTAGAGAGGCTGACATTGTTTTGTTGTCGGCTCGTGGAGCGAGGTCAACGAGTTCAGCGACGTACTTGCTGGCAGCCGTGGCCTCCACATAATTCAGAGGCTAGCCTAAGACTAGCTTCTTGCCATGGCTTAAAAGACTGCAGGGCTTCAGCTTGTCAATCTCCGCAGCGTGCGCGAAGACTCACCCAGAATCCATCCCTGCAGCCGTCAAGCAGGAGTTTTTCGTAGCTTGACGAAGACCGAGTGGTCATCCATGATGGACGACCTTGGTCGTCGCAATGACAAATCAGTGACTATAGCATACTGCAGCAAGGGGAGCCAGCTTGTGCTGAGATGTTTAAGCCGCTTCAGCAGAATGCTACAGAATGAGCTTGCCTAGTGGACCGTCAATTCCTCATCTCATGTCCTGCAACATCAGGCGCCGCATGATACACCACCTTCTAGAGCAAAGTAAAGACCGGCAAAGTCGGAAAAATCCACACCGCGTCGTAGACGTGCTCCCTTCGCCTCCGGCTTTCATGGATGGCTTCGACTTCTGCGAGATGCCGGTGGCCTGGGCCTCCGCACCGGATGAGGCAATCAGCTGAGGAGCTGTCTCCTGGAAGCTGCAAGGCCGTACACCGTGCGACTGTGGCGGGGCGAGACTTGCAGTTCTGGGCCGCAGCACGACAGGCCGGATCTCATCCTGTCATACTGCGCCCAAGTCAAGCTCGGCCGTGTGAAGCCTTGACAGGCCGACCTACCTTTAGAAATGGAGGCTCCTGGGGAGCGAGGCGTCTCTTCCCGCGCGGAAAGCACTTCATGACAGGAAGTTTCCGAAGTGTCCAAGCTGCTGCCAGAAGACTTCAACGATGACAGCATCTTGCACCTTGTCAAGTCAATTTGCAGAGAGTTTGAGCCCTTCCTAAGTCCGAAGACAGCTCGTTGTACGGTGCCGTCACATGGACCTCTGGCCGAAAGTCATACTGATCCAGGAACAGCATGTGTGCCTGCATTTTCGACACCGCAACTTGGTGTCAACCAGAAGGGCAGTTTGGAAGAAGGACGATTTGCCGTGCTAGTGCTGCTAGTGGCTGCTTTGTTGTGGCAACGCAGGTTCCGGCCCTGTGCTGGAGGCTCTCGCGCGAAGCCTTCACTGGCAAGGCGCTGGAGCTTGGCGGCCCGGCATCAGATGGTGTCAGTCTGTTGTCTCTGGAACTTGCTCAGAGCATGTGAGGTCTGGGTCGGGGCAAGACCCTGTTCTTGGAAAGTGCCGAGGTTCTGGCATGGGGCTTCCTGGCTTGTGGCTGGCTTCGGCTGGGGCGCACGTGGTCCTGACAGACTGCCATCCAGGAGAAGCTCCGCACATCCGATACCGTTTCAAGGAGTGCGAGCCATGCCAGCGATGCGCTGTTCTTATCACGGAGTCTGTGTCCCTGTGTTCCATAATCTGTTCAAACAGCCACTTCGACGACAGCCAGGGAGCAACTTCCTGCACCTGTGCACCTGTACTGCGAGAGTCTGATCTACTGGAAGCGAGGAGTCCTGCGACTGCTTCAGCTGAACGTCGATCTAAATGGCCTGCAAGGCACGGGGCACCCATACTGACTGCAGATGCTGAAGAGGTGCTCTTAGACGGTGTTGGCTGCGGCTTTGAACGGGATGTAGCTCTGGGACTACACACAGCTTCCGTTCAGGCAGGGCAGAAGTCAAAGCACTTCGCTGGGAGGCCTGTTGCGGGGCTCCAATGTTGATCTGAGTCCGTGCTGTATCCTCATCAGCCGTTTCCCGCGTCCTGTCGCAAGCTGTCTCTCATGAAGCTGACAGAGCACACTGCAAGCTGCAAACGCAACTTTCTTGACGTCGCTCGTTCCGTTCGCCAGGACCGGCCTCTTTGGTTGACAGGCTTTGACCTGGTGATCGGCTCGGCATCCTGACTGACTGCAGAAGAAGTTGCCCGTCTCTTCGGCGCATGTGTTTGCATAGCGGTTGGGTGGCTCGGAGTTCGATGTAAGCGGCCCGCTTATGTGCGGGTTTGTTCTGTAGCAGGCACAAAGACTCTTACACAGCTCTGGTTTGGTGCTATTCGTTGCCATCGTCCTGTGACTTGCTGCCGTGGCAAGGACATCCTGCAGCTTGATTGCAAAGAGCCTGCCGGAGGTGCAGTGTTCGCACTGCGGCAGTCAGTCGGGTGCTGGGTGCCGCATTAGTTTGCCGGATCCTGCTCCGTGTCGGCAACTCTTTGGGTTGACAAACTGGGATGTTGACGACAGTGATGTGAGCTGAAATCCTGAAATTTTCTGAGGTACGAAATTGCCGGCTTCCGGCTCTTCAAGGCGGCTGCTTGTGCCCTGCGACCCGGTGGGCGCCTAGCTGCTTGGCCGCTGAAGCTCCCGATGCAGCCAGGGGCCATGCGCCGACGTGGTAGCCCCTGCCGCATGCATCGCATGCTCGTGCCAGGTTCTTGCGAACACCATACGCGGGGCCAGCGTTGGAGCTACTCGGATCATTCGAGACTGGAGACTTCGGCCAAAAGCATTGCGACAGTGCAGGCGGCTAGGCCATGCACACAGCTCGCAGGTAGCAGCCATCCAGCAGCATGCAGCATCGGCGGGCCTTTGCCTCAACGGCTGCGTAGACGCTGCGGTGGGAGAGGCAGCGCACGGGACAAATCGTTCTCCGAAGATTGCCAAGATTTTGTCTACCTTAGATAGCTTCTATTGGTGCAGATTTCTCACTGTTTATCCCAGCATCGTGCAATGGGAGATTAAAACGGCCAGACCCTTCTGTGCCAGGTTGCCGTCTTCGAGTTTGAGAAACTGGACCGTGTCGTCCCTTCATGCGAACACAGCTGCGGAGAATCAAAACATGCTTGCTGCCGGCGTCTCTGAACTGTCACTACGACGACGACTACTACTACCTGACCTGGTTCCTTCAATCTATGTTTCTTGTTTATTACGACGGGGAGTACTACGACTACGGCTACCAGTACCAGTACCACTACTACTCTTGCTGCTGCTGCTGCTCCTGCTCCTCCTCCTCCTGCTCCTGCCACTGCTACTGCTACTCACCAGCACCGCCACCAGCAGCACCAGCAGCACCAGCAGCAAGAGGGGCACCAGCAGCACCAGGACCGGCACCGGCATCGGCGCCAGCATCGGCATCAGCAGAGGCACCAGCACCAGCACGAGGTCCGCGCGTCCGGCCGCCCCTGCTATGTAAGACATGTGTCATGGAGCGCGAGTATTCATGCCGAGGGCCAGCTACGGCAAAAGCTGGAACGCCAATGGCCGATATAACATCACGGGGTCTCAACACCATGTATCTGATATCATTTGATATCTGTTTCTGCATGCTGTAAGTCGGTTGGTCAGAGCTTGAGTTTAGTAGTGGAAGTAGGTACAGTATGATTCATATTCATGTAGTAATGAGTCATACGAATGTTATTGGTTGCAGCAGCAGCAGCCGGCATCATTGTTAGCGTCGTGGCAGTACTAGCAGTGCCAAGTGGTAGCAGGCAGCAGCAAATACGAGAAAGTCATAGTGGGTAAGGTGGCAGCGTGAGAAAATTGCCATTAATATGAAGTTGCATGTATCATGTAGCAAGCAGTAAACATTCGTATTGTCGGAGTCATAGTCAAGGCCATCATCGTGCCAAAAGGTCCTTAGATTACAGCCTGGCTCAAGAAGTCTTCCGTGCGCTCCGGTGGACTGCTTAGCAGTTGCTCCAGGACGGACTTGGCTTGAATCATACAGGGCCAATTCCCCAAGTCAAAGGTGCAATGAGCTCGTGATGATGACTTTCATCCGATTGCCCTGTTGCCCGAACATGGCAAAGACTGCAGTGTAATGATGCGAAACCGATTAACAACAGCCCCCGAGACCGGACAGAGAGTTGTTTGTTTCCATCATATGGAGTCCTGACGGGACTTGCTTCTCAGTACACAGTCTTTTCGCACAGCCTGGCAACCATTCTTGGATGGAGCATCGCTTGCTCTGGAAGTGGTTGTCCAGGCTGTGGGGGAGTTTGCGGCTGACGGTTTGAAGAATGACAAGCGAAAAAGGCTCGCAGGCCATGCATACCAAATCTCTGCTTACTGAATCGTATGAATCAGCCAAGTAACTCGGTGAGTGTAAGGCTTTAGAAATCATGATAGCGTTATGTGTCACCCGAGGCTTACGGATTGAAGGGCTTCACCGAGTTTCTGATGGTCTTGTAGACGGGGTGGTCGCGGAAGCTGCGAGGACGGCATGGGCGAGGCCAAGCCAACATCCACGACGCGGGGGCAACTCCCAGGCTGCAACGGTTTCTGCAGCCGGTGCTAAGGTGGTCATGCCTTGACCAACGCATGATCTGAAGAATAGAAGAACCGCAAGTGTGCCTGATGCGATCGTGATGTTCCTCACATTCTGAACATTACATGAAATGTCTGCGCTGTTGTCCCACTCGCATCTGATCAGTCTCTCTCGAATCTGCCCCCGAGCTTGATTGCGAGGCATACCTGCATCAGTCGACCGGGTCTCTGCAGATTGTATCTGGAAGACACTCTGCACTGGTGCGAGCCTCGAGAATGGAGACTCCACTGCCATAGCAAAGCGCAATAAAGCGCAGCTGCACCCGGCTCCGAGTGTTGCAAGCTCTTCCGTGTAACTCTATTTTGGTGCGCAGAGAAACTTAGCCTTGTAGAGGAGAACATGAGTACGTGCGGCACCGGAAGCTGCACCCGGCCAAGCCGCGCTGGATGCCTAGACATGGGCTGGGGATCATCCTTCAGCCCTTGTTGTTGCATTTAAATTTCAGCAGGTTGAGATAGGAAAGGGGATTCTCGTATAGCTCGGCGCCCAGGGTGTCAAAAGTGGATCTTCAGCATGAAAACGAGAGAAGATCGGATCAGGAAGAGTCAGTGGTAAGGCTAGCTGCGACGATGCATGGGTCCGCAAGGTGAGCTGCTGTTGTCGCAGCTGCACGGCTTTGAAGTCGTTGCATGCTCAGTGGAGACACGGTCGGTTGAGAGACTGGGTGTTTGCCCGGCGCCGTTTTGGTTTGCAGGTCAAAAACGCATCGTACATCAGCGTTCGCAGGCGGAAGCCTACTGGTGAGGCCCGCCCATTTTTTATTTCGAAGCCTGCCGGCGTAAGACCTTCCAGAAACTCTGCGGTCTCTGCAGGAGCTGCAGGGTTCAATGAGCCGCTTTGTAGGCGACGACACCAAGGATGCTGCGTTTGTGACTTTTTGCACAGCCTGGTGTTTCAAGAAGCATCTTCACCATCGATTGCAAGAGCGGCCTTTGTGGCATCGTCTTCCCTTCGGCAGTGCTCACATAGACATATCAAGCCAGTGTCGTGGGCTGCCATGCGCAAGGAGAGATATGGGCCTCCGCCGTTCGTCATGCCCGTTGTCGAGGCAGAAATTTGCCGTTGCTCTGTCTTCTTGCCACGTGGCAAACCTTCGTGACAGAGCATGACAGAGCGGCTGGAGCAGACAGGTGACGCCGGAACGTCCACCTTTACAACTTCCGAAATATGGCCGTTTCTCTTGTGATCATATGCATCTCGCTTGCATTTGGCATGCAATGGGCTCGCATCTCAACCGTTTTAAGCCAAAGCGAGAGAGACCTGCTCAAGTCCGGCATGTAGTGTGAGGAGGCCCAGATGTGAAGCATGTGTGGGTCCTCGAACGTATAGTGTGGACTTCCAACCAACGTAATCCTCAGATGGCAACACGACCGTGCCAGGTACAGTGGTGCAAGTGTGGTTTGGGCAGATGTTGATGCGATGAAAGGGCGTTCACTCTTACAAGATCATGTGTCGAGTATAGAATAGTCACGGAGTAGTATAGTTTACGTCGCTTGTATGATCTGCTTTGATGCCAAGGTGTCCGCTCGAGGTCAACCCTGATGCTTCCCAGACAGGACGCCGGCCTGGGAGTCGGAACCATGTGCAGGGTGACGTTGTGGGCATGGTGTTCTAATCACTGTCTTTGATATTGCCAGGATTTGCCAGGATTGCTGCCTGCGAACATCATCAAACTCATTAACTGGTACTGTAGCTGGAGACGCTGATGATCCGGCAAAGCTTCAGGAAAGAGCCTGGCGCGGGTAATGTCAATGCCATCTGTGAAGTCGCTGGAGGCAGGAAGACCGTTAGTGTGCGGAAGGGCTGAGAGTAGCTGAGTCGGACGGGTGAAGCTGAAGTTGCGCGGATTGCTGCCCTGAAGCGAAGGGGCCATGACGCTCGAGGGCCAAGCTGAGCTGAGCTGTTGGGCTCCTGTTAGTAGCGAGATGTAGGTCGATAGCCGAGGTGTAGGGCGAGGTGCAGGAGTGTAGCAGGAAGTCTTTTCTTCTCCAAGCTTGTGATGCCATGTGCAGATAGGACTACAGTAGCGTTGCTGCCTTCATGCCACATCCTGTTCCCATCGCCGTTTGGACGCGCAGCTGTGTATATGGCGGTCGAGGTGCCGGCTTTTTCCCAGGAGCCGCAGCTCTGCCATTTGTTCGCCAGAAGGCGAGATTTTGTGTGCAGGGCAAAGTGTGTTCTTGATCAGGGAAAGGACTGCGTACCCAAACGGGTCGCGCAAGAAGGCACAGGTGTTGCACGTGGAGCTAGTGGCGAGCAGATCTTACTCGCAGCCCCCGCCCTTTTCAACCTCTCTCATTAACTTGCGCCGCACGCTGGCTACTGTCGTGCCTGGCCTCCTTGACACTGAATTTGTTTGTGCCGGCATCACAGAAGGTTGCCCTCGCGAATGCGAGTGAAGAGGTGCTTGCGAATGCGAGTGAAAAGCTTACGCTGCCTGACTATTCGAGGTTGTTGGCCTGAGGAATGCATAGTCCATTTGTCCGAGTCATGAATGCACAACCGGCCGGGTCCATTCACGCCGCTCAGGCCCAAACGCAGGCCTGGATGTCCCGCTTATTACACTGGACCACGTCCCCGATGACCCTGCTGCATAGTCAGAGGTGATAGGCTGTAAGTTGCTAGCTGCCATCTTAACACGTAGCTGCTTGAAGATACCAGTTTCTAACTGTTCTGGAGCTGAAAGTTGGGCAGCCGGATCCCGCAGTGCATATTCCAATGCAGAGCCCCCAACTCGTGCGCCTGAGCTTGACACCTCAACATCTGCACCCACTATACATACCCATTGCATGCCACCGACGAATGCACTTTCATTGAAGGTGATCAGTATTCATGGTACTCTTATCACGAAAGCCAGCTCCTTGGAGCTTGCGGGACTTCTTGTTTACAAATTCTCTCTCGGATGAACTAGCGCGGAGGCTCCCTTTTCTCCGATATATCAAGGACTTTTTGGGTCGCAGAGGGGGGTGGTGGCCCCCCCCCACCCTTTTTGTTGTTTCGATAAGGGCGGGGAGGCCCCCCCCTCCCCGCCCCCTCAGGCCCCCCCCCCCCCCCCCCCCCCCCCCCCAAGGGCCCCTTTTGTTTTGGTGACTGCTGATTGTGATGCATGCTTAGATGTGATCCTTCGGCTTGGCAACTTCTTGTGCGGTGAGCCCAGCTAGAAAACCAAATTCGCATGGGGCCTCTGCGTGTTTTAGTGACTGCTGATTTTGATGCATGCTTGGTTTGATCCTTCGGCACTGCAGCATACTTGACAACTTCTTGTGCAGGGTTTGGCTCATCTATGCGTATCCGACTGCAAGAAAAGTGACCCTAGCCGTCCTCGCCTCGCTCGTTGCCTGCAGTCATCGGCAAAAAACGTCGGAAAAAAACGCTGCGCTTTCAGTGCCTCCTGTGCGGACCCTTGGCAGAGTCCCCGGGCGCAAAACGCCACTTTGCTCTCGCGCCTCTGGGCACTGCTTGGCCTCAGCAAGCCCCGCAGCTCGCTCGTCGACGTCCGCCAGCACGTCCTGCACCGTCTTGTCGCCCGAACCACCTACTGTTCCTCTACTTGCTACTTCTCCGTACTCCTACTCCCTTCCTGGCTTTCGTCCGCCCTGCTCTCAAGTACGGCTCATGTTACACTACTACTATTACAACAACTACTACTACGACGACGACTACTACTACGACTACTACTGCAACTACTGCTACTACTGCTACTGCTACTACTGATACTACTGCTACTACTGCTAGTGCTACTACTACTGCTACTACTGCTAGTGCTACTACTACTACTACTACTACTACTACTACTACTACTACTACTACTACTAGTACTACTACTACTACTACTAGTACTACTACTACAACTACTGCCACCACTACTGGTTGTACTGCTGCTACTGGTTCGACTGCTACTACGGCTGCTACTGCTACTACTGCTACTACTGCTACGAATGCTACTGCTGCTGCTACTGCTACTGCCGCGACTACTTCCAGTACTGCTACAACTGCGACTACTGCTGCGACTGCTGTTGCGTCATGAATGAAGCTGCAGGCAAGGACGCGTACCAACCACGAATCAACCTGATGATATGCAGGTACGGTGGGCCACAGGCAGACTACGACAAGTATGTCAGTCGCGGGCTTGGTGATTTTAGGTTTGCCAGGAGGAATGTGCTCGTTATGTTGGTCGCATGCAGGTTATGCCAGAGTTTGCTTGCAGCCCATGGCGACGCGAGGTCTGTACGCCTCCATGGCAGGGCCCGGAGTGACCTCCGGCAGCAACTACAAGGGCAAAGGGTCAGCCGCCGAGGATTCGCTTGCCCCGTGGGCGAGGTTGTATCAGCACAAGCATGATTGACCGCGACAAAATACTATCGAACAGCCATTTCGATCCCGAGAAGGCACTTTCGGCTTCAAGGTCCCCACACTTCGGGGCAGCAGAGAATCGAGTCGGTGCAATGGCTGAGGGCGTTGCTGATGTTACCTTCGAGGTGGATCCTTCAGAAGCATGTCCAGGTTTCTTGAGAGGTCCTCTCTCGTTCGCTGCAATGTTCAGGGATGGACAAATCTTCCTACCTTGCAGGTGTCCCTCTTGAGCGGCACCACAGCGTCCATCTCCTGCCCTGCGGATGCCAGCCTGGGATCTCTAGTGCGTGACATTGGCTTGAAGTTGGGCCTGATGAAGGAGAAAGCTATGCTGGGGCCTCGGTCGCTTTTGGGACCTCTGAGGGCGGCTGGGTTTCTGCGCTGGCTCTAGTGGCTCGTGGCCTTTGACTGGCGACCAATGGCTCATCCAAAAGCCACAACACGGATTGGTCCCTCAGTCCTCCTGGGCAAGAGGATGGCAATCCTGACGTAAGCAATGCCAAACTGAACAGCAGCTACAACAAGAGAAAAGCATAATGACGCCCAACACGACGCGCAAATCCGGCGCAATGATACTCAAAGTGAAAACATCAACAGCGGCACTGGCCTTGCCTTCCGTAGGAGTAGCAGAGGAGTAGCAGATAGTAGCAGTAGGAGTCGTAGTGGCAGTGGCGGTGGAGGTAGTGGTATGAGGAGCAGCAGAGCTTGCTCACACCAAGGCCCTCCCTGTTCTTCCTCCCATCATCGGCAGAGACCGGGGCAGAGCCGCTGCAGGAGCTCCAGAACAGGGTTGTCGGTGTCGGGGTTGCTGGGGAGTGGGGGGGAGGGATCCTGAATATGTTTCGTTGTTCCAGGGGCGAAGGAGATGGTGACGGTGATGAAACTGCTATTGATATGTCTGCCCGCAGCAACCTCGGTTGTTGACTCATTCGAGATAGCTGTGCATAGTGTCAACTCAGATTCTTCATTACCTCAGATTCAGGCAGGCTGTCCTCATGCCTCATGCGCCCAGGAGACTGTCACGGCAGGCGAGCTTGCCAACCAGAGCATAGTGGCAGGAGTGCGCCTTCGTGGCAAACAAGCGGCTGTGTGGTTTCTCCTGTGAGCTCCGACGCTGGCTGAATCGGAGCCACATGTCAGAGAGCATCAAAGGGCCATGTGTACAGTGCAACGTGCTTCAGCATGCTTGCAGCTTGCCCTCGCGGCTAAGGCATTCTGAGCCGGAGTGGTGCACGCAGAAATGCTTCAGAAAGGCACGGAAGGGGAGAGACAGAGCAGTCATGACAGGTAGTTGTGCAGAGCAATGAGAAATTAGTCCACACGTGCCAACGCGCTGAATCGAACTGCAGATGAGGTTGGTGGTCGGGGGAAACGCGTTCGTTTCGGTTCTGAGATGCCCACCAGCACCACCACGAACACTTGGGGCACAAGTGAGAGCCACTGGAGATTAGAGAGCCGGACGGACCACGCCCTGGTCATGGTCCAGTTCGCCAGCATTCAACTTTGGTTGGCTTTTTCTTCAAGATCACCTTCCAAAAGTCCCTTATAGAAGAAACAAAAGCAGCCGTGCCGGAAATGCCTGCTCTCCTTCCGTTTAATTAGACTTGTGAAAGTTCATGGTTTTGGATTTAATTTGCATTTTCCTGAATTCTTGCAGAGTAATGTTTTATTGCACGAAAAGAAGCGAAGATAATGCATGTTTAACTCACTAAAACGGGCACGAAAACAACGAACCGTGCGGTTGAACTGATGAAAGAAAGAAAGCACGCAATAGCTTCACTACGTTCTGTTCATCTGTGTTTCTTCTTTCATCATGTCCTGACATCGGTTTCTATCTCAATTCGTTCGTTTCTTGTTGCACTTTTCATGCTTGTGGCTTATGTTCTATTGTTTCACTTTCTTAAAAGAGAAACCACAAGAGCTCTTTTTTTTCTTTGCTTGAGGTTGTAATGAAAGGCGCGAAGCAAACATAAGCACGAACCGAACGTGAGAGAAGATGAAGACAGGGTTTGAACAAACAAAACGTGCTTTCAGTTGGTTTTTCAATCAAGAATTTGCCCTGGCAGTATTGGATCCATGGTCGCCACTGCGGGATGGAGGAAGACTCGGAAGACTTCGTCTTGAAGCTGTACGCAGGCATCCCATGACCCGATCGGTGAGTTAGCCTTAACTTTCCTCAAACCACGAATGAATGGAATCGAAGTCGTGATGCTGCCACATGAGAAGACATCACGACGGTCCAGTTTGAAGCTGGGGGCCTGCAGCAGTCGAGGCACGTGACCATCACACCTCTGCATCTGCGATTGCCAGGAGGGAAGTTCACTTACTCAGCCAAATACCACAGTCACGATGCCGAGTGTGGGTACAACTACGACAGGCTGGCATCAGATCGCTTGGGAACCAGCTAAACTGTCAGAGAGAGCTTCCTCCAGAGATTTCCCGGAAAAGCCACAGGAACATGGATGCATCGGGGACATGGCAGCTGATTCGGCGATGCTTGTCTTAAAAGCAATGCAAGAGGGCCGCTTTACTTGTGTTTAGCTTGCCTTGTGCTTGATATGCATGTCGAATGACATTGTCATTGTATACTACGAAAACGGAGGCCTTTCCTCCCGCTTCGGGAAGCATTTGCTGTTGTCAAAGTGGTTTGGAATGTGGAGGTCTGGCAACAACTGTGCGTAGGTCGTGAGAACTCCTGCAGACTGCACTCCGGGGGGTTGAGACTGGTCTGTCGAGTTTACAGTGTGGAGCTGATGAAGCGTTACCAATATGCCATGAGCAACGCGGGGACGATGGTTCTAAATAGACAGGCGCAGTCATGGCGAAACGCTGTCTTGAAAACTGCGTGCTTGCCGAGGAGACGTGGGCAAGGAGGATCTCGAAGAGGCTTGGCAAGGCAGTGTCGCGTGTCACCAGACAATGATCCTGAAAGTTCTTGCAGGCCTCAGCTGATGCATGTGTCAGCAAGCCGCAGACCACAACAGTTCCCGTTGGTGGAGCCCTGGTTCACACTAGCGAGAGTGTTAGCGACAGCCCGAAACTCCAAGTGCGGTAGAATCGACCAATGTGCATCTCTGGAACAGAGAGCACGCCGGAATCTCAATCACAGCCGTAGCTTCCGAAGCTGCATAGACGTGAGAGAAATGTCGGAGCCAAGAGAACAGTGATGCAGACCTTAACCTGTCTCACATCTCAATGCTAAAGAAGTCTCCACGATGACGTCAGAAGCTAATCGACATGCAGACCTTCGAAGATCGCGAGTTGCAGCCAGACTTCATCTGTCATTCATAGAATCACTTTCCTCGATCGTCCTGCTGGACATCATGCAAGGGAGCAAGTAATTGCAGGATCTACTGGCGTAGGAGGACCCTTCAAAAAGAAGACTTGTCTGCAAGCTCCGTTTTGAAGCCTTGCTCCTCTTTGGAGGCGGTTTACCTCGAGGGCACTACCACGAACCGCACTGTGACGCAGCATTCACGAACGTGCGAGTCTTATCGACCGGCAGTGACTCAGTTGCAAGCAAGCCAAGTCAGATCAGATTGGCACAGCGAGGCACTACAACGACTACAATGACTGGCGGTCAGAGTCAGGTTCAGACTGTTCTGATTCGGAGGACGACGAAGAGGAGGAGGAGCACCACACGCCGAAGAAGCAGACCCAGGCTGTCGAACTTCCGAAGGGCAAGGACGAGACCGTGACTGAAGGGTTCACATTGAGCTTTGCCAAGGCGGGGAGATGTGGGGAACCGTGGACTTGCACGCTCCGTGCTGAAACGCTGAAATGTTTCGGGTGTGTCCTGAGACAGGAAGTGCTGCTGACATCTGACCCAGGACAACGCAGCTATTCCTCGTAGACGGCCGAAGAACATCATAGACTGACATGCTCCGACTTAACACACCGGGAACGAAGCCATAGACATGCAGCATGCATTGCGAAACAGTCCTGCCAGGAATGCACAAAAGAGGAGGCTGGACCGTGACGGACTTGCCTCCGTAAACACCGGAGACTTTGGATGTTGGGGCAACCGTCTCGTCGGGATGACCGCAGACATGTCGGTGCCTCGATGCCGAGAGGGTTGGTGGCAGGAAGCAAGGGAGGTAAAGATCCGACGATGGCAACCGCGGCTTCATCATTTCCACTGGTAGTTCGTCAAGTCAAGCCCAGGTGTATTCGAAAAGTGCATCCACGTGCTTCAGGTCCCAGCTGAACATCCAGAGAACACTGAGAGCTCCCTGTGCCTTTTCACCAGCTTTCTTAGAAAGCCACACTGCTGCTATGCCGTCAGCCACTTGAAGAAATGAGAAAACAAAGGAAAGTCGGTGGACAATGGGGTGCAGATTCTCGTTTGTCAACATCCCCATGTCCTTGCAGCTGTTGCAGTGCTGCTCCGTTGTACAGGCAGCTGCATCAGCATGTGCGGCAAGTGCTGATGCTGTACAGAGTCTCGATGGTTCAACAAAACCAGAGCGCTGCGTCAAGAAGGCTTTGCCTTCATTGAGCCGGGAGCCACGCAGCGACGTGTCACTGCAGTGACCTGTAGCTTCGTGAGGCAGAGCCAACTGAGCGCTTGGAACAAGCCCGATTCCAAGGAGCGACCAGATTTCTTAGAACGTACGGTGCTATGGGCTTGCTCGAGCTGAGGCGAGGTCCATGATGCAAACCTACAACACCTACATTATCCTACATCCCTGGCCCGTGCGAAAACTCTGCGGAGCAAGCCACAGAGGACACGCGGAAGGGAACGGAGGATGTGCTAGTCTGCGCTGATGCCCGCGCGGAGCTCGCCGAGAGCGGAGGGAACGTGACGTTCGACACATTCTGAACCGTTGCAACTTCCGAAATATGGCCGTTTCTCCTGTGATCATAGGCATCTCGCTTGCATTTGGCATGCAATGGGCTCGCATCTCAACCATTTTAGGCCAAAGCGAGAGAGACCTGCTCACGTCCGGCATGTAGTGTGAGGAGGCCCAGATGTGAAGCATGTGTGGGTCCTCGAACGTATAGTGTGGACTTCCAACCAACGTAATCCTCAGATGGCAACACGACCGTGCCAGGTACAGTGGTGCAAGTGTGGTTTGGGCAGATGTTGATGCGATGAAAGGGCGTTCACTCTTACAAGATCATGTGCCGAGTATAGAATAGTCACGGAGTGGTATAGTTTACGTCGCTTGTATGATCTGCTTTGATGCCAAGGTGTCCGCTCGAGGTCAACCCTGATGCTTCTCAGACAGGACGCCGGCCTGGGAGTCGGAACCATGTGCAGGGTGACGTTGTGGGCATGGTGTTCTAATCACTGTCTTTGATATTGCCAGGATTTGCCAGGATTGCTGCCTGCGAACATCATCAAACTCATTAACTGGTACTGTAGCTGGAGACGCTGATGATCCGGCAAAGCTTCAGGAAAGAGCCTGGCGCGGGTAATGTCAATGCCATCTGTGAAGTCGCTGGAGGCAGGAAAACCCTTTAGTGTGCGGAAGGGCTGAGAGTAGCTGAGTCGGACGGGTGAAGCTGAAGTTGCGCGGATTGCTGCCCTGAAGCGAAGGGGCCATGACGCTCGAGGGCCAAGCTGAGCTGAGCTGTTGGGCTCCTGTCTCCTGTTAGTAGCGAGATGTAGGTCGATAGCCGAGGTGTAGGGCGAGGTGCAGGAGTGTAGCAGGAAGTCTTTTCTTCTCCAAGCTTGTGATGCCATGTGCAGATAGGACTACAGTAGCGTTGCTGCCTTCATGCCACATCCTGTTCCCATCGCCGTTTGGACGCGCAGCTGTGTATATGGCGGTCGAGGTGCCGGCTTTTTCCCAGGAGCCGCAGCTCTGCCATTTGTTCGCCAGAAGGCGAGATTTTGTGTGCAGGGCAAAGTGTGTTCTTGATCAGGGAAAGGACTAGGTACCCAAACGGGTCGCGCAAGAAGGCGCAGGTGGTGCACGTGGAGCTAGTGGCGAGCAGATCTTGCTGATAAGGGACAATAGTGGGAATGCCACGGCAGATTGCAGCCGTAGTGGCTCGACAAACTCTGAGCAGAAGCCACGACGGCCTCGTCGACGGGCTTCAGAAGATTCGCTTCGGAGAGATCTTCGTCAGTTCGGCAAGCGCATCATACGGGTATGTGCAGATATTGGAGGCGCCTGGCTATTCGAGGTTGTCAAAAGGTTGTCCTGGGGAAGGTATAGTCCGTTTGTCCGAGTCATGAAGGCAGGCGACCGACCAGGACCATTCACGCAGCTCAGGCCCAAACGCCGAAGTGCAAGTTGTCCAGTGGAACAAGGTTTGAGAGCACTCACTAGAACATGCTTGGTGCACGGGGATGGGTTCCAACGGCCCGAAGCGAACCTCCAACGCTGCTCGGTGTGACAGTACCTACAGATTCGTTTTGTTCTTGGCGAGCCCGAGCGGCGCAAATGGCATGGCTTGTAGCTGCGGCAGGCCTGGATGTCCCGTTTACTACCACTCCTCCCTGATGACCATGCTTCAAGGTCAGAGGTGATAGGCTGTAATTTGCTAGCTGCCATCTTGGCAAATCGTAGGTGCTTGACGATTCCGAGTTTAACTGTTCTGCCAGTTGGAAAGCTGGATCCAGCAGTGCATATGCCCACACAACCCCCCCGCTCGTGCGCCTGAGCTTGACACCTCGACATCTGCAGCCACCATACGTACCCATTGCATGCCGCCGATGCATGCACTTTTCTTGAAGGTGTTCGTTTGATGACAATGAGATACTATGGGTAGTCATATGTTGTTATTGCTGCACGCTGCTAGCGTGACCACCAGCACTCTTGCCACACTTCTACTGCTCATTTCGGCTTTCTTTGCTATGGCTACTTACTGTTTTATCGTCTTTGTTCTTGTGGTTGTCCCTGTCGCTGCCATCGCTCTTAGCCTTGTGGTCGCGGTTGCTGTGGTTGTTGTTTGTTGTTTGCTCTTGTGTTTGCAGTGTAGGAATAGTGGTAGCAGTGTATGAGTAGTTTTAGCAGTCGTCGTCGTGATAGTCATAGTCGGAGTCTGAGCCGATGAGCGGTAGCAGTAACGCCAGTATCAGCAACAGTCGAGGTAGCAGTAGCAGTACAGCAGAAGTAGTGGTAGCAGTAGCAGTAGCGTGGTGGCCGCAGCCGTAAACGTAGCAGTAGCAGGAGCAGGAGCAGCAGCAGCAGCAGCAGCCACAGCAGCAGGAGCAGGAGCAGTAGCAGTATCAGCAGCAAGCAAGTAGTAGTAGTAGCAGTAGTAGCAGTAGTAGCAGTAGTAGCAGGAGTAGCAGGAGTAGTAGTAGTAGTAGTAGTAGTAGTAGTAGTAGTAGTAGTAGTAGTAGTAGTAGTAGGAGTAGGAGTAGCAGTAGCAGTAGCAGTAGGAGTAGCAGTAGCAGTAGCAGTAGCAGTAGCAGTAGCAGTAGCAGTAGCAGTAGTAGTAGTAGTAGTAGTAGTAGTAGTAGTAGCAGTAGTAGTAGTAGTAGTAGTAGGAGTAGTAGTAGCAATAGTCGTAGTAGTAGTAGTAGTAGTAGTAGTAGTAGTAGTAGTAGCAGTAGCAGCAGTAGCAGCAGTAGCAGCAGTAGCAGCAGTAGCAGCAGTAGCAGCAGTAGCAGCAGTAGTAGCAGTAGTAGTAGCAGCAGCAGCAGTAGTAGTAGTTGTTGCCGTCGTGGTGGAGGTGGTGACCTGGTGGTGGGCGTTTTCGCGGTGGTGGTGGTGGTGGTTGCGGTTGCTGTTGTTGTTGGTGTTGTTGTTTTTGTTCTTCCGTTCTTGCTGACGCTGCTGCTGCCACCGCCGCTGCTGCTCCTGCTGTTGCGGGTGCGGGTACGGGTGCAGTCGCTGTTGCCGTTGCTGTGCTGCTGACGTTGTTGGTAGTGGTTGTTGTGTTTCCTTCTTCTTGCTGTTGGTGCTGGTGTTTGAACTGCCTGCCTGCACGGCTTGTTAAAACTTGATTTAGAACGCATCGAGCAGGCGAGTGAGGCAACTGCATTCGCAGCCGTTGACGCTCGCGTTTCCACCACCCTCACCGCCTCCACAGCTGCCGCGGGCCGGCACCCGTGCCAACCCCACCACCGCCATCGGCGCCGCTCACACGTCCACTGCCACCAGGTCACCAGCACCTCCTCCCCCCAACCCCACCACCGCCGCTGCCAGAGCCACTGCACTGCCCACTGCGGTGCTTCTTGCTGCAATGCTGCTGCTGCTGCTCGTGGTAAGTTATGGTAAGTACCAAGAGAAATCAGCTGCCGTACCAGCATCCTGCATACCCTGTCGCCGGGGTTATAGGGGTTTCAGGTTTAGGATTGAGGGGAGTTTAAGGGCTAAAGTTCAGGCTTTTCGTGGATGGTTTGTTATGCTCTTGGGCCACTCCCAGGTGGGGAGTGTCGTCATACATTCATCTTGCCAGGAATGCTCCTGGTGCGGCCTGCACTCAGCCAGGAGTCTGGGAGGGGTATTTTTTGTGATTGGAAGCAAACATTTCGGATTTGGGGTTTGGGTACGACAGGCTCCAGGGTGCCTGCTAGGCTTCCGATGCACAGAACAACTTCAACGACAAGTACGTGAAGCGAAAGCCTCAGCTCTAGAAATCAAGGGTGGTGCCTCAAGGTCAACCAGTGCCGGAATGCGACTGCACTCGTACTGATCGTAATGCTTGAGCCATGCACCTCTGTTGAGGTCATACCTCCCACCAGGAGACGACCACTACACCGACGACTGGGTCGGCGGCAACTCGCGACGGCCCCAGGGACAGGGAGAGCCTGAGCAGACCGTCCGTTCGGCGCAGCTTGGACATGCTCTCTCCCGGCTTCCACCAGGTCCTGGCGACACTACATGACGCAGTTCAGTGGTCTGGGCTCCAATCACTGTGCTGTCTTGCGGGGGTGAGTGCGCATCAATGAGGCGGGGCTTGTGCACTTGTGAGTGAAGCTGCAAGAAGCTGCAGGCAAGGCCGCAGACTACAACAAGTACCTCTCGGAGTGACCTTCCTAGTCATCAGGTCCTTTGATCACTGGCTTGACAAACATCAACTGGCTGTACCAACCACGAATCAACCTGACAATATTCAGGTACGGTGGGCCGCAGGCAGACTACGATAAGTATGTCAGTCGAGGGCTTGGCGCTTTTAGGTTTGCCAGGAGGAATGTGTTCGTTACGTTGGTCGCATGCAGGTTATGCCAGACTTTGCTTGCAGCCCATGGCGATGCGAGGTCTGTACGCCTCCATGGCAGGGCCCGGAGTGACCTCCGGCAGCAACTACAAGGGCAAAGGGTCAGCCGCCGAGGATTCGCTTGCCCCGTGGGCGAGGTTGTATCAGCACAAGCATGATTGACCGCGACAAAATACTATCGAACAGCCATTTCGATCCCGAGAAGGCACTTTCGGCTTCAAGGTCCCCACACTTCGGGGCAGCAGAGAATCGAGTCGGTGCAATGGCTGAGGGCGTTGCTGATGTTACCTTCGAGGTGGATCCTTCAGAAGCATGTCCAGGTTTCTTGAGAGGTCCTCTCTCGTTCGCTGCAATGTTCAGGGATGGACAAATCTTCCTACCTTGCAGGTGTCCCTCTTGAGCGGCACCACAGCGTCCATCTCCTGCCCTGCGGATGCCAGCCTGGGATCTCTAGTGCGTGACATTGGCTTGAAGTTGGGCCTGATGAAGGAGAAAGCTATGCTGGGGCCTCGGTCGCTTTTGGGACCTCTGAGGGCGGCTGGGTTTCTGCGCTGGCTCTAGTGGCTCGTGGCCTTTGACTGGCGACCAATGGCTCATCCAAAAGCCACAACACGGATTGGTCCCTCAGTCCTCCTGGGCAAGAGGATGGCAATCCTGACGTAAGCAATGCCAAACTGAACAGGCAGCTACAACAAGAGAAAAGCATAATGACGCCCAACACGACGCGCAAATCCGGCGCAATGATACTCAAAGTGAAAACATCAACAGCGGCACTGGCCTTGCCTTCCGTAGGAGTAGCAGAGGAGTAGCAGATAGTAGCAGCAGGAGTCGTGGTGGCAGTGGCGGTGGAGGTAGTGGTATGTGGAGCAGCAGAGCTTGCTCACACCAAGGCCCTCCCTGTTCTTCCTCCCATCATCGGCAGAGACCGGGGCGGAGCCGCTGCAGGAGCTCCAGAACAGGGTTGTCGGTGTCGGGGTTGCTGGGGAGTGGGGAGGGATCCTGAATATGTTTCGTTGTTCCAGGGGCGAAGGAGATGGTGACGGTGATGAAACTGCTATTGATATGTCTGCCCGCAGCAACCTCGGTTGTTGACTCATTCGAGATAGCTGTGCATAGTGTCAACTCAGGTTCTTCATTACTTCAGATTCAGGCAGGCTGTCCTCATGCCTCATACGCCCAGGAGACTGTCACGGCAGGCGAGCTTGCCAACCAGAGCATAGTGGCAGGAGTGCGCCTTCGTGGCAAACAAGCGGCTGTGTGGTTTCTCCTGTGAGCTCCGACGCTGGCTGAATCCGAGCCACATGTCAGAGAGCATCGAAGGGCCATATGTACAATGGAGCGTGCTTCAGCATGCTTGCAGCTTGCCCTCGCGGCTAAGGCATTCTGAGCCGGAGTGGTGCACGCAGAAATGCTTCAAAAAGGCACGGAAGGAGAGAGACAGAGACAGAGCACACACACACACACACACACCTCATGACAGGTAGTTGTGTGGTGGAGCATGGGAAAATTTCCACATGTGCCCGTGACGCTTGCAACGTGCCCTGAATCGAACTGTGATGAGATTGTGTAGTGGTCCCGGGGGAGAGATGTTGGTTTGGGGGCCCCTTGTATTTCTTCTTGGCTCGGCTTTTAGCTCGGCTTGGCCTGGCCCTTCATTTTCTGATGCTGTTCGGCTCGGCTGGCTCGGCTTGCCTTGGCCCTTTCCGCCAGGTGTGCCTTTGGCTTGGCTTGGCCTGGCTTTGTTGCATGGCCGGGCTTGGCTCGGCCTATGATACAGAAGCATAGTCCTGGACAGAAACATGCACGTTAGCAGTGCATAGAGGTGCACATGTACATACGCGTACATATATATCTCCAAGCTGCAGCCTAACCTTGGCTGCTTGGTCTTTGTGCAGAGTGGACATACTTACATGTATATGCATGTGTTTGCATACGCACATCTATTCATAGCCACTGGTACACGTGCATGTCAATGACTATGCTTCTGTCTTTGTGAGCTTGATGCCTCCACTCAACCAAGCCAAGCCGTGGCCAGCCGGGCCGCGACAAAGCGATGCCAAGCCAAGCCAAGGCCGAGCCTCCAGAGGCCGAGCCGCACCGAAGTAAAACCCCCCTCTGCCCAGAGCCCGGGTTTCACACAACCTGAAGTACCGACCCGACAGTGAGGTGCTGGTGGAGAACAACAGAAACAGAGACCACCCCCCGATGCAGTTTACCAACATTCGACGTTGGTCGATTTACTTCTGCAAGATTACCTTTGCACAAGCACTCGCACAAGGTGCCAAAATCACTGCTCTTTTTTCCGTTTCACCAGACTTTTTGCACCAGACTTTTTGCAAACTCATAAGTTGTCTTCTTGAAATCTTATGGCCATTTGCTTTTCTGACTTTTATGTCTCACTTCAGTCGTGACATGTGATTTTAACTGTTATTATCGCGATTGAAGGAACCATTTGTTCACTTTCATCAAATACACCTATAGGGAACGAATCATCAATTGTAGAATTTGTTTACGATGAAGTATACGCTGCCGCATGATCTAAGTTATAAGAACGGAGTCCATATGATTCGTTCCGTGCGGGTGCTTTTAATGAGAAGAAACAACACGTACATGTTACACTTCATTGTTTGCTTTCTTCATTAAAACATGGGGATCCGCTTCGCTGCCTTTTTTGTAAAAAGTGTAGCGAGTTTCGTGTCGCATGTTTTATTGAATGTTCATAAAGAAGCGAGGAGAGTGCATGATTAATTCAATAGATATTGGCACGGAATAAACGAAACTCGCGTCTGAAATGATGAAAGAAGGACAGCGCGCATTTACTTCACTACCGTTCTTTTCATTTGTCTTTCTTCAATCATCATCTCCTCGCATCGGTCGGTTTCCATATCATTTCGTCCGTTTCTTGTTGCCCTTTTCCTGCTGCTGCTTAAGTATGTTCCATTATTTCACTTAAAAAGGGCAACAGCCAACTCTCTTCACTTTCATTGCTGGAGGTTGTTATGAAAGGCGAAAGGCACGAAGCGAATATCAGCACGCACCGAAAGTGAGAGAAAACTCGCTACTTGTGTTTGTTTCAAACTGAGAGATTCGCGCTGGCAGTCCTGGATCCGCGGTCGCCACTGCGGGAAAGAGGAAGACTCGGAAGATCTCGTCTTGAAGCTGTACGCAGGCATCCCATGACCTGCTGAGCTTGCTGTAAATAGGAGGGGCTCTACTTAACTTACGTATCTCAAACCACTATCCGGATGCAAGTCGTGATACTGCCTCATGAGAAGACCTCATCACGACTGTCCAGTTTGAAGCTGGCGGCCTGCAACAGTCGAGGCGCTTCACCGTTACATCACTGCATCTGCGATTGCCAGGAGGGAAGTTCAACTTCTCAGAAAAAGTTCACAGTCACGATGCCGAGTGTGGGTACAGATACGACAGGCTCGTCTCAGATCGCTTGGGAACCAGCTAAACTTAACTGTCAGGGAGAGCTTCCTCCAGAGATTTCCCGGAAACCTAAAGGAAAATGGATGCATCGGGCACATGGCAGCTGATTTGGAGATGCTTGTCTTGAAAGCAATGCAGGAGGCTGCTTTACCTATCTTTGGCTTTGCCTGTTTGATATGCACATCTAATGACATTTAAGACTACGGCAAACTATTCTGCATTGGGGTGCCTGTCCTCCCACTTCGGAAAGCTTTTGCTGTTGTCAATGTGGTTTGGGATGTGGAGGTGTGGCAACAACCGTGTGTAGGTCGTGAGAACTCCTGCAGACTTCAGTCCGGGGGGTTGAGACTGGTCTGTCGAGTTTACAGTGTGGAGCTGACGAAGTGTTGCTCATTTGCCTTGAGCAACGCAGGCGCGATGGTTCTCCATAGACAGGCGCAGTCATGGCGAAACGCTGTCTTGAAAACTGCGTGCTTGCCCAGGAGATGTGGGCAAGGAGGATCTCGAAGAGGCTTGGCAAGGGAGGTGATGCCGACAGTTTCGCATGTCACCAGACAATGATCCTGACATTTTTTGCAGGCCTCAGCTGATGCACGTGTCAGCAAGCCGCAGACCCCAACGCCCGAATCTAAAGCACAGACGTAGCACAGCCGTAGATTCCGAAGCTTCAGGCTTGCCTGCGCGGGAGCGAACAGTTACGGGTCAGTACAGATCCACACACCGGTGCGGCATACTCCTCACTGCGGACGCATTGACCGATCTACAGTGCAGAAAAACAGTTCGAAATGAAAGATTCGTCTGCAAGCTCCGTTTTGCATCCCTGCTCTTCGTTGGAGGCGGTTTACCTCGAGGGAACTGCCACGACCCACACTGCGGAGAGTCACACGCGAACGTGCGGATCTTATCGACCAGCAGCTACACTTATTAATGATTAATAGTAAAATAGTATTGCTACTATTACTATAGTGGTAGTCTTATGACTATGATTATTCTGATTGCTACGATTATTGTTGGCTATATCATTGGCGCTATTGAATGACTATTGCTATCACAACTAAAACCGAACGGAAGGGGCTACACCTTTGAACCTGCCTTGAACCCGTGTGCAGCTGGAGGGGGAGACGAACTCAGATCTGATCGGCACAGTCAGGTACTACAACGAAGACGAAGAAGACCTCCCCGAGAGCAAGGATGAGAACTTGACTGAAGGGTTCACCTTGAGCTTTGCCAAGGTGGGCAGCCTGGAGCCGTGCACTTGCACGCTCCGTGCTGAAACGCTGAACTGTTTTGGGTGTGTCCTGGGACAGGAAGTGCTGCTGACACCCGATGCAGGACGCAGCAGCTATTCCTTGCACAGGGGCCAAACGAAGACCATCAGAGACATGCTCCGATTTGACACAACGGGCTACTGAAATGATAGACATGTGGCATGCAACGTAAGACGGGTGGACCTTTCCGAACATCCAGATTGCTAAAATGATGTATGCAAGCAAATTGGCGCAAGATAGTAGCTGAATGTTCCTGCCAGGACGGCACAAAAAAGGAGGCTGGACCGTGACGGACTTGCCTCCGCAAACACCGCAGACTTTGGACACTGGGGCAACCGGCTCGTCGGGCTGAAGACGGCAGACATGGCAGTGCCTCGATGCCAAGAGGGCAACAAGCAAAGTGTGACAAAGGGAACATCGATGAACAATGGGGTGTAACCCGGTTGTCAACATCCCAATGTCCCTGCAGCTGTTGCGGTGCTGCTCCATTGTACAGGCAGCTCCATCAGCATTTGTGACAAGTGCTGATGCTGTACAGAGTCTCGATGGTTCAACAAAACCAGAGCGCTGCGTCAAGAAGGCTTTGCCTGCATTGAGCCGCGAGCCACGCAGCGACGTGTCACTGCAGCGACCTGCAGCTTCGTGAGGCAGAGCCAACTGAGCGCTTGGAACAAGCCCGATTCCAAGGAGCGACCAGATTTCGTAGGACGTACGGTGCTAGGGGCTGACGGGCTTGCTCGAGCTGAGGTCCATGATGCAAACCTACAACACTTACATCCCTGGCCCGTACGAAAACTTTGCGGAGCAAGCCACAGAGGACACGCGGAAGGGAACGGAGGAAGTGCTAGTCTGCGCTGATGCCTGCGAGGAGCGCGCCGAGAGCGGAGGGAACAGCGTCGGCCAAGGCAGGCAGACGGAGCAGAATTAGCAGCTAATTAGCAGCGGGAGCTTCTGAGCAGTCTCGGTGTGTCTCGGTGCGGTTGGCGCGGCCCAACCCACAGGCACCATGGGAGAGGGTGGCGGCGGTGCCGGCGGTGGCGGCGGCATGGTGCCGGGAGGAGGCGGGATTGAAGGTGCTAGGGCTCATGTTTTCTCATGTTATGATTCCATTTCTGCAGGCCATGAGAAGGGGTCCGCATCCGGAGGCCAAGCTTTCACGGCGTGTAGTCCTCTAGCCTTTGTCCGTGCAGGGCTTCCGTGGGGCCATGCCACGCCGATACACGGCTCGCCAAAGGACTCAATGGGCTATGCGACTGTTTTCAGAAGGCTCTGTTCGGTGGAACTCTGACTTTGCAGGACCATTTCTACGAACACGGTGGCCAAGTCGGGTACGAGCCCTTCGCGCAGTGCCGGACTAATTTCGCCACGCAGTGGTCGGGCCGAGCATGGCCGAGTCGCCTCTGGTGCTTTTGCTTCTGGCATCTTCTGACTGGGGATGAGGCCTTGGGTGTCCCAGTATGCCACGGACGAAGGAGGGTCGCGCTCTCATCTCGATGTTGGGACCGACTGCGGCAACAGCAGAGGACAACTCACAGTTTGCCGGCTGTGACAGTTTCCTGGCCGAAATTGAAGCTGGAGGCACAACGCCTTCAGCTACGAAGGCAAAGAGTTCGCCAGCGGAGGCTGGAAACCATCTTGGGCATCCGCTTGAAAAGAGAGCCAGAAAGAAGAGAAGAAACGTCCCATCTGTGACTGTCACGAGAACTGCTGTGCGCGGCTACCTAATGCTGTTAGTTATCGCGGCTTGCGTTGCACTGAAGCGATTTGTGGTTATCGGTGGTGGTGCCACATCAGGTTTGCGTGCGGCTACATAAATAGGATGCATCCTTGAACTAAGCCGTCGTTTTGGAACAGCTGCCAGGCATGGAAATGGGCTCTGTGGGCGACTTTGCTGAGTACATGCGAGATTATGCCCGAATCTGAGCCAAGAGCCATTCAAAGTGCCCAGGCAATCAGCCCTAACCCAACCCGGAAGCATTCCGACAAGCTCCAAATCCTGAATGCACAACGGCCACGACGCTTCAGCCTGCTCTACGAAAGTTTTGTGCCGAGGCTCTCAATTGGCTCCCTGAGAGTTCCCAAGCGCAGGTGGAGCGGGAAGCCAAGCTCAGCCTATACCCAGGCGCTTGCACCAGCTTGCAACAATCAAAGGACATGCCTTCTCCGAGGTCCGGCAAGTCCTCCGAGTCCTCCAAGGCGCCTTTCCCACGTCACGTGCAGCCAACGAAGCAGCACCTTCCATGGAGCCGGGGAAGGCCGTCTCACTGGCTGCAATGCCAGAGAATGAGGTGGGAGCTTCGGAGTTTCAGGGTATCGCATGCTCTTGAGTTCATGGCCGCCTGGATTATGGTTTTGAGTTCAGTGACTGGATCGGGCAAGAGATCGTCGGCTGCACTGTTTTAAAGTTTAGAGGATGTCGGGCCTAGTAGTTTACGCTTCACGGCCTAGAAGTCTAGAGAATCGGGAACCGCAAGTTAACTGTCTAACTGGCAAACGGCGCCACGCACATGTCACCTTGACGGGCACCGGATAGCCGAGACAGAGGACGCCGAAGCAGGGACCTGTCGCGCTTTGGTTTGTGTGCTATACGATGCCTTTCAACGTGGCTCAGGAAATTTTTTTGAAACACAAGTCCTTGAGAAAACCTGGCTTCTGATCAGATCTCATCATGTTGGCTTCCAGTTTCGCCGTCATCTTGTTTTATGCATGGCAGCATTCCGCCTCATGATTAGACTTCGATTGGGCCGTTTTGCTGTTCCGTCCCGTCCTTCGCCTCGAACATCTAGGTTTCATTTTAACACGCGGCTAGTTTTCGATTCGGTCATTCCAAACTTGGATTCACCCGTCAATTTCCAGGACTTGGTACCTGCTCCGAAATCAGCGCAGCGCACAGCCCTGGCCGGTTTCTTGAAGCGGGTTGGCGCAATTAAGTTAAGCAGGCAGCCCACGGCACCTATGCTAACTGTGGCAACACCAGTCCGGGGCGAAGAGGGCGACAGCACGCTAGCTGACACCTGACTGGCCGGGCTGCCCTTGTTCGGCACGGGACGCTTTGGTCGGGTGTACTTGGTTACGCTGCAGACAAGGCAGACCTGTGCCGTGAAGATTCTCCTGTCGTCAGCAACTGCACTCGCAGAGGTTGAGTGCATGCAGGCGATCGGGAACCATGGCGGGATCCTTCAGCTGCTCTCGCACCGCCAGTGCGATTTAGATGCATCTCTCATGCGTCTCACGCTGGAGTACTGCGATGGTGGCAGTTTGTCAGGTAAGTCCTTTGATGGCGTACAGTTGACACATGTCACACGACAGCTGTTCCTGGCCCTCCATCACGTCCATGCATGCGGCTACATGCACAGGGACGTAAAACCAGACAACGTTCTGATACACCGTCACATCCTGAAGTTCGCGGAGTTTGGCTGTGCCGCCAGGATGGGGCACTGCGTTGTCCCCGCAGGCACAAAGGCTTGCATGGCGCCAGATGTACTTCTGCTTTGCGAAGCTCCTCCTTGCCACAAGTGCGATATTTGGGGTGCGGCGTGCACTCTCCATGCCATCGTCTCTGGGGAAACGCCATCCTCGTGTTTCCATCGTGTTGAGGGTAGCCTCTCAGCAGCCCCTGCGCTGGGGCAGCAAATCACTGCTGAAGGCCAGCAGTTCTCTGATTTTATGTCTGCACTTTTTCAGGAACACCGGGAAAACTGGATGTCTTCTGCGCAGGCTCTGGAACACGAATATATGGCTCGTTGAGCCAAGGCGTGGTGACCCCACAGCCTTATCCACAGAAGCTGCTTGGCCAGTCTCACACACAGCAGCACTACTGGATGCCGCTGAACATTTGTTGCGACGCGCCATCGAGCACACGCCGCGAGCACGCCACGGATTCTGGCCTTACCTTGCAGCGAATGTGTGCCGTGGGCCCCGCCTGATGGGCCGGCCAGCCCAACTCCGCGCTCAGCTGCGTCTCTCGCAGAATAAACATGACTGCCAGCCACTTATGAAGTGGTTTGATTGGTTTGAAGCACTTCCCCAGCCGGAAGCCCCAGCCCATTTCAGTCACATTTTCTGCAGTGCTGTTCAGGTGGGAGGAGTGCTGACGCAGCCTCAGGCAGAGAACGCCCAGGAGACGTGCATGTTTGCAGCGACAGTCCCGTCTTACAATCGACCCAGCTTCAGTTGGGCTTCGGCAATCTGTGGTGATTGTGGCAGCCAGGGACCGGTGATCGGCGCTAAGTTTGTAATTAGTTGTAGTAGGACCACCGCTGGAAGCGAACAAACAAGCCGCTTAGCCACTTGAGCAATATCATCAGTGCATCAGTGCACCTGTTGTAGCCGCAGAGATTGACGCGTGGGCAGACTCGCAGGAGCACAGCTTTCCCGAGCCGTCCATGCCCATGCAACCTCAGCTGCCAGCAAACGCCGAGCAGCCTGAAGTGCATGCTTTGCAGGAGGACTGCAGACTTGACATGTGAAAGATTATGATTATGCCACAACATGCAGTCATCGAGTGGAGAAGCTCTGCCGCAAAGGACCCGGCCATTGTGAGAGCAGAAGTCCAGGCAGCAGAGGAGGCAGCGAGGGCAGCGGCTGCCCTCCGGCAGTTGCAGCAAGCTGCGAAGGACGGGCTATGGTCCTTTATGTTTGCTACCTGTCGGCTCCACATTGTCTGGGACCTTGGCTATTCCCCTATTCCACAGGATGGCGCATACGCCCAATGGACACTGCGAAGGCATGGCCTGCGCTCTGCGGCCAGTGCGGAGTCAAATCGCCGTGCACAGGACGCCGAGACTTGCCAAATTGCCTCCAGACATACTTAGGTCCTCGTCCTTTCACTCTCCATAGACATGTCTGGAAGTGCCACTTCAAGTTACTGTAGAGATCCGGAGAGCACTTGCTGCCTCACGCCACGAGGAGCTGCAGGATGCCATGGCGAGGCTGAGGCCCAGTGGCCCAGGGGCAGCGTGCAGATGTGATCCGATGCAGTGGGGAAATTTCGAGAACGTCGCTAGCTTCGCCATTCGCCACCACTGTCAGATGTTTCGGTGCCCTTCAGGTGTGTGTGTCAGATTGGCAAATCTGGCGATCGCATCATGCCATGATGGTGTCTAAGTTGAACCCAAGCCTGGCAACTTGGACGTTCCGTGCTCGTGTCAAGCCGCGTCAGATCGCTCTGTTGCCAGGCAGGTCACCCAAGAGCCGCTGACGCAGCAGAACGTGAAGGTTCCTGCTGCTGGGTTGGACACAGGCTACATGTCCAAGGCAGCAAGAATTAGCTCCTTGCACCTCCAAACACGTGCCAGGAGCTCGAGAATGCAGGTCGCAGTGCCTCAGACGCCATAAGCAGGCGCAGTCTGTCTACAAGCATGCAAGTGTATAACATGATGGAGACATCTGCCGTGTGTAGCATCAGCACGAGAGCTCACAGTATAGATGAATACGCAAGTACGCGGCTCCTGTATGCCTGTAGCATGAAAGGGATTGATCTCACATTTCAGCCTTTTCTTGGACTCTCGGAGGCTCCAAGGGGCCGAGACCGCGGCTTTGCGCCAGCGGGCGACGGAAGCAAAGCACCAGCTCCTGGAGGTTTTCCGAGCTGAGTCTCACCGCTTGGGCTGGGAGCCATGGGAGCCTGGAGTCTCCGTTTGGCTCAGGGTGCGAAGGGCTGGGTGGCCGGCATCGAGCACCAGGCACAAGCTGCATTGCATCGAGGTGCTCTGGTTTCGTGCTAGCCTGTTGCAGCGGTCGGCAATCGATCTGCATGTAGCTATCGTCGCACCATAGCCATGTTTTTGTCAACTGAGACAAAGATCCCCCCTTGGCCACGTCAACACGCCTTGGCTTCAAAGTCCTCTTTCGAACGCTCCACAGGGTTGCTCATCACAACAGTACTCGTTCCCAGAACTTGCAGTCATCAGGCAAAGAGCCCACAGCTTGCGCAGCAAGCCAAAGAGGCTGGAGATCAGCTGGAAAAGCCGCATGCCTGCAAACAAGCTATAGTTGTCCACAACTTGTGAACCAGGAAGCAGTGGCGAAGGATCCAAATTAAGCTCTAGCTGCGAAGGTTCGAAAAACCTGTAGAACTCCAATATCAGCTCGCCTGAACACACGCATAGCATCTCGCGAAAGGCGGGCATTGGCATCCCAGAAGATAGCTGAAGAGAGAAGTCCTGGAAGATTTAGGAACATCAGACAGATTTTGTTGCAAAGCCTCTTCGTTGTTCCAGCGCTTCGGGGCTTCGGTCCGAGGTCGCTGACTGCCGCTCTCAGCGAAGCGACTCAGCGCACGGCGGAGGCCGAACGGGATATACCTGCGACACTAATATCATTCGTCTTTGTGTGAGTGCTGTCCATTTGGATGGTTCTTGAGACGAGAAACCCCGGTGCGGAGGCTTGAAGTGTGGCGGTGAACTTTGGATAGGGGCCTCATCCAGCCTAAAGGGCCCCAGTCGAGAAGCCCTCAAACACAGCGTCACAGGCCTCCATGCATCGTGCGGCAGAGCGTCGCGCCCTGCTTACGGGCATCCTTTCGCAGGCGCGGCAATGAAACGTTGCCCTTCCTAGGGATGTATGGCTGTAGACTGATGTCAGCGTTCCCGATGCAGGAATTGCACCTTCCAGAGTAAGTACTGTATAGTCTTGTGCCGATAAGAAGCATTCGTTCTCGGCAGCATGGCTCAGCGTAAACAGTGGCGGCATGTGCCTGAGCTTGATCGCTGCCGCTGCTGCTCGTGCGAAGGCTGCCGACATGGCATCACCCGCCAAGACAGCTGAGAAAGCCGAGGAGGCGAAAGACCAGGCAAGCGGCGGCAAGCTTGAGCGTTTACGGTATTTCTTGAAATGATGTGGCTCTGAACTAGGGGAGGCTAGCAGGCTGGGCAACAAGTGGGCCACGTCATGGTAACTGCCTTTCGATCGATGGCCGGCACTTTCTGGGTAAGTCGATACCCTTGGAGGCGACTCCCGAGTCCTTTGTCGAGAGGCGCGCAGTGCAATGACGCGGGAATGATAGACTGCTAGACACAGCGACAAACGCAGGGTAGTGCAGGTGTAAGAGTTCTGAGACTGCAATCTTCTGAAGCCTCCAAGACTCCAAGAGGTCCACACCTCTGATTGAGCCCAAGATGAAGGCTCCGGATCCGGATCCAAGAGATGCAGTGCAGTCTTGAGCGGAGCGTACTGTGAAGAGAAGGGCTGCCCGTGGCTGTAACTCCCTGTGGCACGAGGCAGTTTCAGGAGAGCTTCTCCTTGCCGGTGTTTGCGTGGTGGGTGCACTTTGTCCGAACCCCACCACGCTGTCAGCAATCGTATTTCAGCTCGTTCGCTCCACGAGTGCTTGTCGGTTTTTGCGCATCCTTTCACAAGCGAAGTCTGCTGAGATGGCCTCGTCGGTTTCGCTCTTCGCCGCCGCACAGCTCCCAGATCGCCAGGGCCTCGGGCGGGGGTGTGCCAGCGTGCCAGCCTTCTCTCCCCAAACCTGGAAATTGAGCGAATGCAGAAATGGCGGACAGGCCGCCATCCGATCAATCCAACCAACTCACAAAAAGTTTACCAAAAGTCATTGTGCTCAGGGACTCTCGGGACATCGCGCTGCTGACGATGGCTTGAGTCAGCTTGCGCTGGCCTTAGCTTCGAGCACTTCAGGAGAAGGGGTGCGTCAGCCACTTAGAGGAGCATGCAGGTCGTTTCACGAGACATGACCAGACGTGCCTATGTATCCCGTCGCACCTGCCTGCATATCTCTCGCCGAGGAGAAGCGAGAAGAACGCCTGATTTTTGCAATTGCTGTTCGCTGAGGTCGCGCGCTGTGCCAGTGTCGTGTTCTGTGCAAGGGACTGCTACACCAAGCATACATCATTCATTAGAAAGGTTTCTGGTCGTCGCCTGGAACGGACTACGATAGGGGTCAGAGCCGCAATAGCTGCCCAACACGGTGTGCATGCTTCAGACGAATTCGGGTGCAGCATCATGCTTGCGATGCTGCACTGTTCTTTCGAGTGAAGTGAGCATCCTGCATGGCTCTTTGTGCCAGCAGAGGTCGTAGAGTCGATTCATTTCAAGACCAAGACCTGTGTTGTGTGCACGAGCTGCGCAAACTGTAGTGCCAGGCCAAACACTCAAAAAGAAGGTCATGTCATGTCTTTGCATCCTTGCAACTCTGAGCACACAGCCTCTCTTGACCAGCAGAGTGCTGAGATTCGTTGCGTGCTGGCAACAATGTTCAAAAAAGTTCAACATGATGCAGATTCATGGCACGAAACCACTTCTGCACGTTTGCACATGATGTGCTTCTGACATCGCAGAACTGTTTCGTGCCAATGCCTCCAGCCAGATAGGATAGTGTGTGGTCATGCGAGTTTCCACCAGCCTGCTGCCCTTGGGTCCAAGGCTTATCCTAGCTTCTGGAGCCTCTATACTGTAGATCGTAGTCTTCGATTGCTACAACCTTGGGCAAGAAAGGGTTCAGCAACAGGAGCTTGCTGCATGCAAGGACCTTCAGACCTGCATCGCGCGTCCTTGCTGCTTGTGGACCTGCTGGCAAAGCCAGCTCACACAACAGTATCAGAAAAGTGTGCGATCATTGCGGTCATGATGAAAGCTGTGGGGCTTGTCAGCATGAAAGTTGAAACTCAGTTCGTGGCAAATGCTTGTAGCCAGTCCTTGCATAGCGCGTCTTCGAGATATCTTCCTGAGGATTGGTAGCTGCAGGCGTCAGTCTGCTCATGAAAGATCTTCCGTCGAGAAAGAATGCCAAGACCCGATGCACTGAAGACAGCGCCAGGGTTTGAAAGGGTTAAGAGGAGCAATCAAGCGCTTCTGTCACTTTCCTTGCGCAGCCTTCGGTGCATAGTCGGCATTTCAAGCCAGCACTGCATGCATTCAACTTTTGAGAAATATGCGGCCCACCAAGGAGAGCTCCTTGGTAGGGATACGAAATCAGGTGACCTCTTATGCGTCCCTTTGGGGTGGAAACAGACTCGCTTCCGTTTCAGGTGCAGCTTCCTTCACGAAAGCACAGAACTCGCAGAAGTCAGTTTCCAGGCATCAGGCTCCAAAGCGGACCGTTCAACTTTAGCCGGAAAAAGATGCTCGTGTCGTCATCTTGCGCAGTGCTGCCGTCCAAGTGTCTGGAGCAGCGCTGAACTTCTCCGGTCGCTGACATTGTGGCGAGAGTGCGCGTGCGGGGGATATCTTGGGGATCCTGGCCGTTTGGGGTTCACCCGCGGCTTTTGTGGCTCGACAGCCTCCGGCCGCTCTAGCGACGGTTGGCGTCAATGTGGCGTGGCGGCAGCTAGCTGGTGGGGGGGGGTGCGTCGTTTGACTCCAGTCGAATCCGGTACGAGTTACGCTCCTCTACGAGCAGACATTATCCTGGGCCCGCTTCGATTCTTACCTTTATTTTCCGTCCAGTCAGACCAAGGAAGAGGACGGCCTCCTTGCTTGGAGGCAGGGGCAGGGCTCGTGGCATTCCACGCCGAACCCTTGCACTGTCAGTTTGGACAACTCGGTCATTGGCTCCGAGGGTTTCGTGAGCCGGAACATGGAGAGGTTAACCTGTGCTGAACAGGCTACTGTAGGCGTAAAGCGAAGCAGAAGTGTATCGGATTCCACGAGGTGGCTTGTACATTTGCTTTCATCAACAGGAATGTATGTAGCGAGGGAGGGATACATATGCAGATATGCAGACTTGGCCATGCCTGCATGTACTTCTACACATCTGTCTCTGCTACTTGTAGCCACAATGTCTCGCATCTCAGCGCTCAAAAGTTGCTTCGCATCTTTGAGACCAGGCCTTGGGTCTGCCAGGGCCTCGGGAGATCTTCCGGAGTCGCCCCGCATCGCCCATCGCCTTGCCGAAGTTCTCTGAGGCGCTCGCAGTGGCCCTCAGTGCGGACGTCCGTTGCCTACGCAAGACTGTCGGTTGCACCGAAGACTGGATCCTTCACAAGTCTGTGCCGACGCGCAGCGGGAACGTTACAAGGGAGGTTGAGGTGAGCCCAAGGCTAGGTTGGCCCTCACTTACCATCAGTGGTTCGCCTGTCCAGTGTCGCATATTGTGCATTGGGAGAATGCCGGGACAAAATCACTGAGGCGACAGGTAACGACTGCCCATGTTCGACGAAGGCAGGCTGCGGATCAATGCATGACGTGTGTTGCGATTGTCAATTCCTCGGACTGCTAGGGTTCTTCGCCTGAGATGGTACAGTCCTGGTGCAGGCTGCAGCCGTGGCTCAGCAGTCCCTGCTGGATCCCTACAGACCCACCCTCGCACCTGCACGGTGTACAGCCTGCAAAACCACAGAGCGAGCATTGTGCCGTTTCGCGCCAGTTTGAATAGGCCGTTTCTTCGCTTCCGAGGCTTGAAGCGAGCAGCGTGCTGGGCGAAGCGCCCTTGCCCTTAAGCATTCAATGTGGACTGTATCGGCAGTTACGTCTCGCACCTCTGCCTTCTGCTTGTGCTTAGGTCAAGACTTGACATCAGACAAGAGCTCCAAGGAAGTTGGGGGCTCTGAGGCTCATGCATCTGCCGCTGGCAAGTTCTGACGAGCCCAGGTGGCGGCCTCTCTGCGCAGGATGTGGCCGCCCGCTTTGGCGGTTCCAGGCTTAGCGAGGCACGCTTTGAGCCTCCGACCTCTGTGCACATGCGTGTGAGTGCACAGAGACCCACTGCCTTGCAGGCAGCTTTCAGAATCAGGTAGCACTAGCTAGGGAGTGGGGCAGAAGGCTGTCTCAACAAGCGCCAAGCGCCTCCCAATTTTGCACCATGGGCAAAGATTCCTTCCGGGAGGAGCAACTCCATCGTGGCTCGCTGCTGCGTGCAGCTCGGGCCCCTGTCCTTTCGGATTCGCAGACAAAAAGATGGGTCTTGCATGGGTCCTGAGGCTGAGACCACGCTTGCATGTCTGGATGACCGCATTTTGGAGCCGGCGCTGACAACACCCGGCGGAGAGCTGGGTCTCCGCCTTGTCAAACTCTGGGAGGGATGTTAAGCCGCTAAGCGCTGAAGTTCACGAGCACCTTCTCGCTTCGGAGGCGAGTTCACCACGGCCCTGGCGGCATATCTTCAAGAGAAGGCTGGCAGAAGTACCGGAGCGAGAGCTGTGAAGAAAGGACTCGGTTGCAAGCAAGCGGGCACACGAGCCAAGGCTAGGTTTGTCGCCCTATTGCTTAAAACCTCATCGTGTTAAGGCTCGAGAAGAAGCTCATTGAACCAAGTCTTTGAGTCTTTGTGGCATTACACCAGCCATGTGGCCGACAGTGTTCGATTTCTGATCGAGGGCACAGCATAGTTTATTCATATCCACAGGTTTGTTGGCTGCAATGCGGCTTCGTGTATATGATAGAGCATCGCCATCATCCGCCTTTGGCAACAGGATGGGTCTTCTGGAAGCCCTCCGAACCAGGAAGTAGTGGTGGCCTCAGAAAGCCAAGCAGCCAAAGTGCGGGGCTTCACCGAGCACGGCTCGGAGCCAAGGTGGATTCACTTCTCGGCAAGTACCTGGACACGGTGCTTCTGCCAAGCTTTGCTGATAGTGCAGCATGACATGGAGAAAGCTGAATTACATACGCTGTTCGGCACAAAAGGAAGTGTTGTCTGCGAATCGAGAGCTTTCATGGAATGTTGGCATGCGGTCATGGGGCAAGGTGCAAGGGTCGGTTAGATTCAGACATATGTGCGAAAGGTTCACTGCAGGCTCCAGTACTACTATTCTGACGTTTGTTTTCGGAATGCGACTCCCGGCCTAAGACTGCTGGGCTTGCCATGGGTGCACACTGCTCATGCTGACGCGACATGGTCTACTGCTACTTGTGGAGATCTCGTTCACAACAGCCTTTCGCCCGTCGCTGCTGGCCAGAGGCAATGCCTCCGTTGCAGCTGCTTGGCGATGCATGGCGATGCCACCAATATAAAGTAATAATCAAAGGACACTCATCCCACAGAGAACAGAGTTTACCAGAGCATCTGCCATTCAAGGAAGTGCTGCCACCGCCAGCACCTCCAGCAGCACCGCCTTGTGTAGCAGCTTGGAAGCACAGAAGCACTTGTGGCTTTTGCTTTCTTGTTTGGTCTCGTGTTTGGGAATCGGGGAAGGGACGGGCAGTAGAGGTGGCCTTGCACTGAAGGCAACAGGTGCTGTTGGTCATGCATGTCATGCCATCTCTGTGTTTGTGGTTTTTAGACCGCTGCCAGTACCACAAAGGAGCAGAGCCAAGGGCAGCCCGAAGCAAGGTCACCTGTTCGGGACAAAAAAATTCATCGGCCAACTTACACCCCCCACCCCCACCCGGAGATTTTAAAAGATCGCCCAAGTTTCTGGGTAATGGGTAGATTTTTCGTGGAAGAACGTTTGAATTCGCAGCGGTTTTAAAATCTTTTCGGTTTTTAATAAAAACTCGCTTCTTGAGGAAATGTGATTACACATAGATTTTATTAAATTCTTTTTCGGTTTTTAGTAAAATTCTTTAGTTTTTGAGAATAGGTTCGCTCAAAAAAGTCCTGGCTCGATTAGAGGAGTCAAGAACTGTTTACAAAGCCCCTTTAAATTGCTTTTGCCGGGGGTGGGTTGATAATTCACTGGCAAGTTTTAAAACCCTCCACACTCGAGTTGTGCCCAATTGAGGTAAAGAACTCAACATCTGTCGACACTTCCGACAAACACAAGGGGAAAAGGTGTGTTTGACAAGCAGTGTTCACCGCGCCGTCTGCAGAATGGAGACGCCCGGTCGACAATACGTAGTGACGCATAGCAGTGGACGCAGCGGGAAAGCGCGCAAAGCAGGCCAAGAGCTGCAAAGCGACAAAGATCCCGGCAGAACAGCATGATGAAAACACGCCAGTGGGCGGCACGGCGGCACGAGGAGGCGAGTCCGCTCGACTGGCAGCAACAAGGCAAGGTTTCCACTCCGGATGCTCATTTAGGCTCTGGCACGTCGGCATTGAGCTTTGGCCAAGCAAAGGTTTGCATCAAGTCGGCTTTGCATTCGACGCCTTTTCAGTCTGCCACTTGCCGGCACGATGCCTGGGGCCGGACAGTTCTGACATGCTCGAGTTGCTCAGGCAGATATCTGCCACCATGTAGTCACCATATCATGTACAGGACTGCATCCGCGGGCATTCGCAGGACTCGGCATTGTTCTTCCACCTGAGGCCACGGTGATCCAGACCCCCCGAAAATTGCAGCCTACGCTGGAAAATCTCCGGCGGATGCTGGAGCAGCTCGGCAGCGCATATGGCGCAGCATTGCTGGCAGCAGTTCGCAAGTGCCCCGAGATTTTTTGCCAAGGCTCGGTGCCTTCACCCTCGCGTGCTTCTGTGTTCTGCAGTGGAGGGGTTCAGCTACGACGACCAGGCGTGATGGGTTTCAGCAGGGTAGCTGACAATGCACCCAGACAGCCGATGGAGTTTCGGGGTTCATAGAGGCTCCTGGACCTGGCATAAATCATGCCCTCTTTGTGTTCCAAGTCTGGTAGCTTCGAGAGGGTCCTACATGGTCAATTTGAGCGTATCCGACCCTGCCACGTTCATTGTGGACCGTCACAGTCAAACTGAAGAGCCTTGAAATATTAACGGTTTGGTGGCTTGGAATTCTCCGTAAACCTGCTTTGCTATACTGATGCATATTCTCGGATGCGGAATTAATAAAGCTCTGAAACAGTGTCCAGGCTCTCTTCCTTGCATCCACAAGCTGTAGACACCATGCGCACCCTGATCGCTCAACTCTGATCCTTTGTTTGAGCTTGCTCTGGCGCAGTCAGCCCATTCAAAGTCCGCACCTTGACCTCGATGCCTCGCTCACCGTCTGTGGTGTGGGACGGTACCAACTGACCATTGCGTTCCCGGGCTGGGAAAAGGCAGGATAGATGGATAGGCATGTGAAATCAGGTGAAGGCATTCTTGATCCCAGCCGCCCTTTTTTGATACATTTTGCGTCCACCTGAGTTGCCGTCTCGCGTCTTTAAGCGGCTGAGGCTGGCCATCATGCTCGCGTGGATGGCTGATGGAGCAGAGAACGTGCTGCTTCATAACATGTCCCCGCACCTGGTAGATGCGCTGCTGCGCGGCAGCAAAAAGCTGCTGTTTAGGCGAAGGGTGCATGGGGCATGGGGACGGCTTGGAGTGCTGAAGTGCTTCATTTGGTTCTTGCAGAGGGATACAGACGAGATCAGCTTGGCCGACCTGCGCATCTTCTGCCACATCGCCATGGCTTGCTCAGCATTCCTCAGTGGGTCCTGCGCAGACAGCCCCACGACTCAAGACTCGAGATTTGCAGAATCTTGCAGAGCTGTGCGCGAGTGGAAGCTGTGTCTCTGTGTGTCCAATGAAGGCTTCGGTCGGCGTCCTGTCTTCTGTATCTCATGCTCCCTGGCCGTCAATACCTGTGCTTTGGTTGAGGCTCAGACTCAGGTTAGTTAGGTCCGGCCGCCTTTGGCAAAACAAGGTCTTCTGGCTGCCACGTTCTCATTGCTTTCCATCTTTGCGCCGGCTGCTGGGCCGAGTCTCACAAATCAAGGGTAACGGCGAGCCGTTGAATACGCCGACAGGTGGAAGTGGTACTCACAAGGTATAATAGTCGAGTGCATTGGACTCTAGTTCTGGCTCCAGTGCCCATCCGTTCGTTGGCCGGTCGGGGGTGCTTGAGTGCTTCACCTCTTCAGCATGCTCCTGCCCAGGTTTTTTGGATATTCTGCCTTTGTCGCGTTCTGACCGGCATCGGCTTGGGGGCTCCTTGGATGCAGCTCCCTTTCAGCCCTCTTGCCGTTGTAGCGGCCTCTGCCTTGCAGGCCCTCGTCGGGACGGATGTAGCACTGCTTTGTGAATTCTTGCCAGTGTCGAAGCGAGAGTGGGTGGTCCCGCGGCTCGGCTTTCATGGGTAGAACCTGAGTCCTCGCCTATACAAAATGCTCGGCTGTAGCGTCAAGAAAGCCTACACCCGAGGTTCCTCTACGTGGGTGGCTTGGCTAACTTGTCCTAGGCAGCACTTGAGAAATGTTGCTGGTCGACTGCAAGGTTTCGAGATTCCCAGCCTGTGATCTAGCTGTGGCCCCAGGCTATGTGTTGGGGCGACTCTACGCAGACTTCTGCACTGCTAAAGTCTATCCGCTGTTGGAGAACTGGCGTGACTTGGATGCACTCCGGCGAGTTGTCGCATCACAAAGTTTTCAAGCTTCCTTGGGTCTTCGACGGTGCGCAGTCAAACTAGCTTCAACGGTCTCAGCCCCAAAAATCCTCAATCTTTGGAAGATGTTCCTCATTGGCTGCCAGGTGCCCCTTTCCTTCTTTGCAGTTTGCCACTAGTACCTTCTTGCCTGCTGCGCTTCGGCCTGCACGAGACGCCCCAGGCTCTCCTTGCACGAGGCCGGCATTGCTTAGAGTGGCCGTGGCTACAGAGTCGAAAAATCAGGCAGTCTCTTCTCCTGCAATGAGGCTTGGTCGGCCATGCCAAGTTTGTTCTCACGGCAGTGGCTCAGACAAATGCCAGTGTGAGGAGTGCCGGGAGCCAGAATACGTGACTGCAGTGGTTTGAGGCGTGTACAGCTTCAACAAAAGCGCTGAAGTCTCCCGTGCAGGAGCACTTCCTGCGTCATCACCGGTGGCCGACCCGTCAAGCAATACCAGGGTCTCGACTTCCGAAATTGCCTCAATGCGGGCTTCCTGGCTGCCGTCCGACAGAACCACCTGGAACGAGTGCGCCTCGCCTCTATCTGACATCCGCTTTCAACGCTAAGCCGCTCAGCTCAGCATGCTAAAATTGCTTAAATGCTCCGTTAGCTGAGGTTGGCCGTCTCCATCTTGGCCGTGGCCGTGGCGCTCGGGAGAATCCTGGATTCCGTCACGCCGGAGGTCGAGGCGAGAGGGAGCGCGGCGAGAGGATGTCGTCCGTTGGGTCTCGAGCAGTGGGGGATCATTTCCACGGCAGCTGGATGGTCTTTGATCCACAGTCTCGTCCGGCTGAAGAGGCGCACTTCAACCTGCACGGCAACTCTTTTTCCAGTCCGGTGCTACTTCGAAGCAAGCAACGCCATTGTGCCATTGCCAGTGAGTCGTTGTGTGTTGCCTAATAAGGTGGTGCGCTGCTCTGACCTGTTTGTGGTGTGCCTTGAGCATCGGGATGATGCAGACGGGCTTCCTGGCTTGGGACATCTTCATTGGAGGTTGCCTCATCTCGCAAGGACCAGCCATGACCTGCTGTGCAAACCAGTCCCTGGCAAGCAAGCTTTGCCATTTGTCACAAAGTGATGGCATGCCGGCCGCTGCACCGCAGGAGTGTTGTTGGCCTTCTCTTATCTTTGGCAGATCTCATCGTGCATCTGGCATGCTGTTGGTGCATTCGCCCCCAAGAGATCAGCATCACAAGTGTAAAATAGTGTAAACTTCACGCAGGATTGCCGAATAGGCTTGTTCGATAACCGCCGATGTGGGATGCAAGACACTGTGACGATGAACACGTTCACAGCTCCAACGGGATTGGCCGATTGGCAATTGCCAGGCCGGGCTGGAAAAGCTTCAATTTGCTCCTTGCTGCGTGGGCCATCGCTGAGGGCGTGACGAGCACCCTGTCGGATCGAATCCATACAGATCCTGTTAGAGAGAGAGACATGAAGCCAAGGGGAGGTTTTTGCACTTTGAGACTGGGCTCAAAATCAGCTGTCAGACGGCCGAGGCACGCCGTTCTACGCCATCTGTGCCGGATGCCCATTGCGCTGGTCAGACTTGGTACATTCTAAAGGGAGGTGCCCGGCACCCAGCTCGCTTGAGTGAATGGCGAAGGTCCGGATGTTCCCTGAGAATGCCCGTGCGACTTCCATGGGACTTGTCGACGCCTTTTTCAGATCAGTGGGAGCCTCAGAAGGCTTCAGCAAAGCAAAGCAACAGCAAATCCATGCAAGCAGCTCGCGGCACACTGCATCAGGAACGGGTGTTCGTCTCAGGTCGTGGCACTTCAGCCCTTTCTTGCAGCGGACCTTCTCAGCAACCTTGGGACAGCTTTGACAGCGGCCGTGCTGGGGGCTTGCTGGCACACGCCTAAGCAGACAATCTGAGATTTTTTGAGGATTGGATGGGGCTCATGCAGACTTTAGCGAACGTTCTGTGCCATGCTTCCCTCGACTGCGAAGATTGAAAGACGGGACCTCATTTTCGGGCGTGGCTGAAGTGTCACCTTTTCTGCTGCCGTTACGACGTTCGCGTGGCATCGCTTGGTTCGCCAATTTCAGGCTCTCGGTGGCGGCTTGGGCGCTGATTCTGCGTCGCCTCTGGGAGGTCCCCGGGCCTGGAACTAGGACGAAGCGGACGTGAAGCGCCTCCTCAGCCTGACTCAGGCGCCCCCTCAGCCCGAGGATGTCGAAGTGTCCAAGGCCGGAAAGATTGTGCCAGTGTTTTCGAGGCTTGAAGGACTAAGGAGCTGGTGATGAAGGCATCAAGCAGGCAGACAGGTTCAAGAAGCCAGAAATGCGCCAAAATCGCCTGTGCGCTGCCAGGCCTGACTTGAGCAGCTGAGCTGACCCACGTTCGGACAAGCGGGCGCTTAGGTTTCTACGATCTATGCCACCGTAGAGGTGTCTAGATCCAAGAGGACCACTGCCCACAACGTGATATTGCGAAATATTGCGAACGGCACGTGTGTCGACTGTACCATAGACCGCCAGTTTCACATTGCTCAGTCAGTCAGTCTGACAAACCGCTTACAGGAGCAATTAGAATTCATCTTGAAGTCCGCAAGCAAAGCCGAGAACATCACAGGTGCCGGCCTCCCGACCAATTGTCTTTTGCACAGACGAGAGGGCCGAGAGCTCAAATGCAGCTGGGAGAGTGGGGAATGAGGATCTGGGAGTCCGAGGCTTTGAAGCAAATCGCTTCGGAACTGCCGACGGCAAACCTTGATCTCAATGCCCGGAGCCCCAGGGCGGTGACAAACACGGATCCATCATCGCAGTCTCGAGGCATGCTTGAGTTCTGAGGCACCGAGCCCACACTTGCAGGCGGCGGGGTTGCTGGGACCTCAGCCATTTGACAGAGCGGCAGATGCCAGCAGATGCTGCAAGAGTCGTCCAAGGTTAGAGAAGCTCACGGAGCCCAAGAGCCAAGGCGATAGCCACTTCAGGCGAAGCCGCGCAGGCGAAGTGGGAACCGTGATTGGCAGAGCTCTGAGAGGCTGCTTCTCGAAGATCCCGGTCGGTGATTGCCTTGGCTGCCTTGGCTGTGAATTGCCTGGACTTTTCCTGCTTGGCTCTCCGCTGAGGTATGAGCTGCATCCGCAGCTTGCGCCGATGGTGCTAAGGGCGTTTTACCGCCTGCTGTGGCTGCAGAACCAGGACTGAAACAGTCGCTCCTTGCGATTTCGCGGGTGGTAGCATTTGGCACTTTCGGCCCGAAGACAGCATGGAGCCTGCCACAGTGGAGGATCTTGGCCAGCGCGGCAGGAGACTGGGGATGATGGGGCTTCTGGAGAGTGCTTTCAGCAGGATAGAAAGCTACTCTGTGGAACCTGCGGCATCTTCTGCTTCAGTCCGAAGCTGCAGCTGCGTGTCCTCAGCGGCGAGCCCGACCCGCAGGCTCCATGGGAACTTCGAGTATCTTGCTACCCCTGTGACGGTCATGTTGTCAGGCCTTCCTAGATGTCTCCTGCCAGGGGCGGTGGGCTCAGCAATTTCATTGTTTCAGGCATGCCGTTCTTCGTCAGTCTGGCTTCCCGTACACTTACACATCAGTGCAAGGGCTTGCCACGATTCGCTGGCTGCCGTTGCTCCTGGTGCAGGCAAGTAACTCTCAGCCTCCGCCCCAAACTTGTCCCATCTGCATGCTGTACTAAGCAGGCAGGCAGAAAGACAATTGCAAGGTTTGACAAAACCTGTAGCAGATGCCACCATCACGCGCAAATACAACATGACGGTTGTATTCAGCATAGTCGCAGAAATCACCAATGTATTCTTGTTATACACATTGTCACATGACAAGCGCAGAATGTGGCAACCGACTGTGATAGATTCGTGTTACAGGCGTGCATTCATTTGCTTAAAGCTGATGGCTGCAGCTGGACCAGGCCCCGCCCTCACGTCGCAGCTGCAGGCGGCACTTCCGCGGCGGCGTAGCCTTGCTGCCTTCTTTTCTCGGGCGCCGGGGCCCTGAGAAAAATGCTGGTAGTGGCACGTCGGGCTATCATGCACGATCTTGTGTGACACTGTGTTGTTTTCTGCAGAAAACTGCTAGGCACCCAGGCCAAGCTCGGTTCATCACAGAGTTTGGTGTGAAGTGTGCGCATCGTTTTCGGTTTGTTTTTTTGCCAAGTCCTGGCCGAACTTTTTTTGCTGTGGTGGTTTGGTACACTGTAGTAGCGTCCAATATCGTTCCATGGAGGCCCCAGCAAGTCAGCAGGTGAGTGAATTCAACTTGCTACGTCGACGACGACAGGCAACACACACCTGCCACGACAACGAAAGCAAAGCACCCCCCTGCCGGCGGAGAACAGAGCCCAGGTCTTGGCGGCAAACACGAAGTGTCCGCGCTGCGAACGTACGTCAGCAGCGAAACTAGCGAAACAAGCTACCAGACTCACCCCGCGCTGTAGCACGATGGCAGCCCGCCCGCTTGAGCTGAAGCTCCACACTGAGCACCTGAAAGTGATCAGAGAGCAAAATACTCCGTATCACACAGTAGTCTTCGGGAGGTCTTTGGAAATCATATGGCATGCATTCAATGCCAGGTTGTGGAAAACGATAAGGTCAGATGTATGTATGGGGTATGCCGTATGATGTCTAAAACGATATACTGAATCCCCAAAATGATAAGCTCATTTTGTGGAATTGCTCTAAGTGTCTATGCATCCGGAGGCCCAGAAAGGCATCAACGGGTTGATGAAACATGAGATCAGGAGACATCACTTGGAACAATATTAAAACGATATCAGAACGATAACCGACCTTTTATTTTGATAAGAGTGATAAGAGTTTCATTTCTGAATGCTTCCCCATTCTTTATCGGAGCCCTCACTACCAGGTCGCTACCAACAACCCTCAGCTGTGTAGTGAAGCTTTGCCTGCATGCCAGAGCAGTCATGTCCTGGCGTGTTCTTCCACAGCTTCGGGTTTTGGGTGTTTAAGGAAGCGTTCTCGACATGACTCGACATGCTTGCTAACTACCTGTTTTATGAACTGTATGATGCTTGTGCCACTGATGTCAGTTTGATATGTGAAACGATATATAATATACTGAACCCCCAAAACGATACTGTCAAGAGAAAGACCGCTTTCACGGAAACGAAAATTGCTCATCGTTCAAGTGCTAATTGGAAAGCCTAACATCTGACCTATGTTTTCGTCCAGGTCGAGGTCAACTCCACGAAAAGTCAGCGAGCAGAATCTTCTGGATCGTCCGCGCCCCAGCCTCTTTTCCCGCCGCACTGTTTCTATGTGTGACTGTTATTTCACCCCATGACTGTTGTTTCACTATCATTTTTTCAAGTGTTTCTGTTCATTCGATATCTTCATATTTACATCACTAGGAGGGAGTGTCAACGTCCGAACTTCCCTCTTATCTGTCCGTCTGTCCGTCTGTCTGTTTGTCTGCCTGTGGGTCGGGCTGTCTGTGTCTCTCTCGTGCTCTCCTCCTGTACTCTTGGCAGGCATTGACCACTTGGCCCTCCTAGCGCTGGAGACCACAGGGAGCCGCATCGCGGCGTCTTGCTCAGGGAGCAGTCGTGGCTGGACGCTGATCGTATGTAGGATTAGATGCAAAGTCGCCATTCGGCTCTAAGCTCTCCAAGAGCTGGATGCAAATGGCCTCCGAATGTTTAGCACACCATTTCCTTCGCCCGGCGACAAGATCTCCATGAAAGACCTCCCTCAGAATCAGCACTTAGCATGCAGGTGGCTGTATCTGACAGTCCCTTAGTCCGTGAGACATCATGCCATGGGAGCTTCTCTTCGGGCCAGCGCTGCAGTCCTTGCATCTGCGGAGATGGAGCTCGATGTGGTCATCATAGGCGATCTTGGGGAAGGGTCCAGAAAACTATCTGCTGAAGAGAAGCGCCGATCCTGAGGAAATGGGCCCAGCGGCCTCGCTCTGAGCCTCTGAGCAAGACTTCTGCCGACGGGTTGGAGCTCGCGTCGACCGTGCAGCGTGCAGCTCGCTTCCGTCTCTGAGGCTTGGCTGTGGCCTCTGCGCTGAGCGGCTTCGTGCCGCAGGTCCAGGAACTAGTTACTAGTTTTGGAAGACTTGTGCGAACAGCAGCAAACGGCTCGACGAAGCTTCCAGCCAGTGCATGCTCGTTGCTGGTCTGCTCTGGAGAGCAGGTCGCTGTGCCGGCGAGGCGCATTTCGGATCCTGCGGCCCGGATCCAAGCCGCCGCCGGATCGAACGCGGATGCGTGCGCATGCGTTCGCTGCATGTTTACATTGCAGTGCGACTCCCTGCATGTCATGTATGGACCCAGATGTATACTGAGTATACTGTATGAGTGGATGTTCGAGTATGCATGAATGCGCGGATTTATGTATGTTCGTGTCTGGGCTCCGTCCGTGTGTTTTTTCAATGGTGTAGAATCTGAACTGCTATGTCTGTGTGTTTCAGGGTCTTAGTCTCGTCTGTGGCTGTGTATGGGCCTGCAGTTTTTGATTGCAAGGAGGTGTGGATCGTGCACGTGTCGGTACCTGTGTGCATGCATGCTGCATGCAGTGTGCGCATGAAACCTCGGCACATCTGGCATGCGGTATGATTTAGTGTGCAATTGTATGCAGTATACAATATGTGCATGATGATATGGACAACAGATCTGTACAATCTATGTCGGTGTGCTGATAACTTCTCGAATGGGACCTGCTGGCTCTCAGACACGTAGAGGCCTTCCCACGTACCAACTAGGTGTACCGATGTACATGTATCGACAAATTCTAGAGTCCTAGAGTATAGCTCAGGTTAGACACGCGGCCGAGAAGCTCTCGGGCAAAACTCTCGACGAGGTCCTTTGATGTCCTTTGCAGGTGTAGCAGGTCGTCGATTCTTGCATGCCGGCATCAGCAAGACTATCAGACCAGGGTCGGGGAGCCTTCCAGTTTGCAGGCGGTGGGCTTGCACGCCCTCTCGGCAGGGATCCAGCGACGCTGCGTAAACCCGACGGTTCCCGGCCAGTTCTTGTGGGCCTTGCGTATGTCTATCAGTGCCTGTGCAGGAGAAGCTACTGTCGCATCATGAAGGCATGTTGCGCGCTTGACGGCTCACTGACAGGTTCGTTGAGATCAATGTTTAGTTAGGCGGCAGTATTGCGGGGTTTGACTGTTTGACTCTTCGAGCCAGCTTCGAGGATGTGTGGCCAATCTTGGCTTGGCATGCATAGTCCTAGTGATCAGTGGTGCAGCTTTGGCCGGGTTGGCTCGCGAGCACCATGGCTTCGCCAGATCTGCATCTTGTGCTCGGTACCATCTACCAGCAGCCGAAGCATGGACTGTTTCAGCACTCGTTGTGCATTTTACAATATGGCTCATGTAGCAGTTCTTGTGATGCGATTGGTTGGTATGTTATGGGAACGATTATTTCATAACAGCTTTCTCGTTTGGTTGCATTGTTTGTTCTGTTATCGCATTGACAGTTAAACCAAAGCTTCGAGATGAGAGCTTCATGCATACAGAGGTTCTTGCTCTTCTTTGGTGTGGCGCTGATTTGGCTCCAATGTGAGCTTACGATCCCAAGCTTTCCGGTCAATCCGTTCCAGCTGAACCGCAAGAACAAGTCGGCTGAGCAGGCAGAGCATGTGAGGGTCAGGAGTAGGATGCAATCTTTTTTCACGGACCATAGTGATTGGACAAGATGGTCAAGGCTCGATTCTGTATGTGTAAACAGCCGTCCCCACTATTGTGGCGCTGGACAGGACCGCGACACGACAGCTCTGAATGCCCGTGTGGACGAGAAGATAGCCCAATTTGAGGTGACGGCGGGGACGGTGGGGTAGGAACTGAATGTATCTCAGGCCATATGCCGTTGTGGCGGCGGTGATTCGGGAAGCGTAAGTAGATCTTCTGTGGGGAACCCTTTCAGGCTTCCATTTGGCAAACGGCCTCGCGGTGCCTGGTACATTTAAACTTTGCTTGTTTGCTCGTGGCCACGGTGGACTACCAAGTCGATCCTGGCTTCACGCGTTTGATCTTTGTCGCGGCTCTTGCAGTCCTGAACATCCTCTACTTGCGGGGTGCAGTAGAAACGCTGGAGCAGACTCGAACCCGAATTCGCAGTGTCTGCGTGGTGATCCACTGCGTTGGCGTTTGCGTCAACGCCTCCTGTGCTTGGGAAAGCAAGGAGGATTACCTGGGACGCAGCGGCATCTGCGAAATTGGTCAGATTGTCATAGTGCCCTGGCATTACTGTGCTAAGGTCAGGCTGAAGTCAGAAATAGCTGCAGGGCCAAATTGGTTCTGTGCGCTGAGGCTTTGGTCTTCCCGATGCAGAGGATAACGTCAGCTTTCGCGGTGGCATTTCTCGCAGCAAATTTGTTTGCCGCACTCGGCGCATGTGGCCCTTCAGCTATCACCGGCTGGTTTGTCGTGCAACAACTCGTGCAGACCGGCGTGGTGGTGTCGGTGCCGGTCGTCATGCGGGGCGTTGTGCGAGATCACGTCAGAGCGTCCTGCGACTCGCAAGACTCTGATTCGCTTGTGTGTCCTGGCAGAAATCATGCTATCCAGCTGTGCTTGGTGCTGTGCTATGCTCTGGTCCTCTGATCAAGGGAAGGGTGGAGCCGGGGCGGAGGCGTGTATTTGCTTGCCCAGGCATAAGCACTAGTCTGAAGCACCCCGTCTGGTGTTGCCCAGCGAAAATCCGAATAGCCAAATTGGGGTACTCGGCTCCGTGACGAGTATGCGAAGCCCCTAGCACCTTTTGCGATGTAGCGCGCGTGGTAGATGTGGTGGAAGTGACCCCCTTTCCATCACTGCGGATCAGCGGACTTCGTTACTCATGCATGCTCTTGAAGGTAGCCGCCGTTTCTGGTACTACCCAGCGTTTTCTGGGCTATTGCCTTGTTAGGGATGTTTCCAGGGTCAAAGCCTTTAATTACATGTGTTCGAACATATGCCCAACCACGATCCTAGCACTTTCTCCTTGTCACTCATTCGTTTGCACGGGTGATTCATTTCTTGCGAGAGGGAGAGGATGCTGTCATGATTTCCTCTTTCTAGTTTGCTTCCCAACATACTTGGTTGTAGCTGATTGAATAATTCAAACTTTCATGGACTCAGGTCGGCATTGTCTTACGTGCTCAAAGGTGTTTCGGACGGACATCTTCTGTTAGACAGCAACTTCAAGATTTGTGGAAATGCCAGCTGCCTGCAGCGACTGCTGCGAACGCATGAAAGCTTCAGCGGACGCAGTTTTGTAGATCTGGTGGCCGGGGCTCCGTCGCAAAAGCCCTTTGCCAAGTTCCTCGCTGAAGGTGGAGAAGTTGAGGCCAAGGGCGGCATGCCACATTGCGCTCGGGTGCATCTTCTAGACGGATCAGGTCAGCGTGTGGCGGTAGATATCGTTCATGCAGTGGTGCCCGAGCTCTATGGCACCGCGACACACCACCTGCTAGTCATCAAAGAAGATCCTGAGGCCAGGGCCATGTCTCCTCTACAGAGTCCGGTTTCGGAAAACTTGCCAGACAGGCAAGAAATCCGCAAAGAGGCTATAGCAAGCAACGAGAGAACAAGAGAAGAGATGCTCCGTCCTCTCCGTCAGATTTCCGAGATGACCCTGCTGGTCAATGCCAACACGGAGCTCATCGAGATAGAACAAGCCGTGATACAATGTGCACCATGTGCGCCGACAGAAGAAGAAGATGCAGCAACGCTTGGAGTGGCGAACTTGCATGGCTGGACGTGCCCGTCGGAATGGCATGCAGTCAAATCCAAGCTCCATCAAGTGGCTCGTGCTGTAGGTCAGTCCCGACGGCCCAAATCAGCTCCGCTGCCATCCATGACACTGCATCTTCCAGGCGACGACGTCTACCTGCGAGCAAGAAGCGTTTCAATCAAGCCTGCTTGCACGGGCATCTTCCAGGAACAGGAACCTGCCCTTCTGTATCTCGGATGCGTGTATTTGGAGAGGCGTACTGTTGGTGAGTCGATCATGATCTCTGTTTCCTAAGGTACTTGCACCTCAGCAAGTTCAACAAGTACCGCCAAAGGCGGTTGAAAGAGTCTCAAATCCAGGGACAAGCTGAAGCTGTGAATGGTGACACATGGGGCAATGCCCTGTGCACACCAGAGCTGTGAGTACATCTTCGGCTTAGTATATCCTTTGAGACAAACTCCATACCCCCGTGCCCAAGTGAATGCGTCAAAAGTGTGTGCAGATGCATGCAGCCGTTGAAGTCGAGTGTGCATGCTCCGTAGCCGTCGCAACGTGGCCAGGCTGCGTTGGTTGATGCTTTGCGATATCCGGAAGGCCGAAGCACGCACATTGACTTTGGCGGGAGACGTGCAGCCTCTTTCGCACTGTTCTTCTCGTTGTTTCAGAGTGCAGCGGCTCGAGCAGTTGGCGAGCCATTCGGATGAAGAATGTGCGGAATCTGGTGCGGGATGTGCTTCGAGCTAACGAAGTGACGGTTCACCTGTTACCCGGCAAAAACTGAGACTTGGTCGTCTCCACTGTCAGGCGATGGCCGCGGCCTGTCGCTCCTGCACTCCACCAAGCAGCCGGCCATACGGCATGCAGTGATTGGCACCTTGGAGAGGTGTTTACTCAGCGTGCTGCGTGCGGCAGTTGCATACATGATGGCATGGTTGTAAGGGACGTACACAACATAGAAATGGAGATATTTTGGAGTATTGATGTGCTTAAGGCTCCAGTGCTCCAGGGGGGAGCTGGCAGTCGATGTCTCCTTCCACTGCAGCTTGCCACAAGGTTTCAGCAAGTAATCCGGACTTCCAGATCCTCCAAACCCTGCAGGGGTGTCCGAGATGAGAGGTCATATCAGATTGATGAACAGAGCATATTGTCACGAATGGACCTTTCTTTGCATTGTCCAAGTATGTCCAAGTGTCAGCCTATGCAGAGGTTGAGGTTGAGGTTGCTGATGGTGAATTTGTCACAGCTGCATCTACTTCGTCGTGGGGCAAGTTTGGATGTGCCGCCACAGGTAGGATGATTAAGCTGCTTCGAGGTACTCCCAGGCTGGCAGGGAAGACCACTGTTAAAACTTCATTAGACGTATTCCGCGGTCGCATAACCTTGCAGCTTCAGTCGCATGCGACCAATCAGAGCCAGGCAGCGAAAGGTCGAAGACCTGCCCTCGTCCCGCTGCCGAGGTGACACTATCTCCAGGCTCATGGATGGACCTTCCAGGCGTCGCAACCATCTTCCCATCCTATGAAATGCCAGCTGAAAAGGCCCATTCTAAAAATTGGAAGCATGTCAGTAGGTGCACAGAGACGTGGGCAGGCAGTGAAACGTTAATCTTTTGCTGGAGTCGAGCCGTCCCTCGAGAAACTCACTGAATCGCGTCCCGGGCGAGGGTTTCTGTCGTTTCTTGGGATGGTATTCTTATCACAAGAAGACATGCCCAGCTAAGTTCTGAACTTGCGATAGGAAGAATCGCCCTGGGATTTGTGTCGCAGGCTACTCCCTGGAAGAGCATCTCAAGAGCGAGCGCTCGAAGGAGGCCACGCAGAGCACTCCTGTGACCGTACAGACTCAGCGACCTCTGAGCGGCTTCTCAGGCACGTCGATTGCTCCAGAAGGGCAGTGCAGAGGCGCCGTTCCGTAACCCGATGAGGAGAGCGTCCCCTTCTACTAGTAACTAGGCCCAGCTAGGCTCTCGCGCAGGCCCTAGCAGCTTCGCGTGTGCCGCGGTGGCTTGTGGCAGCAGCTCGTTCAGGATCTGGAGGATAGGCTGTGGAAAGATTTGTTTTGTGCAGTTAGAGCAAGGCACGCTGAGGTTGGGCCTGCACGGCATGCCTATCCGAGGAATACTATGTCGCCTATGCACGAAGACTGCCGTCTTCTTTCATCAATGGAACTGTGACGCACATGGTGCCAGACGGAGAATCGTGGAAGCTCCAGCTCCTCGTCAGCACACCTGGCCATCTTACTTCATTTGCCGCACTTGATGTCTCATGTGGCAACCGTTGTGGAAACTCATGGTGCCTTCGTGAAAGATTGCGCTGAATGTTTATGTCATGCTATGTGTGCTACAGCGAATTTGCTGCAAGGTGAGAATACGGGATACTTAGGCCAAATTTCGTAACAGGATGGACTTTTACAGCTTCGGTTGTTCTACCAGGCTTCCACGATGTCAGAACTTGGAGATCCCGTCTATTGGAGTCTACCGATACTGTAGTGTACACTGTCCTATCCACGAGGATATCCGCTTCTCCGGCGGAGGCCTTGGAACTTCACGCCCCTAAGCCTCAGCAGCATGCACAGACACGTGGAGACATTAGCGTTCTTTAGTCTGTCAACTCTGATGCTTGACAGCATTGGGACTGGATCATGGTAGTGGGTCAACCTTCTGCCGGAGGCGGAATCTTGTGCTCCCAGACTTGAGATCAAGGCCAGGCCTCTGCTTGTTGACTCAATAGATGACAAGAGTGGCGGCCGTTCATGATCATGTGTTCGGGCCGTCCGTGCTGATGTACTGGACTAGGACAAGTGTTGCTTGGCATGCTTTGCTCAACGACGTCCCTTCTCTAGACCCCGCTTTTCGAGCAATTTGCAAATGTGCCACGTCGATGCATCTAGGCAACAGAGCACTTCACGTTACAACCCAGCTATGCAGGGCCCGCAATCCATGACAAACCTCGTGGAATATTGATGCAGTCGTCTACGCGCAGCCATGTTACGCATTGTGTCGCTGAGCGGGGAGCTTGTCGCGCAGCTGGACCCGGTTTCTTGTGCATGTCACGGGTTTCCGCACGTTCACACCCACCACCGACCACGGCCCGAGAGTCCACGCAACAGTGAGCAGAGTGTGATGAAGATTCGAACACTGTGTCCAGGATATCGAAGACCTCCGTGTCCGGCCACCCCGCATACAGGGCCCTTTTGATCCCGTCAGCGCCATCAAGCACGTGATCAAGGCGTTGGGATTCGCTGGGCAGTAAAAACATGCTGCCGCCGCACGCTCTACAAGAGTCCGTTCCCAGGAAGAGAGACATATCTCCGTTTTTCGGCAGCAGCTCTTGCATGGCAGCAGGGTCCTCTCTGAAGCAACTGGGCTGCCCAAGACGCGCGGTTTCCACTCGCAAAGTCGACTGTCCGGGACATGCCGGAACCGGATCCGAAATCTAAATCACGAGACGACTTCGGCCAGGACACGGAGTGGGAAGAAGTTGAAGGTTTTCACGAGAGCCTTGGCCTGCACTTGGCTCCCAAGGCTCGCCAAAGAGGCAAGAGCCGGCAAGGGTCAGAAAGGGCATCGAACACCAAGATTTCGTCTCGTCTCCCAAGGATACAGATTATCTTCACGGACTACGTGGAGGATTACACATCGAAGCTTCTAGCAGCGGTATCCCGGCTGCACGCGGCATCCCGTCCTGTACATCATGCCATGGCATGCCGTAGCAAGTGCTGGCAGAGACGCACACATCCTCATAAGCATCTCCGAGCAGACTTCGCAGAGCCCTGAGCCCGGTCAAATGCGGATGCTTCGTTCCACAGTGCAGGCTGCTGCAGGCGACGCCAAAGGGGTTGCCGAATCTCGGATTGCAAACGGCAACCAGCTTGATTGTCAGCCCCCCAACCAGTCTGCTGTGGGCTGTTTCTGGGTGAAGATATCCTCGAAGTTCTGCAGTCGACAACCCGAAGTATACAGAAAGCGCTCCCGACAGAACGAGGCCATGGGAAGTTTGGACTACAGAGTTTTCATGTTTCGAGCAAACATGAGGCCGGATTGCTCAACTTCCAGACGCCCGACGCTGCAGATGAGCGTGGTGAAACAGCCGCGTGGAAGGTCCACTTGCACCAAACTCTTCATGTTGCTAGTTTGTTTCTGCGACGCCAGAATCGGAATGACTCCACATGTTGCGGATTGGCGAGCGGACCCTTTCACCACCCCGCTCTGGCATATTAGTTACCCACATGGCTTGTGCAGGCCAGTCGGGTTGGTAATTTGGCCGTCCTCGAGACTTTGAGCACCTTGCCGAAAGAAAGTTTCTGTAGGGCTCCATCCAGGACGAATAAGGACGAAGGCAAGCACTAGGCGATCAGGTCCAGGGACAAGATGCGAGTCTCACGGAGTTCTTCCGGATTTCGGCCGCTTCAAGGGCTCTTTAGGTGAACCGCGGTATTGCTTGTTAGTCGCTGTGTAATGTCCGATACCAACAAGACGCATGTGCAAATCGGATTAAGCACAAGCTCGACACGACGTGCGCAGTAGCGTTTCAAAAACGGCGGTAATGCATAGTAACGCCATGTCATAGGCACAGCGTAATCGACGAATCGCTGTTGATGGTCATCATGACCAGAGCTGGGCCTGGTGCGTGATCCCTTTGTTGAATCGAGGCGTTTCACTCCAGGTGAAGGGCACCTGGAACTGTCGCTAACTTTTCTTCATCCATTGTTGATGCAAATGCAATGCCTTTCTCGTTCTTAGCTTTTACACGTTTCGTCGCACTTTCCCATGGACGACAACCGAGGACTCCAAACGCTGCATCCAATTCGAGATAGCATCCCGTAGATCGTGCCTGCGAGTAGGAGCAGTGATAGCAATGCTTTCATGACTATGACTACGGGTACAATAAAGTCACGTGCACCATCGTATCCAGAGCAGCGGAGGAATCTGGCCCATCCGGGCACAAATCCGCAGCATAGGTATGGCGCCGTGATAGCATGCGGACTGACCTGCTTCTGTCGTTACATATGCCGCATGCTTGTATCAAGACAGTGCAAGCATGCAGCGGTATTCCACAGAACAATATAATTCTGGGGCGATCAGATGTAGCTCGAAGCATCCCCTCTCCATGGTGGGATTACCACAGCACTGAAACTGAGGGGACGCCTGCGCAGATTTTGACAAGCCAGCCCGCAAAGCTGCATTAGAGGGTGATTTTGGAGCCCTGCATGTGAACCGAGCACCGGAAGGCCGCACAGCTTTTTGCTAGACGACATTGAATCCAAGTTCCACATCGTTTGTTGCCACAAAACGTGCCTGTGTGGACACACACTGGTTCCGAAGGATGATGACGGGGTCACGCCTTTGCACATCGCCTCGAGATGCGGGCAAGTGTTTTCCATGCGCCTGCTGATCGACTGACCCTTTCCTGCACTGGCCGGCTTTCAAGCTCTGCTCGGATTACCTCAAGAGTTTCCGAGATTGCTTTCTAGCACAGGTGGCGCGGACGTGAACGCAGTGTCCCGAGACGACGTGGCACCACTGCACAGCGCTGCCCAAAACGGGCAGCAGGAGGCGCAGCACAGTCAGTGGATTTTAAGAGTCCTCTGGGGCTGTCAGACAAAGGCCGTCGTGTCGGAAAGGTGTTGCGCTGCCTCCTCGGAGCCGGTGCTGATGTTAACATCACAGGCCGATCGGACAAACACCTTCTTCACCAATGCCCATGCGTGTTGTTTGGGTCTTTGTGTTCGTTCAGGATTGTGTGTTCGTTCAGGACACATGAAGCGAGGCTGCAGGCTTTTCATGAATTCAGGTCCCAGGTGAACTGCTAGACTCGAAGCATTCGAAGCCATGCAAGCTGCTACCGGTGGCATAGCATGGTTCGGATTGAAGGCCACCGATTTTTCAAGTTGACGCATCTCACGTCACATGAATGGGCCTGAGATCTTTGGAAGGCCTTCGACTGGACCTCTCAATGCCCTTGGCCGAATACATCGTAACAAAGGCCGTAGCAGTAACAAACAAGGAACAACCGGTCAGGGACAAGCAAGGCCTGGGGCCTGGCGATCTCAACATATTTTCGGCTTTGCGGGGTCCTTTCACGGGCAGAACAGTCCCAATCGCTAAGAAACAAAGGCACGTCCAAGTCGGATCAAGTCGACCCATCGGTGAGAGACCATCCTCGAAACTTCGAGAGGGTGCCCAGATTATAGTCGAGCAGGACCTCACGGCGAGACACCGCTTTTCATTGCTGCGGAGCTACCGGGCTGAATCGGAGCGAGGGTTAGTTGGCAGGGTATTTTCGCGGGTTTTGTCCGCTTGGCGGACAGGTCACGCAGTCGTTATCGAAAATAAGCTTCAGGAGAGATGCAGATTCGACTTTGCTTTGAAGGTATGGCAGACTGGAGATTGTCCGGCTGCTCGTGTGGCGTGGCTATGACGTAGTCATACCATTCCCGATCATGCTAAAGCATGCTTGTTAGATTCATCTGAGTCGTTCATGTGTCTTATGACTGCGCATTGGAGCCGCTAAGGAATGCCGGTGCGCAGAAGAACCAAGCTGCAAGTGACGGCGAGACGCCACTACTCATTGCAGCTGTGAACAACCAGCGGCTTGTCGGCTAATGGATGCTAAGGAATGCTTCCCCTTCCGCGACAGTCAGATGCGGCCTTCGTGCTTTGAGCAAGGTGGCCCATCTTTCGATACTTGGTGGAGCACGGCGCGGATGTGCAGCTGGCCGTACTTTGACTGAAGTGACTGGAAGGTTTGTCAGTTTGCCTTGCTGTATCATTGCATGGTGCAGCGGGGTAGGGTTCCGTTCCTGTGCATTTCTCCTTGTGTTCTCGTGCTGCAATCTTGGCATCCTAGCCTGGTGGCACTGCGATGCTCTGAAAGGCACTGGACGGGACAACTCCGTTGTCGATCGCGACGCAGAGCGGATCTCTAGAAGAAGTGCCTCGGCCAGAGACAGAAGATTGCCAGAACGCACAGCCACTCCAGCCCAATCCAGGCGCGTCTTCTCGTGGCTGCACAAGCAGATGTGGAGGGCAGCGTCTGCGGCGGGACGCTGCTGTCCATGGCAGCCAAGCACGGGCGGCGAGCCCAGAGATCTGTGCAGTCTCAGCTTCGAATTGGCAGTGCGACGACTCGCTGACCCGCTGAGGCAGCTTGAAATGGTTCCTTGGCGTTCTTCTGGCTGGCTCTAAGGACTTTAACTTTAACTTTTTGGGTTTCTATATTAACTATAAGAAGGAGGCCAACAAATTTAACTTTTAGGAGGGAGTCAGCCAAGGTTCGCTTTCTGGTGCAGGCCAAGGCTGACAAGGACCGCCCGCAGCGGTTGATGCAGTACCCAGTATACAGTGAGTGAGGGCCAGGCCGCGGCTGTTGGAACTGATTGGCAATGAACACTTTTTCAAGGACAAAGTGGGCAAACATGGGGCGACTCCGTTGTCCGTCGCAGCCAAGTATGACCAGCTTAGCTCGGTTCAGTATCTCATCGAAGCTGGTGCAGACAAGGACCCGCACCGGCAGGCTAGGGCGTCGCACAGGCGGAATGCAGTTGTTTGTTGTTCCTTCTCCCATGCACCGAAGGACAAGATCGGTCTTCATGGAGCCAGCCCGCTGTTCATTGCTGCCAAGTACGGCCAGGTGCTGCCTGGGTCTCCAATTCGATTCGGAGCTTCTGCTGCCTTTCTGAGGTGGAGATGGTTCGTTTCTTGATCGATGCCCGCGCTAACAAGGACAGAGTCAGACACAGTACCGCCCGCACGTTGACTTGACAGATCGGAGCAAATCCAGCGGAGGACCCCGCCGGTCCGAGCGGAATCACGCCGCTCCAAGTTGCAGTTCGAAGCGGCGTGGCCGACACCGCCCTCCGACGGATTCCAGGAGGTTAAAAGGCAGCTTCCAAAAGTTTTCGAGGTTCGAGAGCTCAGAAATTCTGGCATCTCGCTTTGGTCAATTTGAGCAAACACTGAGATGCTCTCCTTGTTTACTCTCAGTCCTGATCTTCCGTGGAGCAGAGACATCCTTCTGTGGCATGAGGTTTCGGTCCTGGTGGAATCTTCAGTGGAGCTGGACAGACGCAGCCTCAGTTGGCTCGGGGGTTCACGGCGGCGTGATTGTACACATCCCGTGCACAGCACTTCGGAAGCTCACTGTCGCGACTTTTGAGATGTGATGTGAGGGCCAGGGCTCCATGGCGCTACAGCACTGCATCTTGCTTGCAGCTATCAAGCAAAACCAAGCAACGGAATTGGTGTTCATTGCCACGTAATTAAAGCTTCCGTCGGGCAGTTCAGCAACACCGTGGCTGCAGCGATCATTGCCAAGTTCTTTGATCGACCCAGGTTCAGTGCTGCCCAAGATGGGCACCTGAGGATTGTGCGTTGCTTGGTTCAGGCCCAGGCTGACTTAAATGCACCGGCGGAGGATGGTGCCACGCCCCTTTTCATCGCGGCCCAAAGTGGCCACTTGCAAACGGTCGCATTTCTTGCCAAAGCATCGGCCGACCTGAATAGGGTCGGACAGCACGGCGCGACGGCTTTGTTTATTGCGGTGCTTAGTGGAGAGCTGGAGATGGTCCAGTGTTTAGTGGAGCTTCGGTCTAGCCTCGATGTGGCAGGCAAAGATGGTGCCACACCCCTGTTCGTAGCTGCCCAAGCGGGGCAGCTCGAGATGGTGCAATGCCTGTGCCAGGCAGGTGCTGACACCGAGCGCCTGGCCGAAAATGGCCAGTCTGCTCTGGACGCTGCAGCTTCTGCATGTTTCCCGGGCGTAGTCGAACTCCTGCAAGCCCGCGCAAGGCAAAACCAGGCGTGTGCAGGCTCAATAAACGGCAACCTGGCTGGTGTGTGATGTGTGTGCTTCTTGAAAAGGCCAATGCAGTGGTATTGGCTATGGGCATGGCCGACCTTCCTGAGACATTGGGCATTCCAGGCCTTCTTTGCAGCTTGCCTTATCCTTTCTCTTCCCAAGATGCTTGGGAGGTGGACTGTCGGTAGCCAGCCGGTACTGTGTGCGGATGAATTTCTTTGCTGCCTCAGATCAGCAGACTAGACGTGAGCCTGCATCTGTGAACTCTGTGTGCAGGCGAAGATTTGCCCTGGGTCACGCACCGTCCTCCCATTCATTCTCCGGCTGCAGGGCCGCAAATGTCAGTTTACTGGCATGCAATTGTCTTCTTAGAAGTGCCGTGATGAGGGATCGCTCAAGCTTTGTCGTGTGCGTAAGCTTGCCAGCATGAATCAACGAGGTTCTCATGGAGAAGATAGGTCACCTATTGGTGGTGGGCCAGTGCCTTAGTGTCAGTTGGGAATCTCGCATGCTAAGAAGGAGTTTGATCGACTTCACTTCCACACAACTCTTGCGACACAGGTGCCGGTCTCAGTGCAGCAGATGCCATCCTGCACACGCTGCTCAGAGGCTGTGATCAGCTGTCTCCAGTTTGCCACATCTGCCGTGCGCAACCGTCAGCGTTTTTGGAGGCAGGGGGCGGGTCACCCATGTGTTTCATGGCTGCACTTAGACCTTTGCACGGAGTCCGCAGGTGGGTGTAAATCTTCACAAGGTAGTATTGGGGGAGTCTTCGGATCACGGGTTGTGAGGATGGTGAGTGAGGGCTGCCATTTGCCTGTGACAAACCGTTGAGCTTCAGGTTTCGCGGAAAGGCGCTGAGCACAAAGGTCGGGAAAATGCGACTCGCCTGCATGATCTGCAACTAATGAATGAAGACATCAGGCGAGCCTGATTGTTCGTGTTTCTGATGAGAAAACTGGGACAGGTTTGGCTCCTACACAGGGAACGAAATGTACGAGGAGGAGGAGTGGCTCGCGCAGCTCATGACCGGAGCGGTTCAAGACGAGCGCTACGCTGCTTTGGCCGTTCAGAGGCACTTGAAGAAAGGCAGGCAAAGCCAAAGACTTTACAGATTCAAATCTCAGGCAGAGTCGGAGCTCCTCGATATCCAGGACGACGGCAGCTGCCGAGTTCGTGGACCAACGCAAGAGCTGCTTTCCGTTTCCGATGCCGCGATCTCAGCCCCACTCCGCGTGTGTGACGCAGTCCGGAGTGCCAGCGCCCGTTGAGAGGTTTCTGTCGTAGCACTCCTGCTTGGATCCGCGCCGCAGCTGAGCTGGCTGCCTGCGTCTCTGCGGCGTGCCACCTTGGAACGCCCAAGAGCTCCGCAGCACCGCACGGCCGGGAAGGGTTGGCTTTCGAGCTGAAATGCCGAGCTGTCGCAGCAGTGTGGGCCGTCTCAGTGCTTGCCGTCGCGAGCTCTGACCTCAGGATGGTCAGCTCAGCAGTCACCCGCAGTTCTTGGCCATAGACGAGGCCTGCAGGAGTAATTGTGGAAATCTTTGCTGCGCAATCGCAGGGGGACGGGAGACGCCGCAGGCAACCTTGCAGCTGTCCGACGCCGAGACGGGGAAGGCCCATGCACCAGCGCAAGCAGCTTCTGGCGACAAGCTCTGTAGGCCACAAGTGTCCACCAGCGAAATGGGCTGGGACGTGCTGAATATGCCTCGACAAGCACTCCGATCGCCAGGTGCTTTCCCCGAGCGTCTTCGACACTCGGACACCCTGTAATTCTTGCGGTGGTGTCTGCTTCTGGAGGATGTTCTTCACCTAACATAGCAATGCTGTCGAGCCAGGGACTGTACCATTGTGACTTGGAGCGATCCGGGGTATGCAGCTGGATGGTTGGTCTCTGTGCAACCAGGCTAGTCTGACCAAGCTATTGCCAGCCAGCTTGGAGAAACGTGCCCCTTCACAGGGGTCTGGAATTAGACTGTTGGTGCAGGGAGGTTTTTGGATATCGAACGTCACAGGTTGTCTAGACTGGTGACTGGCTTCTGCCTTCTGCTGGACTGAGGCAGTCGGACCTCTCAGGGGTGACAACTTTGTTCGCTTCCTGCCACGCGGCAGCAATGGCTTCGGGTCCACATCAAGCAATCTGTGCCGGCTCATGCGAGCAAGGATAGATGTACGGCGATCCCACTGACTTGACTGCTAAGGGTCGGCGATGCCTATGCCGTGCGCCGGCAGGTTCTCGCGACCGCTGCAGAAAAAGGTGGTGGAATCTGCAACGGGCCAACATCCTTCTTCAGAACAGTTGTGAGTTGGCATGGTGTGAACGCTTGCTGAACAGATAATTACTGCAACGGTCCCTCATCGGCCCAGGCTGGCTTGCCCTTCTTCACACTCACCTATACTCCGTGAGGTCCCAGAAGTCTCACCGGAGCAGCCGGCAACGCGTGCGCGCTCCCAATGCCAGCCACAATGCTGGCACAGAAAGGAAAATCCAACACCCATGTCCATGTATAAATATACGTACGATACTGGCGCTATGATACATTATGCCAGGTTCCCATGAAAGGGCCTGTAACTGCAAGCCTTCGACACATTGACTGTACGACACCGGTTTCTGCCCCGCCAGAGTGGGCATGGAAGGAGTCCGTGTTTGCGAGACACAAACGGCTTGAGTCCCTTTGCATTGGCTCGGGCATTGCTACGAGGGTTTGTTGGTCCTGTCAGCCATGGGTCCGCAAGTCCTGCACAGTCGAAGTACAGGCGACTTATGCTTGGAGCGCGACTGTGGTCCCGGCTCGAGTTGCCCCACATCTCCCAGGACAGTGAAAGCCACAAGGCTATCATAACCGGACAAAAACAAAGAAATGAACGTTTGAAAGCTTCCAGGTGCCGCACAACTCCAATAAGCGACACGTACGTTGCTCCATTATTGGATCCTCGGTGTTCTCCGAAGAGTGTCAGCCAGTGCCCCTTTGCCCCGAACGTGTGTCCGAGGGGCAGCTGCCTGAGCAATTGCCATGGGGCAGTTCATGGTCAGAGCAGTGCTTGCAGATGTGAGGGATGCTGTTGCAGGCAGGCAGCCGATGGGGCAGAGCACCTCCGTGTCGGAAGAGGCTCCTTGCTGAGTGGCACAAGAACCTCAAGAAGAGAAGAGTCGTCACCTCACACAAAACGTTGATATGCTGCATGGCATGAATTGCATGGAATGGAGTGAGCCTGGTTTCTACAGCGGGGGCACATACTTACATAGATGAAGGGCATGAATGCTTTTCATGGGAAATCGCTTGTTGCTGCCAGCAACAGGTCCGGCAAGATGCTGGAGCCGCCCGGACCCCAGACCTGTCGGACGAAAAGTCGGCAGCAAGCCCGGCACGAATCATCTGATCGCCACACTCGCAGCTGAAAGCTCGCCAGAGAATCCTTCCGAGACGGGAGAGCCTGAGTGTGCCAAAGCCGAGGCTCCCAAAGCAGTGCCAAAGCCCGCGCTGCGCGCCCCTTCGCGGAGTCCGCCAGAGCTCGGGGCCGAGCCGCTGAGCCTGGGCCGAGACTCGGCGCAGCGGGGGTGCGTTTTGTCCCACTCCGCGTTGCGCCGCTGCGCAGGTCCTCCTCTCCATCCGTGCTGCAACAAGCGGTGGATGCGGTGGTCGGCAGAAGGCAGCGTTAAGTCGCTTCGGGCCACACAAGCCGCGTAGGATCCCAGCCAGGCTAGAAGATGTCGTGGAGGTTTCGTCCAGTTCCAAGCCTTTGGGATCCGGGCCGTCGGCTCAGAGCTGCGGCGGGTGATGTCCGAGCGCGGCACAGATGTGCATTCTGAGTAGCAGAATCCACCGTCCGAAGAACCAATGCTTTTTGCAGCTCAGGGCATTTGGGACTGTCTGGCGTGGCCGATACTTGGACGGCGTGCTGCCAGCACTTATGACAAGCTTGACTGGCGTTTGGCAACAAAACTCCAGATAAGATTCACACGGCACGTTGAACTTGAAATCCTGGGAAATCGAACAGTTGCTGTTGGGGTTCTGAGGAGGCTGCGCCTGGCACTCGGAGGATGCGGAGTCAGGCTTCGGAAATTTGGGATTTCATGCTGAAGGCACTGCAGGGCGGTTGTCAGTCTTCGCACAGAGAAACAGTCAGAGAAACGACATGATGCATCGTTCTCGGATGAAGCCCGTGGCCAAGGCCGTCGCGGTGAAGTCACTAGACAAAGCGAAAATGAAGCAAATGAAGGCGCGCTTCCATGGCCGTACACGCGCTCCTATCAGCACTCCGGCCGCCTAAAGGTGCCTGACACGCTGGTTACGGCCGAGGTCGAGTTTATGCGTCACGCCCCCAGGGCACCACAGTAACAAGCTCCGTTTTCTGAATGCCTCAGTTCGCCCAGGCGAGTGCAAGGGGCAACCTTGGTTTGTTCAGCTCTACGACTTCCTGGAGCGAGTTTCTGCTTGAATCGCATTGCCACATGACCCTAGAGTCACCGTTTCTTGTCTACAGACCACCATATCATTGTAATAAGGAGGACTTGGCGCTGTCATTTGCAATTTCCACTGCTGTCGGCGCGCAACCAGACAAGTGATTCTCAAATTGATGCGCTCTTCCAGATGCCCCGTGAAGCTGCACTCCAAAACTGGCCGCTAGTAACATCCAGTGACAGGGGTGGACTGCCCTGCCAAACCGCGGGCTGGGTCACGATGATGAATCGACTCTCGCGAGACAAAAACAAAAGGAGTAGCTGAATAGAATTGAATAGATCACCGGCTTGAAAGGAGCAGTCTTCGACAGAAGAGGTGTCATAATGGCGGGGTCACACGACAAAGCTGTCAGGACACTAGCCACAAGTTCTACCTGCTACTCGAGCTTTGTGATGGAGGGAATCTGGAGGACATTTGGCATCCGTGGTGGTTCAGACCCCTAATGGATCCCCACGAAACTAGCAGCGTCAGGGTTTGCGGAAGGATGCGGCCAGAAGCCTAAATGACGGTCTCAGCGAAGCACGCTGCGCAGCCTTCATGCAGCAACTTCTGCACGGGACTTGGACGTGTTTTTTTTCGCCGTGGGGAGGGGGTCAGCCTAAAGGCCTAGAGCAGCTGAGGTCTGGAATTGCATTCCTCCACTCCCGGAAGATCTGCCACAGAGACATCAAGCCGCAGAATGCCATGCTTCTAGGCCGGCGATGGCCGGCCATGTGCCGTGGCAGCACGGTGCGCCCGAGCAGCTCGTGAGAGCAGGTGATGCACGAGGCTCCAGCTCCCGGCTGCGGCTGGGAGACTTTGGGATTGCGGGGTTCTCAGTTCTGAAGGACGGGTGAGGGACGGGAGGAGTTACGATCTTGGAGGCTGTGCGACTCGGCGAGAAGCTCCTCACGGAGAAGCTGGGCCTCCTTCTGAGAACCTCAGAGAACCCTTTAAGATGTCAGGGTCATCCCTTCGCTTGTCCAGCCCAGGCACACCAGCCTTCATGGCGCCAGAAATGCCGGAGTCCTGACTGAGCCCCTGCCTGGGGACCTGAGTCAGCAGATGTCAGAAGTCGAACTAGCCATGAGGCACATGCTGCCGAAGTCAAACGGGTACGATTGCAAGGCAAGCACACGGCCGCAGCGAGTGTAAGCAGACTGAATCGTTCCAGAGGGTGAACGCACCGTGTACGAGCCTCTACGGCTCTGTTTGAAGGTGGATCTTTGGGCAGCGGGGACGTTCATGGTCTTCCTCTTGTCCTTGGAATATCCGTGGCTTGTCTGCTCAATAGCAGCACAGAGAGAAAGGGCTTGAACTTTGAATCCATGCCGATTTCAGGTTCGTGGATCCAAGCGGCCGGCTGCTGAAGAATGACCTGCTGAGAGGACCTCGCTCGGTGTCTTGGGCTTCCACAATGTAGTCCCATGAGGGGGGTCACAGGCAAGCAGCTTTGTGATCAATGCATCGGCGTCATCAGATACCGGTACCGTCGAACCGGAGAACACTTTCTGGTGAAGCTGTCTGACATTCTGAGCTCGTACCGATCCAAACCGAGCCCAAGCTGCCTGCTATCGAAGCCTGCAGCTGGATGTCAGGAGATTTGCCCATTTGGGAGGGGAACGCCTTCCAAAGCCTTTTTCGGAATGTTCAGGACCTGATTGATGAATAAGATTAGATGTCCGCATTGAGTTCAAGCAACTTGTGCGTGTTGTTATGAGTTTCTCAGGCACAGCATCAGCATGGAGTATTACTATTTGTTCTGCATCCTTCGTTGCACGAGGAAGCTGCTGGCCTTCGAAGGAAGAGGCAGACTGTGTTATGGCCTTGCATTGAGTGGCTGATAGCAATCTCACATTGACATGTCTTTGCTATTGCGACGGTATTGCTGTGGATGTGTTTGCCTGGTTCACAATGTGCAGCTTCGTGAGGGCGCAAGGAGGCTAAGCCTCTCATCTGCGCCCCATCCGTATGAACCAACATGCTGCCATGCCTGAAAGTATCCCGGAGAAGTTCATAGCACCCCTCCTTTATGAGTGTAGGGGAACCTCCCCCGCACCTCACCCCCCTCCCCACAGACACACCAATAGCCTACCCAAACCTCTCTCAACGCAGCTAGGGGTAATAGATCGCCCTCGAAGATGAAGGATTTGCAAGGCCTACGCTAGTTTCCCGTCGTGGCTCCCAATCCTACGCCATGGCGCTCGCTTTGCCGAGCACTGTTCGCCCCGCGTCCTTGCATCCCGGGCATCTTGGCAGTGCTTGAGGAGTTCAGCTTCGACCATCTTTAGCCTTCGGCGGTTGTGTCACAAGCTTTTCAGGGACGCGTAGATGGTCGCATGGTCCATGCTCGCTGCTTCAACTGCTTGACTGCAGGCAGTCCGTGCCGGGCTCGCCACATCGAAAGATGCAGTCGCGGCCAGGCTGCGCTTAGCCTCTTTTCGCTTCGACATGTCTTGCAGCCCTAGACCCTAGCGTGGAAAGGCATGGGAATAGTACACATCACGACGTCTTGATTCCTAGATGCCCCGCTCCAAGGTCCCGGACACTGCCTATGCTGCAAGTGGCTGGGGCGCAGGCATACGGAGCTGTCGTTCTCTGCTGTGTACTGACGGCCCCCGAAACGGCGTGGCCCCCGCGCGAGCCAGGCCTTGAAGACTTTGACCGGAAGCGGAAGTTCTTCTGCAGCGTCCAACCACCAGCTGCTTCGTGCCGGGACTCAGCGCAAGTCTATGCAGCTACGCAACGAACCTTCTGCTGGCTGAAGCACGCTAATTAAGCATGCTAGCTTGCTCTGCAGGCTGCATGCCCGTTGAACGCATCCCAAGGGACGCCTCCTGTGGGGGGATGCCTCGAGGTCCCCATCCAGACCTGACAGTTGCACTCTAGACTCCACTGACTCGACTCTACACTAGATATTAACATCGATGCACGCGGCCGAAGCCTGCAGCTTGACTGCAGCACGGCACAATGTTAAGGCTTTCCGCAAAGCTGGAGCATCAGACGAGCATGATTGCATGGCAAAGTTTAATCACCTCCCGAGGTGCCAACCAAATACACATCCACAAGCAGTGGTCCCAAGGCGCCGGGTACATGTAGCAATCAGTCCAGGCTTGAAAGTCTCTGGTGCTGTTAAAAGGAGAAGGCAAGCCAAGCCTGAAGCCTCATAGCCTCATGACTCATAGCGGCTGAGGAAACTTCAGAGTGTTATTAGCATCCTCGTCTAGTGTCTCGTGCACAGGTGCGTGTGCAAACCATCAGTTTTCCAGGGGTGACATTTGCACACCACTGCGGCCATACAGGTACTCAGAAAGACTGGCTTCCGAGACCCGACAGTCTGCCTGCGGGGCATCCACTCCTCTACCGCAGTCTCCAAAGCTGCTTCGGCCGCATGTAAGGGCCCGCAAGGGCTTGGCTTGATTCGCTTTGTTGGTTTCGGTTCTGTTCTCTCTGCAACCGAGACTGGCGTGCCGATGAAGGCCGGCAAGGCTCCAAGCAGAGCAGAGGACGGCGGCAAGAAGATTTCCCTTGCTCGGGGATAATGGCGCGTGTACGTGCATGACTCGAGCAGATTGTGTTCAATTAGACCCGTGTTCTTCCGGCCACGCTTGGAGCCGCGACAAGAACTTGACCCTGCATCAGTTCGTAGATGTAGAGGTACGCAGAAAAGCATGACTGTTTTCGAGCCTAGCGAGTCCTTCCATGGCTGTTGGTGCTTGCCTCGAAGGATCTGGCTCCTCTCCCCCAACAAGAATGACATCGAAGGACGCCTGCAAACATGCTCATGTTCACAGGTTCCAGTTTGAGACTGGCTTTTCGTCGCCACAGCAGCCCGTGACATGCAAAGTGCGTACTGCATTTTGAGGCAAGGGGCCTTATCCTCCCTTTGGGATTGGGGAGTCGTCGCCAGTGATAGTAGAAACGCCGAGCCTGAGCTCTCAGAGCTGCCTCCGTTCTTGGGTACGGACAATCTCTTGGAATGCTGTGTTTCTGACAAGCGAGGGGTCGCCGAGTAGCACGAACCTCTTTCCAAAAGCTACGAATACCACAGCATGCTCGCTACCAGCTCGTGTTGCTGGTTGACAAACCAGGCTTGTACACTCATTCCTATTCATCCCGCATGCGAGCTCGCTGTTGAATGTGCAAGGCCAGCGCAGCAAGATATAGCTCGAAGCAATCCGTGTCGTGGCAGAGTACTGAAGGGTGTGCTGTTGAATGTAAGCTGCATCCCGGCCGACAGCACAACTTGCTGCGATGCAAATCCTAAGCGCGATTCAGGATGCTCAGCGTTGGCTTAAGTTCCTTGTTGTATTCCTCAAGCTGTGTCACATGTTCATTGTGATTTGATGTGCACTCTTTGAGGCCAGTGCGGCCAGGTATGATTCGAAGCAATCAGCCGCTTGGCTGAAAAGGTTTCCAAATCGACCGATCACCACACTGATGCAGAAAGCGTGATCTCGACTGACGGAAAGCATGCTATCGGGGTTGCAGCATGTACTACATTACCGTCGCAGCTTAGGCACAAGTAGGTGCACAACAGAAGAAAGACAGTGCCGAAGTCTTGAATTATTTATGTCTTCAGAACCTCAGACTCAGGTCATGACGCGCACCTCTCAGGCAGATGAATCCCGGAGCGGCTCCAAACATTCGGCCCTGCCTGCCATGGGCAAAACCTTCTCGTCGTCCGGCGCCATCGCTCAGACCTCCAATGCCTTTACCGTTGGCGTGAGCGACTTGTCTGTTTCGGAAGCACAGTGAGGCTGGAAGACGAACTTCTGGAAGACCTTTGACCTCGCTTATCTCATTTTGCGAAAGGGATTTGCTCCAAGTTGCCCCCCGGTGTTCAGTGGTCCGTCACAGCTTTGAGCTGCATCGAGGCATGCGTGACATCTCCTCCGTGGACAACTTTCGGGGTCGCAGCCTGGCATTAGCCTGGCATTTCGGTGTGACTCCAGCATTCCACCTGCGCGGAGACTCGATCTGGTGCTGCCAACCAAGGCAGCTCGTCGCCTCCGCCAGTAGCACGAGAGGACACAGAGAAAGGCTTCCGGGGTTTCGGCAGCTGCACGACATTCATTGAACAGTTGCAGTTACACGAAGTGCGGATGTTTGTGCTGACATGCTGAACCAAGTGGTCGGCTGAGGGCTGTTGAGAGAGGCATTATGCCGTCACACTTAGAGCAAGCATGGTGCACCAAAGCACTGGAGGCTCGCTCGAGCGAACAGTTTCCAAGCGCCCCAGCTGAAAAGATGCAGGTTGTTGTATCCACGGTAGTACGGCCAGCATGTTGTGAATGCGGTTTGCAGGCAGCGGACTAGATGTCAATCCACAGGATGCATCGGCTCGGCATGCAACAAGGTCGCAACGTGCAACAGAGCTCGTCCACGAGCTGCGTGACATGGTAAATGAGGATGAGCGAAGGGAACGAGGCGCACCGGCACGCAGCACCAGGTTTGTCGGCCACCGGTCGGGTACGGTGTAAGCAGTCAGTCATCCTGTACACGACCTGCTGAAGTCCTTCCTCCTTTCAACTTCTTCCGTGCAATCCCTCAAATTGCTCGGAGGAAAGGTTTCCGCAAGTCATGCCTCATCTACGTCAACACGGGTTTGCCCGCATTGGGTTGGTTGGCATGTTTTATCATAATATGTTGTAAGATGAAGGGAATGCAGCTGCGTTTAAATGGGTCTCCCCATCCGGATCGGTCGGTTTGCTTCGTTTACGGTTTCTTTTACTGTTACAGTTTGTGATGTTTGGAATTCAACTGCTTTTACATGGGATTTCCCACCCGAATGGGTTGGTTTGCTTCTGCACCTGTTCGTTTCATGTTTCGATTCTAACCGTGTTTGCATGGTTTTCCCATTAGCTGTAGCCGAATACGCACCATCTTGGCTAACGTAGTTGCCAAATTAAATGGGGCTGGCTTCGACCGAGAATGCAATACTCCGTCTGTCGCATGACGATGTGCTTGCCTGTCTTCATGCTCTAAGATCTCCAGGCAAGTCATGGGTCAAAGTACAGGTGGGCCATGTATGGCCTTTCCGTGGACGTTTTGAGTATCGTTCAGGTGTCGTTAGGGAATCATTCAGGTCCCGATTGCCATGAAATTTGGGCACGCGAACGCCTCGCATCGGGTGTGACAGGATGGGCATGGGTAAGCCTTGCGTTGAGTGCGTCTCACTGCTACATGCGTTTGCTAGTCTATCTAACGACCTTGTAACACCTGGAAATCAGTAACGATTTGAACATGCATTTGTTTGGGGGAAGCACCAAAGGCATGACATCGGACTTCGGCATGACATGCATTTCTCTGCATTGAGATGGGGGAAAGCACCAACATAGGCGTGACTTTAGTGGACGCCGGTAGAATCGTCAAGCTGCCAGGCCCTTTGCTAGCGTGGTCCTGTGGCCCCAGTCAGGTGAGACGAAGAAGTGGCTTGGGCAGGACGGGTCACTGCCACAGAGCATCCGGCAGCTGGCTACTGGGCCTAACCAATCAAGCAATTCTGTCTTACTTCTCAGCTTGGTGTGGCATGCATGTGCGGCATCGACTGTTCGCCAATACTCTCTGCGGTGATTTGAGTGCATTCTCCAGAAATAGTCTGAGGACTATTGGACGGCTCGTGATTCATTCACTCTCTACGATGTGAAGAAAACAGGCTTCTCGTAATTGTTTTCGCGTTTTGGCAGCGTTCAACATTCCCGAAGCTTTGCCACCATGTGAACTTGGGCGAGACAGTAGACCTGTGCAGAGCATTGCGGCCGCTTGCGCCAGTCTCTACCCAAACGCCGTATCCAGTCGCTAGTCTTAGTGTCTTGGAGTATAAGGGAGCTGCGATGCACTGCCAGGCCACCTGGACAGAAGAACCTTCTACAACCTTCTGAAAGGCCACGTGGTTGCTGTGGCATCGGGCGTATGCAACGGAACGCAGCGCTGTGCAAGGCACGCTAAGAGTGCGGAGTCTGATCTACCAACGTGTGAAGCTGGCAGGCATCAGCCGGCTGCAAGACAACATCAACGAGGAACTCAGTAACTCGTTCCTGTGTTTTGTGCTTGACACCTCGATGCCTGAATTCCATACGTGTCTCAGAGTTGTCCCAGCAACACTGCACGAAAGTCGCAGCTCAGATTTGCTTTTCCTGAGGCGAAGCCATCTTCGAGGCAACTGGGATTGAATCAAAGCCCGTCCGTAGTTTGTTCGGTACTTGGTATATTATGGACGCGGCGCTTGAAAGGATCAATGTCGATTTCACAATGCACCGGTTGCTTGGGGCTGGGGCCGTCAGGCATCAGAGGGGGCGTAAGGTTTGGCCGTACAAATGAACGTAGAATCGCTTGATCTGCAATGTATCAGGAAATCGACATCAACAAGTCCGGTGGTATCGACGAAGATGAATTTCTCGGATGGGTCTTCCAGACGAACAATTTTCGTAGCTGGCTCAGTTGTCAGACGAGGAACACAAGTCTCGTTAGGCGCCGCACCGTTCTGACAGATGTTCGTGAATATGCAGCACTGCTGGCCGTCTGTTGCGGCAGCATTCTGCAGACTGACAGGTCTAAACCACCTTCGAGAGAAGTTGGTGCAGCTGCCACAGGAGCAGGTGCAGCGGATTTTCCGAAAAATAGTGCCCGGCATGCACTGGAAAGTGATATAATGTAGTCTTTTCTAGCCCTACGATGTCTGTGTCGGGGGGCAGCGAGACGTCGGTGCTCGCTACACTCAGGACAAGACAGGAGATGGAAATCTTGACAAGACGGAGTTTTGGCGTTTCATCGAGACCATTGGAGGACGGCGGAGCTTCCCGCCAGCCGTCCGTCCGTCCCTCCGCCAACCGTCCGTGCGTTTCTGTGTGTTGGTGCGTGTGTGTGCGAATCCCTTCGACCAAGGGTCAAACAATCCAAAAGTGCAGCGGCCCGCAGGCCTACCAGTACCATCGGAGCTGCGGCCAACGAAAACCATGGTAGTTGTGAAAATTCACCTGCTGATATGCAACCACCACAAAAACCAGAGTTCGGACCAAAGTCAAAGAAGGAATGAGATGCTGAAGCAGTTGACACGAAGAGTGAAGAGATACAGCTACCAGCAACGTGCTTCGGCTATATCGAAGGGTCATTCCATGTGTGTTTGAACCGGCTGGTTATCTGTCATAGTGCCAGTCGTGAGGCTCCACTTGTTTTTGAAAGCTCGGTTGCCAGAAGGATGAGCGCAACAAGCCTCCAAAGTACTCTCCTACATAAAATCTGAATCACATCTGCGTAATATTCATGTGTGGGCTCTCCTTGAACGTGTGCTACAAACCAAACCTGTGACCAGCAACGAATTCGCTACGGTACGTGCCAAACTTGTGACGGGCATTGCGTTTGTTCTTTTACATAGCGACATGCTGACCTACTTTGTGTCGATCGCGGGTCTCTGCGTGTGAAAGTTTGGCAGCCTCACAGTTGCGTCCACGCTTGTTTTCCCCGTTCGGGATCTCGCAACTCGCAGGCCTTTGCTTGGCTTGATGGGCCTTTGTGCCCCCGGATCGTCGCCCTTCTGGCCCTCGTCGCCCTTTTCGCTGTCTTCCCCTCCCACGCCTCCGTGTACCTTTGGTTTTCCGTCTGTTGGGGTGTGCCGGTGGCTGCAGGCCCGAAACTGCGCACTTGCAGTCGTTGTCCCAACAAGTTGCCTCCCTTGGCCAAGTCGTCTCTCAATCGTCTGAATTTGGTTACTGCACATCAACCACCTTGTTCTTCTACATACCACACTTGTGAGGATTGATCAGCTGGCAGGAGGAGAGAGTAGCGGCATGCGAAACATCTGCGAAACTTTCAGCCTAAGAAAACTCGGTATGGTGGGGCTGCGCCTCTGACCCCATACTCGCCGACCAACAGAGATCACACAAGATGTGAAAGCAACAGTGCAAAGACGAGGATTAGGGTGGCTGCGGCTTGGCATGCGAAACTCTCGTGCGTCAGGCAACAAAATACACTATTCGCTGGAGGCTGAGCAGTTGCTGTTTGCATCGTTTCCAACTTGTTTGGCTATTGACTCCTTTCGTGCCATTCCTCCACATATTTGTTCTGCATCACCCCGTCACCTCACGTCTCGACTCCTTTGGTCCTCTCATCGTTGCAGTGATTTTCTGCATGTTTTCTGCTGCTGCTTGTTGATTTTCAAAATTTGTTTGGCTGTTGACTCCTTGCATACCATCCCCACAGGTTTTTGTTCTCCATGACCCTGTCAGTTCATCGTCTCGACGCTTTGTCCTTCTTCATCTCATCGCTACCGTGACTCTGTGATTTTTGTTTGTTTATTTGTTTACTTGTTCACCACGCTTCACTTGAGGTTTTACACAAGATTCACGTTTCACGAGAGAACGCTTCACGCAAGGTTAACATAATGTTTCAGCTGTTCTTTGCATACATGTTTCGCTGCAAATTTTGGCAGCTCGAGTGTGATACATCTGATGTGATTGCAAGTGATTGCGATCAACCACAACTGATTGCTACCCCTTCATAGAGGCGCTTGTGTGTGTGTGTGTGCGTGTGTCTACGTGAGAAGCCTTCTACCGAGGGTCAAAGAATCAAAAGTTCAGTGGCTACCATCGGAGGCCTTCGGTGGCCGTAGATGTGAACACGTACCGGCTGAAAAAGATCGCAAAACCAGACTGACCAAAGTCACAGCAGCATCAGGTGCTGTCGCAGTTGAGATGAAGAGTGGTGAGATGGAATTACACTGCTAACCCATGCACAAGCCTCAGTTACTGTATATCGAGGATCATGCGAAGTAAGTGTGTGTGTGTGTGTTTGTGTTTCTGTGTGTCGTGTGTGCCCCCAACAGATCAACTTACACAGCCCTTGTCATTCAATGTTGACCGCTTGCGCGAAGCGTTGTTTGTCCATTCTCAACTCTGGTGTCCCGTGCAGGAATCCCTCGAGAAGCGAGTCTCCGGCTTGCATTCAGGCACCGACAATTCTGAGGATTGTTTGTGGAAGACGAATGAGCAGGCTGTCGGAAATGCAACACAGATTCTGCAAAGACTCTGCTTGTCGCATGTGTCGTCTTGCGCATTGGTTAGCCGATCGAGCTCGGGGGCTCAGCTCGCCCCACCAGCCACTAGGTCATGAAGATCACGGGGCCTTGGACCCCGAGCCAGAATGAGTCCTTCAGCCCGGGAGAATGGAGCTTGTGCTCTATGGGGTGCGTATGGTGGTGACGTCGAGAAGGAGTGAGACTCGAGGATTGCGGAGTATGAATATGATTGGGGCGATGATGACGATGTCGCTGGTGGTGGTGGTGGTGGTGATGATGATGACGATGTTGATGTTTGGTAGCGGCGTTTACGACGTTTCGCAGGCGTCTTTTGATAGTGATGATGACGACATTGCCGTTGATGGTGATGATGACCGATGCACGAAGGCAGGGGCAGACTCCATCAGGTGCAGGATGTCAAGACGAGAAACACTCACCTGCTGACGTCCAGTTGTCGGTGTTGTAGCTGCCTCAGTTTCGACCGTATGGGCCGAGGTGATGACCTGCATGCTGCTTGGTTGAGAAATTGACTTCCGCCACAGTAGACTGTCATGCATATAGTCTCTGAGTGTCCCAGGAGTGGGACCGGACGCTTCAGGCTCCTCTGTGATGATTGCGACTGATTTCCGACCGAGGATTTCATTGATAGCGACGCCTCCGGCGACATCAATTACGACGAGTTCCTTAACTGGGCTCCCCGTCTTCAACAATTCCCGACACTGACTCTCAGGGGGATCCCGAGTCAGGTGCATCCCGACCGCGAGCTGAAGATGCTGGAGCAGAGAGGCATCAGATTCTGTGACAACTAGCATCACATGGACAGAAGAGGATGAAAGGGCTGGAGCTGCTGGTTCGGCCGGAACCCCAAATCGACCCAAGCTTCAAGCCCAAAATATGCGAGGACACGCGGACCAGCAAGGCCGACAGGGCAAATCTGGCCTCTGCTCAGTCGCTTTCAGAGGTTTCACAGATGATCACTGGTCAGCCGGTCAGCCTTGCTACTGACAGCGAGTCTGGTTGAGAACTCGTCTTTACTGTACCTGTTGGGGACTCGTCGAACAGTCGCTTCACGAAAGAGCTGGCCATTTATGTACATGCCACAAAAGTCTAGCTTCCAACCTGTCTGCCTCAGACTATGTGAAACTTGCTGGCGACTACGTGGCACCCAGCAAGCCGCTGATGGAGACGCGGCCCGGGAGGCCTGTAGCGACTTGGAAGCAAATAGCGCATGCAGCCAAGGCGTCTCCGTCTCTTGTCCACATGGCAACTTGAGTCTTGCTGAGCTCAGGTCTTGCAGTTCTGGGCTCCTCGCCAGCAGGATGCGGATGATAATGAACATTTCGTTGTATTTGCAAGCTTAGGTCGGTCGGGACTATGCATTCATGGCTGAGCGAATGAAGATCATCATGAGCCAGGCCAAAGCAAGCCGCCAGGGTACTGTAGCGTCACGGACACCCTGGTTTGTTGGCCACCCAACAGGTGAAAACCGGCGCTGCGGGTCGGTAGTACAGGTTTCTTGCTAATCGGTGCTATGCGCAAGGGCCACCTTCGCAATCTAGGCTCAAGAATTGGTCATGGATCGCGATGAAGGCTTTTTCGCAATTCGGGATAGACGTTTCTGTTCTCTGAATCGACCTGGCGTCCACATAAGCGACCAGAGCATGGATCTGGCCGGCGCGGAATGGAGAATCTGTGCGGTCGGCTGGACCGGGCAAAGGAATTCCAATCTTGAGGAAGATGCTGCTTTGCATCAAAACATGCCCGAAAGGGAACGAAAACGAAATGTTCTGCAACATGGAAGGTCGCAAAGCAAAACCACACATCTTAAACCCATCAAGCCTCTTCGGTGTGCTCAGGTAGCGCAAGCTCTTGCAATCCACGGCAACACAGTAAATCATCTGGTGAATCTGATCAAAAACCGCCCGTTTATGCGGAAGTCATCAGAGCTTCACAGATGCGACCGCGCAAGGGCCACAGAAGGTCGCATTTTGAGAGGCTGGTGGTAGGAAAGACCGTGACTTGAGCCCGGGCAGGTCTTCACCGACAACCAGGTGGAGTGGGAGTTCAAAACGGATGAGCGTGAGGGTCTCAGTGCGCCGGGATGACCTACTAGCAGAAAGCTGCTGTTGGAGGACGGAGAGTTTGCCTGTGTTCCTGACCCTGAGGCATCAAGGGCACGTGCTCTCGGGTCGTCGCCAAAGCCCGGGTTTCAGACTGCCCAGAGCTCGAGGTCCCCTGAATCAGCCTCGCAGCACGGTTGCCGTCGCAGGTCGGTCGCGGGATCGAGCTCTGGAATCGTGACAGAATGCGTCTTGCCATGTCAAGACAGGCTTCGTGCGTGTCATGTGAGCCTTTTGCACCTTTAGCGGGTCATTGCAGTGGCCGTCCGACCCACGAAGAACTGAGGATGGCATATCGTGAAGATCCCTTCCTCGATCAGTCAGGACTACCCGGGCGAAACGTGACAACCAGAATGCCGTCTGCTCATGCCTGTTGAGCCCGAGAGGAACAAAAGCACGACAGTGGTTGACAGAGGTGTCGCGAGCTCGGCACTTCGAGCCTGCAGTGACATGAACGGAAGCCTCTGAGCAGTCGCAGAGTTCACGGCTTCTGTGTCAAATCGACTGAATTCGGTAGCTAGCTATGAGCTCGAAGTGAACTGGTCAACAACATGGAGGGTGGCTTCTCAGAACTTTTCAAGGTCTTCATGGATGTTTTAAGGACCCTTCCACTTGAAGACGGGATGTATGCTGGTTTTGCATCGCCTCAGATCTTCATGGCCGAAGCACAGAAGGCTGATTGTCGTGGTTTTGGGGTAAGTGTGGGGTGTGATGTGGCATGAACTCAGGCTGAGAAGCTGCCTGCCGGACGTTGAGAGCGCTGCGAACTTGCATCGCGCCAAGCAGCTACGTAAGCACAGGCGAGAGGATCGACAAGGATCTAAAGATCCTCGTGGTAGGTCGAAGGACAGAGCGTCCTCGAAACAGAGGATGCCCTCGAAAGGCCGGATGACCTCCAAAACATGAAGGTCGTCTTTTCCCGGCTCTTTCGATGCTGTACAAACTGCACAGGAGGCTAAGGACCTTTTTTGTGCGTGTGAGATTTCTGAACTCATCCTTACTGCCCAGTTTCGATACTTAGACTTAGGGTACTGAGTGGGTGCAGCACCACCCCATGCAAGGACTTGGTGGTTTCAGGGCTTCCCTCATGCAGCCAGTTTGGCTTCTACTATTGCTCCGTACGAGTTGCCGTGCGCGAATTGGTGCGTGGTTCCTTGCCTCTTTCATTATGTGGCTCTGCGCATGTCGAAGCGTAGCGGCGTAGCGAGTGCCGCAGGTGCCAGGAGCTGGCCACATTGCGCATTCCTCTCCTCGCACACATGCGTGGTGTTTGAGCTGCTGGCAGGTTCACACTCGGACTAGAAGGTAGATCGCATGCAATCTCATCAGACTCTGCGGGTCTGACTGCCCCAGCTGAGCTCAGACACGCATCAAACTTGCATCGAGAGGGACCTGAGAACGCGGATTCGCTTGCACGGAAGCCAACCCGACTTCCCGGCCCCTCTCTGGTGCTTTGACACGTCTTGTGAGTCTGCAAGGATCAGTAGAAGAGCTTTGCAGCGCCGCTGCCCACCTCTGGATGAAGCGGTTTCAGGGGCTGCTTCATGGACGCGGGGCGATCGTTGCAAGGAGATTCGGACCCAGACTTTGAGACCCCTTCAATTGCAGACCCGAGCTGTAGACCGTAGAGCAACGCAATGTTTGACTCGTTGACCGCACGCCTTAGGACGTAGGCCTAGGATTCGTCGAGCAAGCTCTCACAGGGCTGCTTGACCATTCGCAAACCCTCCGAGCCTAAAGGGATCTGGGGGAATGCCAGCTTACATAGATTGCAGAGCTTGCTTAGCGCTCCTGCAGTACTTGCACCGCTTTCATGAGTGTGCGAGGCTTCAGTGATTGCAAAACGGGATGATGAAGCTTCTTGCAAACTGCAAAGTGTGGCGTTGTTGCAGCAGACCTCGGCCCCAAGCAAAGCTGAGTTTCAGCCTACACGTTCATCACATCTCCAGTATGGTGAGAGTAAGGATACAAGGCTGGGCGCACCACGAGGAAGAAACCTACCGACTCAAAACAAACTCATCTCCTCTTCTGCCTGTTGTTTTGCTTGCATTGATCATTGAGCATCTCAGTCATCATCATTGCGATCGTCTGGTTTAATTAGGATGAACGCCAGCGCGACGGTAAGCACTTCCATCTTTACTGACTGTATTGTAAAGACTATCACCAAGATAGGTCTAGCCTGGCAGGGTTTCAGAATTGGCGGTATCGTTGTCCCAGGCTGGCATCACGTCACTATGGACAAGTCGGAATGGTTTGCGAGATCATCTTCGCAACCGCAAGAACATGATCATCTGTCTCATAGTGTCGATCCTGACTAGTGTCATCCTCGTGGTGTTTTTAGCTATTGCTGCCTGAACGATGCCGTCATAAAAGTTATCAAGCTGGCCTTCAGCCTGTAGGTAGTCGTTGACTATGTTGACGGGAGCGGGACATGCAGGCATGATCATGATAAAGAATGCATTCACTCGGTATGTATGAAGCGATGAGCGGCAGAGCTGACTGCGCTGACAGTCATGCCACAGCTACGAAACTGAAACTCGAAACGTTGAGGCTTGAGGCAGGAGATGTTCAGTGGTCTGCAGGCCATCGCCAGTTGCCCGTGATTTGGTGCGACGCCTCCTGCGGCCGAAGAGGCCCTCAGAAAGCCCTGCACTTGAGATTTTCTCTCCCTCCTCATCCTTGGAGACTTTACGGTTGGAGGTCAGTGGATCACCCATCCCGCTTGCCGAAACCGCTGCCTCCTCTTAAACGTTGCAGCGCCCCTTTGCTTCCAAAGGACCTTGCGGCCTGAAGCCGAAGAAGCGCTAAAGCAACGGCCCCGGCCAGAGCCGAACAACAAAAGGTCGGGGCGGGGTTGCGGGGACCGGGCAGGCATGCGGGAGATCAGCGTATTTGCGGCCTTGAGGACAAATTCTTTACCTACCCTCAATTGACTCCAGCGGCGGCGGCGGATTGCTAGGGCATGCTAGGGCAGCACCTTATCTGGGCCATTCTGGGCCCAGATCATCATTGTAGGTCGTCACAGCATCGTTTGGAGCTCGATCTGTACTACATCTGTGGGCGATGCATTACCCTAAACTTGTCATGAGCATTGTTGGCATCAGTACGTTCCGCATCAACAGCAAGGCATCCCTGGTTCAGGGCCCCTCCCCTGGAGCCTGGCGACCAGCGCGAGGAGCTACTTCCAGCGTGAGTCATGTTGAGTCTGTGGTCTGGCTGCTGGCAGTACCGGCTAGCAACATCACAAACAATCAGGGTAGAACATGGCAGGCAAATGCAGGTACCGACTCCTTACCCACTGAAGCTCGCATCGCATAGGCTATCATAGGCTACTACCAACGGTCCACGACAGCACTGTGTGCTCGGTTCAAGAACCTGTCGTGCCGAAGCCGGTCTCGAGCTGTCAAAGAGGTCACCCGGTCACCCACGATGCTTCCGCGAGACAGCCACTTCTGACACTTTAGATGCCAAAGTGCCGTATGCCTGACCGAGAGAGTTTGGGTTGAGATCGGCAGAAGTCCCCAGAGAGAACTTGTGAGGATGATGCTCACGATCCTTTGCTCCAGTGGGCCGACTTCGAGGTCGGAAAGCCTGCTCGGAAGTTTCGCAGGCAGTGAGCATGAAGAGAGCAGGACGGATTTGCCGCCATCTCCAGGGAGTTCCACAGGAAAGCCCAGGCGAGCCTTTGACGGACGGCCCAAAGTTGTGGATCAATTGAGGCCATTTCTCACGATGGTGATGGTGACGTGGGTAATCACACTGACAAAGGACCATGCTGATGATTTTTGTTGCTTTGCTATGGCGAGGCTGCTACGCCTGTTCTTGGCATGCTCTTGGACGATTGATGATGTGGTTGTTACTGTGTGGACGAGGATGACATTATGGTAACGTGGATGCTGATGTCGATCATAACTGTGTGATGATGACACTGTCTTGGCCATCCTGTTTAGTGGCATCATCATGGTCATCATCATCATCATCAGCATCATCATCATCCTCATCATCATCATCATCATCATCATCATGGAAGCGGAGTTGCCGTAGTCTTGCGATGCTTGCTTGCTTGTCTGAATTCGGCTCATCTCTACTTATCTTGCCTGCCGATCTGCTCGGCATGGACCTTCACCCACGAGACGCGCCAGGAGATGGTGGAGGCAGTGGGAGAGATCCAGGACCGATCCGACCATGCCGTGCCGGGCCGTGTCCGTCGCATGCAGTGGTTTCGCCAGATTGGCATCGACCTTCCCGAGCCTCACATCCAGCTGGACCTGCAGGATGACAGGCGGGGATGTAGGCCGTTGGGCCGTAGGCTGGAAATCCAGCATTGGATGCTGCATGGGCTCTGCAATGTCAAGCCGAAGCTCAGGATGCGGAATTGTGTCGTGTGTGCTGGACCCAGGCAATTGCTTGCACCTTGTACCGGCATCATGGTGAATCCGTAATCGTTTATTCGTTCGGCGATTACTCGCCGGCCGAAGTTCAGTTGCCGAGGCTATCAGAGTTCCGGCCACTTCGGCTTCTACTGTGCGATGCTTAAAAGCATGGAGAGCATCCTCCAATGCCAGCTGTTTTTGAGATCCAAGAGACGGGGGAATTACCAAACCGAGGGTGAATGCAACCCCTCCCGGCAGAGTCCGGGTCGCTGACACACCGAGAACACGAGAGAGCACTTGAAAGATCCTGAAACTGGTAGGAAGCGAAACAAATGCTCTCGCTGGATGCTCTGCAGAGGTGACCAGTGCTACCACAGCGTATGCATCGGCTGTTTGGTGAAGCTGCCAAAGCCCGGCGCCCAGCCATCTGATCATCTATCAGAGTGTCTCGAAATTCGTTCCGGGCTGCCGTTCTGACCTGTTCGATCATGTGAACTTGCCTGAGAACGACGAGCTCAGTTCACACCATGCCTAAGCCTCCACGACGAACTCCCCTAGCTGCGGTTCTCGGAGTTTGGCTGTGCTTGTGTTTGTGTGCCGTGTGCTTGTAATGCCCATGTCCACTGAGGCCGGAGTGCCCGCACTGCCGCAAGCCAGCCTCCGACGTGGCAGCCGCACAGCACCTTGCCAAAGTCGCCGAGAACTTTGACGCCAAGGTGCGGGGTGACACGAGGTGAGAATGCGGACCTTGCAGCAAGGATATTCATCCGATTGGCTGCTCCAAACTCTGCATTGCTTTCGAAGCGCAGCAGAACCTGGTGTTGTTGGACCCAGATGGACACTTTGATGCTTCTAAAGTCCTTTTGATGCTCATGTTGGCTTCAACTCGCTTCTGCCAGGCTGCTCTGCAAGTAGCCATCCAGGCTCGACAGCCGCCTTTTGCAAATGGATTTGGGAGAGGACAGGTCTGATCGGATTCGGTCTCGAAATGACCCGGATGTCGAAAGTAGATACACCCAGAACACAGACAACCTTTGTTTGCCTGTCAACTGTGATGGTCATGCCCGAAATTCTTCGAACATCGATCCGCAGCATTTTGTGCCCACTGCAGCACTGCAGCACATCCCCCGCTTCAATCTGCACCCTGTGAGGCGTGGCCTTGCCTGTAGCATGCGTGCTCATGGTGTTGCAGGGATGTTTTGGAGTCGTGAGTCTTGAGTTGCGCCACAGACAACAGGGACAGCGAGGGAGAACGTAGGACGCCTTGCGGTGTAGTGCTCGGACCAGTGGCCTCGTTTGACCCGGCCGAGGTCATGTCCGGATCCGCTGCCGCACCCGAGGCCCGAACAGTCCCGAGCGAGACCAATTGCTGGAATCTTCCGAGCGCTCAGTGCTGAGGCCAAGGCAGCTCCCCGCCCGGTCGCCGTCGCCAAAAAGGCGCACTGCTATGACTCGAACCGGCCCATGTCTGGCTTGAGAGCTCCAAGGTCCTGGCGACGATGCAATCGAATTGCAGTGAACACATCATGAAGCCGGGTATTCTCTGTAGTCGTATATCGGTATATCGCGTCTTGGTAATCACAATTGCCAACAGTTACGGTAGAGTCTAACACAACATGCCAGGCTCACACAACAACCATCACAAAGTACTGTCTGGGCACACCTTGCATTTGAGATGGGCACTCCAAGCCGGATGGGATTCTCTGCAGTCTGAGCTTGTTGCGAAGAGTACATGGCATTGGCCAGGCAGTGTGAGGAGACCGTAGAGTAAGGAGCGGGGTCCGCCGCACTGCTGTCTGTTCTCGGCACACAGACTTCCTGGCGCTTGTCGGAGGCCATGGCCGTCCCCGGCCCTGCTGCCACCGCCAAGGTCACTCTCCGAGCACCGATCAGGAATCAATTTTGCGATCTGTGCTGTGCATAAGCTACAGCTACTGCATCTTATGCTGCTTTGCGATGCTTTACATCACCTCGAATCCGGCGCAACTGCGGCCTACGTGTTTTCAACGACCCTCCACTGAACTACCAACACTTAGACTTGGAGCGCAGCGTCGTACAGTTGAATGTATGCAGTACGAGTGCGTGCTGGTTTGGGAATCGGACGGTTGGCGGGATGGGCCCAGCTCTCAAACCGACACCAGGCTGCATCATCCAGCCCGTCCGCCCCGTCTGCGCCTCCGACATCTGCGGCAGCGATTGTTCAGGAGAGGTCACAGGTTGCCTGTTTGCATAGCTTCCAGCTTGACATTCTTCTGACAGGATGGAGGACGCAAGGAATGCCTAACCTAAAGCTTCACGCTCAAGCAGTCAATTCTCGATAACAGTGGTGATTCTTTGGATCTCGCTACAGCTTCGATTAGCTATCCCTGTAGTATTGTCTTGCATGAGGAGGGAAAGAAGCCGATGTCCGCTGCGGATCGTGTGGGTGCAACCGGATCCGCGCTGAACCGAGGCCAGGAACGTCCAGTGTCAAGCAGTCAGTGTTTCGACTACTTGAGATCTTACCAAGACTGCCGTCATTTACTTAAATTTGCTCGGTATTATATCAGTGTTCTTCATAGTAAGTCAAAGTATGCCAAGATTGCTTATGGTGGTATTGTTGTTATAACCATCCGCAAAGCTTGGAGTGGCCGCCAGGTGTGGGCGCGAAGGCTGAAGCGGCCGGGGGGGCCTCGGGCGCACCCAAGGCAAAGGCGCGCCGTGGGACTTGCGGCTTCAAGTCTGGCTTGATGTGGTTCTATGATCCATGGGTAGCTGAGATTTGTTGGAGGGCAGATTTCAATAGAAGTGTTTCTGTCCGTCTGTGTGTGTGTGTGTGCGCCGCGTGTGTGTGTGTGTGTGTGTGTGTGTGTGTGTGTGTGTGTGTGTGTGCGTGCGTTTGTGTGTGTTTGTGTATGGGATGTCTGAGGTCTATTGTTTTCCGCAACACCGCCGAGTGCAAAAGATCTTGACGGGGTCACATGTCAAGCGCGATCTTGCGTCGCTTCTTCACTTTCGTGGTTGTGTTCTTGTAGGTTGTTGCATCGGTTGCGAAGGCCTGCAGGGAAGGTCTTTGGACTTTGCACATCCGATCTCCAGGCCAAAGCCATGGGCGCCATGGGCTCCGGAGGGGCCGTACCCATGCGCTACATGGCTGGCGGCGCAGGGGCCGGCACGGCCGGAGCCGCTGCAGTTCCAGGCCAGTCCGCGCCTCGCACCGCCTGGAGCCCCAGATGACGGAAGCCAGAAGAGATCAGTGTTTATAGCGAGATGCAATCGGAGCTTGGGGCCGACGCTTGATACTCGCAGCTCGCCCGGTTAGTCATTCCGATCAGTTTTCCCTAGCGAAGCCGCAGAGCCTGAAAGCCTTGGTTGGCAATCTTGATACTGCGTACGATGCATTATTCGGATGTGATGGCCCATCGTTTGCGATTTCGTGCATTTCCCCATCTCAGTTGTTCGATGATCAACATGAGTAGATGCAGATTCCATGCCTTATGGCTTGTGAAACTGCAAGCTCCTGGTACTTGTAAAAACTATCAGCCGCTGCCTTTCCTCGTTTGTCAGTTTGTCCCAGACAGCGTGAAACCTCTCTTGAATTATTTTCATCGGTGATAGCATTATACGTCCAATGCTTTTGAGGTCCTGAATATCGTGAGCGGCAAGCCGGTGCCCCCGACACAGCCTGGTGCAGTTGCCACGAGCTCCGTGGGCCCCGCACGTGGCTACGCGAAGGCTGTGGGAATGTTATCTTGGGGCCGCCTCAGTAACTGAAATTTTGACATTAAGCCAAAAGCGGCCAAGCTCCCTTGCCATCTCTCGTTTTTGATTTGTGAGGCTGCCAGTTCCGTGCTGACCGGCGATGCTCCCAAGGTCTGGCATGTCTACGACGAACCAGGAATTCCTGGTTTGCTGTGGGCTGTGGTGCATCGTTGCAATCAAGCAGAGTTCGGCATCACTTCCGAGTAACTGTCGACCAGAGTTAGCATGCAAAATAGTCAAGCCTGGTGCTCGTCGGAGCCATGGCAATTTTCCTTTAACATGAGCCTGGTTAGGATTGTGAGTATGCGAGTTTGGAATATCATCTCTTTGTTTTGTGTTGCAATCTTGGACTGAGTGCAAACCCGCTATCGGAGTGCCTTCCTAACGCTATACATCAGCATGCCCCTTGAAGCAGCATGTACGATCAGCGAGTGACAGCTCAGTTTTAGCACAGCGACCGGCAGGTCGGACCTCCTGCTGTTGCAGTTGGCCGCGCCATGGCAGAGGCCGGCTCTGACACGCAGCCGTCCCCGCCTACATGCTGGATGATTCAGTTCCCAACAACCAATGCAGGACTTAGTAAGACTTACAGTAGGAGGAGGTGGCAAGGCGGAGGTGGCGGTGGCGGAGGCGGTGGCGGGCGTAGCGGGGTCGACGGATTCCAAGGTAAGTTTTCATGGCCAAAGGTCTGTGAATGGATGAATCCAGAATGAAGGTATAGATGCGTATGTTTGCATATGACAGCGACCGCTGCTCTCCTTGAGGGCCGTGGCGGAGTGACCCGCGATGCCAATGGCAAGCTCCGGGTCCCCATCGGCAAGAAGTACCAGCCGCCTGGCCTCCCTTCAGGATTCCCGTGCGCATATCCGCATAGCCGGAGCCGAGCCCGAAAGCATGAGGTCGCACAGGAACAACGCAGCGTTTCTAGAGCGGAACCAGACTCGACAGACGCTTCTAAGGATTGTCTTCGTCACGAGCGAGGTGGCGCCCTTCTCGAAAACGGGAGGCCTGGGCACGTGCAGTTCATGATAGTTCATGAGAGCGGGGTGAAGCTTCAGCGCTTCAGGACTTGGTGAGGCCATGGATGGACTTCCCATTGCCTTGGCTGCACTGGGCCACCGCTGCATGGTGGTCTCCCCCCGCATCTTGGCTGGCCGTGGCTGGCGTGTTCTGGTGAGAGGACGTTCCAGCTACGCGCTTGAGAAGCCTCTTCAGGCTACGACCAGTACTCGGAGGCTTGGGACACTAGCTACTGGTCGTCGGTGCCGATGGGTGGCAAGCAGGAGTCCTTTAGATTGCAACAACTTGTGCAGTGTCTGTCACTGTTGTCACTTCTTGGTTGCTCTGACAGGAGTCAGTGCATTTCTTCCACACCTACAAGCAGAAGGCAGAGTTGAGGCCCATAGATGCGGTAGCCATGAATGCGGTTTGCAGGTGGACTACGTCTTTGTGGATCATCCCACCTTCTTGGAGCGAGTGGATGGCTTGACAGGCCAAGCCGGCAAGCCAAAACGAAGCTGCAGCAGCTTTCGCTGGGTTTGCAAACCTAGTGGCTGTGGCGGGCAAAGAGTCCCTGCCGAACAGGAGCGAAGCTGTACGGACCGGAGTGGGGAAAGGACTTCTGCATGGCACTCATAGCTTCCGCAGAAGCTGAGTCGTGTCTCGTCTCAGGATTTCGCCGACAACCAGGCTCGCTTTGCCTACTTCTGCAAGGCATCGCTGAAGGCCATCCAGGACAGACGTCTCATTGGTGCTCTTTGGCATGTCGACTTTAGCAGAACTCCACCTCACTTGAAGGCTGCGCCAGAATGCTAGAATCGAGACAGGCAACATCGGGTAGCCATGGAGCCAGTTTGTGCAGGAGCTGAAACTTGGTGGAATTGCGCACCAGCCCCAGCAATGCTCGTTTCGGACAGTACGATCAAAAGCAATCGATGCATTTCAGTCGATCGGGATTCACTGTCGCTGTGCGTGCCTGTGTGCGTGGCACCAGGTACGGTGGTGACTCCATGGTGGTTTGCAACGATTGGCACAGTGCGTTGGTGCCAATGTTCATCCATGCGGAGAAGTCCACAAACCCAAGTATCGCTTCTGCAGCTTGTTACTAGCGGCGTCAGACTGCAGGGACTGCAACTGTCTCAGCCACATGAGGCAAGTGGCAGAACACCAAGACCGCCTTCCTTTGCCACAATGCTGTGTTCCAGGGCCGCTTCGTTCGCGAGGAAGGCGGGAAGTTCTTCTCAGAATCAAGACTGCATTTGAATGCCTAGCCTCGCTGCAGGTTTGGCAGAGATCTTCGGTGTCCCACAGCGCTACATCGACGCTATCACCTTCAAGCAGCCTCTTCGCATAGGCAAGTACAACGAGAAGGTGGGTGCCCCCAAGACGTGCAAAGGCAGGGACCAGGAAGGTTTTGGGCAGGTGTCGTGCGTCAACACCATGGCTGCTGGCCTCCGCTACTCGGATCGTGCCGGCACCCCAACCGGCATGAGAGATGATGAGAGCACAGCTGCAACAGATGCAGCGACATGAACTCTTAGTTCAAAGAACGGACAGTAAACTGCCTTTTGATGTAGTGACAAGATGTGCTAAGTCAAATGCGGTTGAGGCCTTGACCGTGTCCCCTTCCTACGCGAAAGAGATCACCATGGACCCCGAGAAGGGCGTGGAGTTGGAGGCGCTCTTCAAGATGGGCAACTGCACAGGACCTCGGCCGATGCTAAAGCGCTCCTTTATGGCGAAGTCGTCGCTGATGCGCTCCAGGAATCCTGAACGGTGTCAAAGAGGGTGTTTCCCCAAGTGACATGAACTTCGTCACCAAGACCATGATGTCTTGCGGGCCGTTCACCGCCGGCGCCCCAAAAATGCACATGGCATGGCACGCCTGGAATCCTCGAGATAGCTGAATACAGAGGCAGCTACTGCAGATGCAGCCAAGAGAGAGCTAAAGGCCGGTTTCGATGTCACGTGTGCGCTCAGTGTCAGCCTCGCAAGCTTTGCCAGAACCTCTATCGCAAGCAGAACAACATGACGGAGTGCAAGGGCCCCTTGATGTGCTTCATCGGAAGGCCGCCCCACCCCAGCCGGCCTTTCCGGCACGGCACGAAAGCAAGCCCCGTGCCCACTGCACTGTCGCGCCCGGAGGTTGGATGCCCAGAAGGGCTACGACCTCCTCCTCGAGGCACTCATGGAAGTGCTGGAGGCCGCTTGTGGCAGGGTTTTCTGGTTACTTGCATGCCGTGTGTTGCACGACGACAAATGGACAAGGTCTCGATTCTGCCAGTCTTTGCAGGTTGAGGTTTGAGGTCCGGGAGGCAGCTGAGTGTGTTGGAGACAATGCGTTTTCGCGTACCGTGCTCGCTAAGAGCACATCTATATCATTGTTACATCTTGCTATTATTGTTATTGCTACCAGTAGCCATTACGGTGATGGTTACAGCTTGGTGAGAAGAGAAACTCTACCGTCACAGCACCAGGACACCGAACTGCAAATGGTGGTGGTTGGCGCTGGCCGCGCCGATCTCGTGGCCCAGTGGGGTGCTCAAAAATAGTGGGCTAGGGGGTCCCCGCGAGTCACTGGAGTGGGGTCTCCTGACACGAAGGCGGCGGTTTTTGTATGTACAGGTGCAGGTTTGCTGTGTGGTTGCAGGCTGGAGGCGGCCAAGACATGCAACGATCCATGCCCAGGACGAAAGCCGTGGAAAAGCAATTTCCGAACAAGCTGTTCTACGCAGGCCGTATCAGCAGATCATCAGATCATCTGCTGTGTCACCCAGCTAGAAAGAAGTCAAGAAGTCGCTTATTGTTCTGACCATGGATAGGCTGGATGGGAGCGGAGCGTTATGCTCTGCTGGCCGGATGCGACTACACATTGCTGCCATCCAGGCCGTTCGAAGTTTCGGCTCACTGATGGGTTCGGATGGAGCTTCGCTCGATTTGTCTGCTGAAGGTGGGAGCCATGCGGACTTGTGCAGATGGAGGCGAAGCATCTCAGAAGCTCCGTCCATGTGGATATGTGAAGGGCGTACCAAAAGCCTTCGTGCCAATGTAGGCTATGCGCTTGGGAACGCTGCCCATCGTCGCCCCAACTGGAGGCTTGAAGGACACCGTCGAGGCGGGAACTGCTCAGCACTGACCTCTGGGTGGCTTGGGGGACCGAATCTACGCGAAGGATGGCCTGAACGGCCTCTGGACGGATGGTGAGATGACCGTCGAAGCGATTGTGGAGCAGGAGCTAGATCTGGCAGTCTGGCTCCATCGCAAAAGACGTGAAGCCACTATCGAGCAAGTTGCTGCCTCTGGCCTTCTAATTCCACGGACGACGGGGCAGCAAAGATGCTAGTTTGAACAGTGCTAGGCAGTAGCACCCACATCATGTCAATGTAGGCTCCCTCAGACCTTAAAGCTTCGTTTGAGGTCCAGCTTTGGCTGATCTGCACAAATTGACAAACCCTTCAGCTCTCACAGGGGAAGCTCACAAATTGAAGTGATGCGGACCCCTCCTGATGCGCATGATAAGAAGCTCGAAGACAGGGGGACTCGTGCATGGTGCAAGTTCTCATTCTCATGCTGATGATAGCAGGGTCATCGAGACTCTTCGTAAAGATAGCACAAGCCCATGTTGAAGTTGCAGCTGACGGCCAGGAGTCGGTGACGTCCTTGGCCAAGGCCCTGCGCCGAGCTTGTCAGCTCTTCCAGTCAGAGCCTGGCAAGGCCAGGAAGCCTTGTCGTTGCTGTTGCCTTGCAAGCAGGTTTGGGTTTTGAGCCCGAAGTGTACAGTCGGGGAAGGCTACGGCATGTAATTAGAGAATCTTCGTTGCTCCGCCGCTAGTGCCTGTTCCATCCGACCTGTGCTGATGATCATGCGAAGCTTCTTCGGGCCGATGTCAGGTAGTTGAGATGAAGAAGGCTGCGATGGCCGCTGCTGCAGAGTTCACCTGGAGCAACGCAGCACTGCAGTACGAGGCCAGGAATAGCCGTGCACTACATGAAAGCTGAGCTGTTGACATAAACAACACAGAACATCATAGAACATTGAAGCAGTTGCTGCCGTTGCAAGTTGCAAAGACATACTTGTAGCTTTCGGACTGCAGCGTGTGGAGGGCGGGCATGATGGCCTTGTTGCTGTGGAAGGATAGTCACACCCCTGTACTCTTCTCACAGGCCATCTTCCAAGAGTTGGGCGTCAAGGACGTGCTGCCACAGTGCGGCGGATACGCCACGGTCACGCTGGAGACAGACAAACAGGTCTGCTAGACGATTCTTGGCTGCAAGCTTGGCACTGAATCAGGCGAAGCGTGGCTGCTCGTGCTTGTTGAATATCGTCGCATATCGCTGCCATTTCTGTTGTCGCAGGCCAGCGGGCAAAAACACAGCAAAGTCGCTGCAGAGCGATTTTTTCTGTACCCTACGGGACCGAGATGGATCCCGAAAAGCTTCTATCGGACTCCTCCCGGGTGTTTGCCCATGGAGCCACGATGGAATCCAGGGTCACATCTGGCAGAATCTGTCAGGAGTTTGCGAAGTTGTGTAGCCAGAAGGTCAGTTACCACATACTGCTAGTAAGTCGCCGGTCTGATCGCAGAACTATGCCCTCAAACCTACTGCGTCTTTGTTGGCATGCCAAGAAGACATCAATGGCAAAGCACAAGCAAACTTGAAAATGCTGTAGCTGCAGAAGGGCCAAGCCGACATATGCAGTAGCCGGTCGTTGGCTGCCACCTTTACCACACCCTTGGCAAGCTCTGACCCTCCATTTCAAGGAGACGTCTCATTGCGGTCCCTTCTTAAGCCGCGCGGCTCTTGCTGGCTTTGCCAATCATTGCTCAGCATATTGCCAGAACAGCATTCAACAATATTCAGTGTCTTTTTGGGCAGATGCCACATGCGGCGCGCTCTGCACCAATTTCAAGCTAATTCATTGAATCAGTTTTCCTGTGTCGCTGTTGCAGAGCTTCTTCCCCCTCGAGGGTTGGGCTCTAGGCGAACTGATCAACTGATCTGTTCCACGCATGCTCCTTGAACGGTCCACGGGGCCAAAGTCCGCGAACGGCTACGAGAGCCAGAGGTTGGACCGATTGCGGGCATCTGAATGCTGAGCTTCGAAAGACTCTTCAGCTCTATCTTGCCAGCACAAGCTGCGTGCCCCCGCCCGAAAAGCCGTCGTGTCAGCAGCGCAGAAGCCAGCAGCGCAGAAGCCAGCAGCGAGCTTTGCTGGTAACTAAAGAGATCACCTATGATAGCCTGCAGTGCAGTACAAACGCAGGTCGGCGCAGAGGTGGCCGACAACTTGGACAAGGTCACTGGCTGAGAGAACAGAAACAGAGCTTTCAGGGGAACAGGATAGATTCGCCCGCACATGCAAACCGGCAGCTTCCCTGCTCCTTGTTTTGCTTTGCTGCGAAAGTTGCAGAGCTCCCGCGGTGCAGGTCGGATCTGGAGCGGTGCTGGATCTAAGTTTGCCAAGGCGGCAGCATCAACATCAGCTGCATTTCCTAAACTCTGTCCCCGACCTCCCGGCATGTGAATCCAGAGCATGACTAGACTAGCATCGGCTGGATTTCCTTTCGCTTTTTTATCGCCGATCCGTGTATAGCAGGGCATGATCATCATCAGAGTCAGCCAGATTTCCTGCAAGTGTCAAACTCTCTTCCCGACCTCCCGACGGATTTGGCGAGATGCATGGCGAGCATCCGCGAAGCAGCAGTGCTGGCAACTTCACCTCCAGTAACTGCTCAGCACCGTGTTAAGTCCGGACACGGGAGAGCCACCCAGCGGACCACACGCAGTTACACATTCGTGTTCGCCACGGATCAGCTAGCTGCCGGAGCCGACGGACGAAGCTTCGAAATGGGGGAAAAGACGTGGCGAAGCCTGGCAAAATCGGGGACGTGGCCTTCCAGCGAGGATGCAGGTAGTTGCGGCAAGAGCTTCATGTGCTCCAATGGTCTGTGGGATGCTGCCCGAAATGTTCAGACTTTTGTTCTGCAAGCTCTTCTTAGCTTCATCATGCGCAAGCGCTCCTCCTGCTGGGAGCCGTGTTTGAAGGCATGCCACTGAACGTGATCGCGAGCGCGGCCGTGCCCAATGCTGAGAGTGGGAGAGAAATCATGTCAGATCATGCACAGCCAATTGCTCGTCTTGCCGACCCTGCGCAAATTTTGTGCTTGGCGACTTCAAGGCTTGCTGCCTGTGCCAAGAGCCATCATCTGTGGTGTCCTCAGTGCTATCTTGCTTCCAGGTGCTGGGTGTAATTTCTTTTGTGTAAATCGGAGTCACGAACAGCAGTTCGAAGGCCACCAATCATGTCTGCCCTGCTTGCCATGTCCACTCCTGAGACGTCGACTGCAGTGACGCTGCAACACTGTAAAGAGAAGTGCTGATTCTGTGAATCATGAAATTGAACTGATGAGATTTTGCAGTGGTTGAGAAGTAGGTCGAGCCAGAATGAGCTAGAGGCTTCTTTGCTTTGCTTAGTCAGGCCAGCATTTGTTATACCTGCGCGCGCACGGAGCTGTCAGAGCGACGATGCCCTGCGTGTGGCGATGCCGGGCCCCTACAGATGCAGCTAACCCGCTGATCTGTTTGTCGAGTCCGGATCGCGAGAAGGGCGAGAAGCTTGTGCAACTCGAAAGCCATTCGCTGTAGCTGCAGAGGTTGAGAAGAATGCGGAGCCCTTGCGCCACTACCTGGCCGCTGGCGAGGCCCGGCAGAGCATACGCCAGGGCCCGGTCACCTGAGTGGAGACGTTCATCCCGGGACCCGAATTCGAAAAAGGTGGGAGAAGGAACTCGAAGAAGGATTTTGAAGGGTACCTAGTCTTCAACATCCTGATCCCTGTTCACGTC